GCATGCTAATAAATATTTGAACTACGCAACAATTAAACGAATTATTACGATCGCGACAGATTGAGTTCATTTCTCTGTCTAATAAATAAACCATGAAAATAAAGTCCCGTCAGCTCCTCCCCCCAAAAAAATATTTATTTAGCTCGCACTTCATAAATTAGTCTAAAATAGCGTAAAATTAGGCTAAAATCCGTGAAAAATGTTGCTTCTAACTCGTTGCAACAGTTTGAAAAGATTTGTAAGGTTGGGGGACGTAATGCACACAATTCATTTAATCAGTGGGTGGTTTTGCGGAATTTGGCTCACTTTCGCTACATTTCACACATTCGATCTGGCAACATTTCTCCACAGTTGGCTGAAGCATGGGCAATTAAATTAAACCCGTCACATCTGCTATTTAGCGGATTTTATAACGTTGTGGAGGACGGAAAAAAGTCAGAGAGAGCAGTGGCCGCGGAAGGGTGGGGGGACAGAGGGACAATGTCCCCAGGGTTGTTCGATGTCCCCATCTTATATAAACCCCTCTTTCTCCTATCCTACAATGTTAATTTTAATGTCCCCAGATGTCCTCACGGCTTCCGCGGCCACTGAGAGTTCGAGGGTGCAGTTGCTAGCTATATAAATATGCCATGCATCTGTTTAATCTTCGCCTGATTGGTGAGAGAGAGAGGAAATTTATTGTCTCTGTAGTGCATTTGGGTTTTAACGTAATTTGACGGTTCAACAAGTCCGACGGAATTAGGGAACGTCCATATATTACGTTATCAAAAAGGTGGGTGGGTCTTTTAGGTCGCCTATCTTTCTCGTGTTAAGGTTAATACGAGAAGGATAGGGAGAGGGTGGGGTGGGTAGGTCTAAAAATCGGAGTTTTTTTTGATGACGTAATGTATGTATGTCCCCAAAGTAGAGTGGCGTGGCGTGGCATTTGAAAAATGCTTGGCGACGTTTTGAAAGGCTCAATTTTTTATTCTGGTTAAAATCTAATCAGTGGCGGCGGAAGTAGGGGGACATTGTACCCCCAGAAATTCAGCAAAATCTTATATTTCCCAGGTTAATAAGCTCCCCACCCTCTAATACCAAAATGCTACGTAGTGTCCCCACACGTCCCCCCAATTTCCGCCGCCACTGAATCTAATAGGACAAAAATTACTGACGTGATGTATGTAATTTCATCAATCATTATGAAAAAATAGTAAAACTACGTATGTGCAATATCGAATCAACGAGCAAACTAAATGCTGAATTGCATCTCAACTTTGCAGTGCAGCTGGTCCCGTTTTGTTTGATTAAACATTTATTCAATAAAAATTGCTGATGCAGCCGCATTTTTGGTTTTATTTCCTGAAATAAAACATGACCATCATGATCATCGTTGCTGATTCAGGTCAAGCAGGTGATGCAGCAGGCAGGCTGACCTTGCGGTGCCACATGATTCACTTATTTTCACGACCGTTGAGTGAAGAGTGGGGCAATAATTTATCAGATGTTGACCACTTTTTATGCAACGCTGGCTGCAATTCGTAATATTTGCAAGGAAAATATATAAGAATCACTCTCATACCCGAGTTTCGGATGATTCAAGATCCAAATTTAATTCGGAGATGTTCTCAACACATTCGTGTGTTTTTCTTTGCAAAATTGAATGAAAAAGGAGATATATTTGCGCGTCCCCAGAGACAGAAATCTGCCAATCTATATCTTTCATCGGGTAGAAAAATTAGATATTTGCCACGTGAAATTGTTTTTTATTAAAATCATCTCGCTCTTGCCCTTGGATATTGTACAATGCGATGGTGTGAAGTGTAAGACTCAGATTTTGTTGAAATTTTGGAATTATGTAGTCCAAGTCAAAATAATGAAAGTTTCTGGGCGATGGTTGGAATTTGTCAGAAATTGTGTAGGTCAAAGTTGAAAAAATTGGCAATTTTTACCAAGCGGAGGAAGGAAACTTAATTCTTTTCGAGAGAAGAAATCGTCCATTTTTCAACTTTGACCTCACAAATTTTGAAAAATTCTTACCATCGCACAAATTGCCTAAAGAAAGGTTCATTGTATCTTGACTTGAATTTCGTAATTCAAAAATTTCAACAAAATCAGAGTTTTACACTTCACGCCCTCGCATCGTTAATCTGATCGAGCAGACAATTTTCCCCGTTGTTCCAGATATTGCAAACACTAGAACGAACCGAACACACATCACCTTCATTCACGAAAAAGTACTTCCGATGCCCTAATATAATTTCACGGTTTTGTCCAAGGTTTAGCTTCCTGGTCCTTTCGTTCGGTGAAAGTATTGGATGAAATTGCACCCGAAATTATGGATAGAAGAACATGTGCAAGGAATGTGAATCCGATTAAATGCCTTTTGCCCTGGTTTTAGGAGAAGATTCTACTTTAATTCCGGCCACATAATTCTAAATGGGATGCCTCCGTTTAAACAAATGAGACGGGTTTGCATGCACTTAATGAAGGAAGGAGGAAGAAGGAAGACTGGTGCAACCGAAATGCAAATAGACCACATTACCTCAACCCCATTTGCCTTGAGCACCTTTTAGTTAATCGATGATTGCATGGATGAAATGGAATCAGGAATCGAGTGTCGAAGAAGACAGACCAATGAACTTTTTAGCAAAAGGGAGGAAAATGATATTTTCTGTGCAAATTTGGAGTTAGACGTGCGATTTATGGTATCAGCTATGATGTTAATGAGAATATGAGTATGTATTCAATGCATTCCTTAACTTTTTCTAAAGTGTGCATGCCTCCGCCACATTATTTTGATGAAGTGAAAGTCGATTTCGATTAAGCAAGACGATTATTGCAAACGTTGCGTTGCAAACGACATGGTTTTTTATAGTTACTGATTATTGACACTCGAAGAAAGTACATAAGTTTCCATTGATTTCTTTCTCATTTCTGCCATTTCTTCAACTAATTCGATTCAGAAAATTACAAGGTTTTTATAGAGGAGGATACCTCTCAAATTGGATGAAATGAAAACATTTGGGAGAAAGCACACTTAATTAATCAGTGACAAATCCAGTGAGAAACTGTCGGAATGAATGTCATAATTTTACCAAGTATGTAAATATATGCACTTCTGTTCCCAATTACCACCCATATTTTGGATTGAAAATGATCACATGCAAGAGAACTCGATCTGATTTTGGAAAGGAATCCGGATCAATTCTGTGGCTAAATATATACAAAAATAATGAGAGATTCGCCCTATCTTCAACCTTTACCAAGTAATCACAGACTTTACTTGATACCTCATGAATACGATAAATCTGGGACACCTTTCCTCTCTCAAGTGATAAAAAAGTGTTAGCTTACTGATTAATATTTCCAAGGATGAGAGAAACCACTATGTTATTTATTCCTTACGTATGTATAACATTTGCATGAATCCAATTTGGCTTAATTACTCCCAGTCGAGTAGAGAAAAGTGTGGAGGGTTAAACAAGGGTGTAATTATTTTATTTATGTAAGTGCACATACGTAACATGAAGAAGAAGCTGGATGAGATGCTGCAACCTTGTCCCTCAACTCGGGCCGATAAAAGATCTTTCTGTCGCAGAAGAACAAATAGAATTAGTTACACATAAAATTAGGAGAAAGTTCAAGCGCAAGGAGGGAAGGGAACAAGCATAATGAACAATAAAAAAAAACTAGCTGTACAGCCTGAGCCCGAGTCAGGTTGTTCTTAATAGATAATTGAGGTGTTTGGTAAGTATGACCACTTAGCGAACTTTTTTTTACAGATTTTGCTCATCTTTTACCTTGATTCATAGTTTTGCAAATTCTACGTGTGTGCAAAATTTCAAATTGATTGGATAAGTTTTGCGAAGGTGATAGATAGAAATACCGAAACTTTCTTTGTTTTTCGACAGATTTTTGAACTTGATTCATAGTTTTGCAAATTCTACCTCTGGAAAATTTTAAATCGGTTGGATACATAAGTTTTACTAGGGTAATTGATGAATACAAATAGACAGACAGACATACGATCATGATGGGTACATAAGCCCTGACTCGGGGTGAAAATCAGTAAATACATATATGAATAAACTAGGTAGGTGTTGCGTGAAACTGATAAATAAATTGTCAATTTTCACATTTCCAGCAACTTTGTTTGATTTATGAGATGAAATGCAAACCCGACACAAATTATGTGTGACTATAAACAAGAGAAAAAAATCACACAATTTATGGACCCCACGCTCCTACATGGGCAAACCAATTACTCCACATTCATTTCCTGTCCTCCTCGTCCAGAATTAGTCTATAACTCTTTCTTGGAGGAAGCCGAGATGAGCTGACAACTGAATAAATGTACACTACCAGCCATGTTTAATTTACTACTAGGACACAGAGAAAGACCAAATATGTTAGTTGTGGACGAGAAAGGTGGTACTTAACCCGGTTCGGAATGGGCTTGATGAATTTAATGAGTGACTATTTTAATACATTACTATCGTCAGTTGTCGTCGCCTTCTTATTTCTGAGAAGAACAGTGGCCGCGGAAGGTGTGGGGACATGTGGGGACGTTAAGATTGTAAGATAGGGGAGGGTGGGGTTTATATAAGATGAGAACATTGAATAACTGTGGGGACATTGCCCCCCTGTCCACACCCTTCCGCGGCCACTGTTTAATTGTAAGAAGAAAGTACAGAAATGCGTGGTGGTGATGATCATGCTCGGCCATGACCGCATCCTAGAAAACAGGAAGCAGCGAAAAAAAACGGACTGGATTTCTTATGATATGTACGCGATGAAAGTTCAGAATCATATAATTTCACCTAGTATCTAGTGGCCGCGGAAGGTGTGGGGACACCTGGGGATATTAAGATTGTATGTTAAGGGAGGAAGGGATTTATATAATGATGGGACCATCTAATAACCGTGGGGACACTGTCCCCACGCTTCCGCGGCCACTGAACATAACCATTAATTATGTAGAGGCCTATTTACCAGAAAAAAATAAACTTCTTTCTTACCTTCGTCTCTCTCCTGCTGCTTCTTCTTCTTTTTTTGCAATTCGTGATCTTCTTGTTTTCGTCCCAGTTGTGCAAAAAATTAGTTCTTTTACATCCGTAATCTTACGCAGTTTGAAAGTGCGTTTTCGTGTTTTCCAGAAATATTTTCCAAGAAGAGAGACCACACTTTTTCGGGTGTTCTTCTTTTTCCATGATTATTTTCAATCTGTCCTTCCTCCAACTGCTTTTTCGTCGTATTTGTGGTTTCGTTACTATTTTTCTTAATATAATTTAGTCCTTAAAACTTACCTAAAAGTAGTAAATTTAATTGCGAATCTGTCCCAATAAAGGAAACAAATTCCGTTATACATTCAATGTAAAAGTATTTAAGTTAACTTCATCTTTTAGTTTTTCTATTCACAGTTTCACGACAAAGTTGAGATTCACATTCAAAACTAGCAAATTAAATTGCGAATTTGTCACAATAATGGAAAATTACATTTAATTTAAAAGTATTTAGGTTAAATTTCGTCTTTTATTTATCCCATTTACTTGAAAATTGTTCTGTTTCAGGAGACAAAATTGAGACTCACTTTCACTCCCAAGAAGTTTGAGAGAAAGCTGAAGAAATGTCACATCACTTCTGTTCCAGGGTAATCATCCTCTCGGGTGGGATGTGGGATGATCCCTTTTTCACCCAAGTTTTTGAAATCTTGAGGTGGAAAAGTTGAGAAAAGTTTTTGGTTTTGTGGTTTGGTTTGCAAAATTGCCAGTGAGAAGAAGAAGAAGAAGAAAAGAGTTGGGTTTCAGTCGACCAACTCGACACGACTGGTTCGTCAGGCAGGAGCAGAAACTTTGGACGGCGGAGGAGATGAGACTGAGCGAGCTCAAGCAGAGAAGAGAGCAAGTTGAGACTGCCAATTTGAGAGCAAAAACCAGTAGGATGAATATACATATGTATACAGCCGAGTTTGCGAGGAAAAGTGAGACGAGGATGGTTCACAAAACAAATAATTTACATCTCAAAGGCAAAGTCCCAGAAGAAATTAAACAAGTAAAAGAGACCGGTGAGTGCGTCGGGTTTGATATCGTCGTCATTATATGTATGCAGGGGCCGCGGAAGCTGTGGGGACATTTGGGGGATTTACATTGTAGGATAGGGGAGGAGGGGTATATTTATCTAAGATGGGTAGATGATGGGGGCATTAAACAACCGTGGGGACAGAGGGGTAATGTCCCCATGCTTCTGTGGCCACTGGTCATTATACGAAATGGTACCTTTGGGTAAGAATGAACCACTTTTTAATACAATACGAGGGATAAAGTGGGTGGGTTGGGAATAGAAAGCAGTGGCCGCGGAAGCTGTGGGGACATCTGGGAACTTAACATTGTATGATAGAAGAAGAGGGGGTTTGTACTTTGTATAACATAGGCAGATGATGGGGACATCGAACAACCGTGGGGACATTGCCCCTCTGTCTCCCCCCACGCTTCCGCGGCTACTGATAGAAAGGGAAAAGATTTGCTGTGCAATTTCGTGGCTCACAGGAATTTTGGTATTATTGGGAAGTTTCGCAGGGTGAGATTCTTTGGAGAGATACGAACATATCGAATCGATGCTGTTTTTGGTATAAAAGTGCCAATAATGGTGGTGTTGGTGGTGGTGGGTGAGCTTTGTTTGTGTCACAAGTGGGATTTGTCGGAAGAAAATCAAAAGTGGATTTATGGCTTTGGACTTGAAATAGAATTCTGGTCCGGTGGGGGCATTTCGGATGGATTTTGACATCCAGGACGAACGAACGTCAAGACACAAGAGTTGTATTAGGTTAGGTGGTGGAATGAAATGAATAATGGAGACGAATCTACATTCTCTAGTGACCAGTTTCATGAATAGGGTTTCGTTTCTTGTGGATATATTTCTTGCACTCCAATGCAAAGAAATGCGAGGTGCAAAAAACTGGGAGAAAGTGCAAGAAAATGCGCCACCAAGTCACGCGCCGTATGAAGTTTAGCGCCGGAGCGTAGTTTTTTTTTGCGCCTTGCATTTCTTGCAGGTCAAAATATCCGCAAAAAAACACTTTCTTGCCGGTTTGCTAAATTTCTTGCACTGGAAAACCAGCAACGGGAGAAATGCGAGGTGCAAGAAACTGCAAAAAATCTGCGACATCAAGCCACGCACCGTATGAAGTATGCCGGCGGGGCGTAGTTTCTTGCACCTTGCATTTCTTGCAGGTCAAAATACCTGCAAAAAACACCTTCTTGCATTATTCCTTGCAATTTGCAAGTTGCAAAAACGTTACTTGTACTCGAAACACTGTTCGTCAATCTTCCTCAGACCGTGGTAAAATTTCCATACAAGTAGCAAGCACTATTATCCATTTTATTGCAAATATGTATGTATTATGTATGTACAATGCTATAAGACCATTGCCAATTATTGTACAAGGTTTGGTGGAGTGGTTTACTTTACATACAAACAAATATTTGGATTTATTTGTTGCTTTTAGTATGAAATATGATATTTATGCAGTTTGGCACGGGCGATTGAGCATGTCCATGATCAACATGGGTGTTGATATCCAGATTGGGAGTGGAAAACTGAGCCAAGTATTCAAATATCTTGACTCTCCAAATTTGGGCAAAGCACCTCACTCAACAAGTTATAGCTAATAGTTTATGATACAGTGTAATATTTTTTATTGCTTATACCAGCAAAAACATGATGTCATGAAAAAAATGTATGTAAATAGGCATGCATCTTACTTATTGAATTAAGTGTCATTGAGCCACCGTGATTTTAAAGTATGTAAGCAAAGTCGACAAAATTTTGCAAGTAAGAAATGCGTACTTACAATGCGATGGTGTGAAGTGTAACCCTCCGATTTGGCTGAAATTTTGAAATTATGTGATTCATGTCAATACAACCAACGTTTCTTCAGGCAGTTTGTGCGATAATCAGAATTTGCCAAAATAGTTGAGGTTAAAGTTGAAAAACGGGCGATTTTTTAGCACGGTAAGGGAATTGAAGTTGTGTTTATTTCCTCCGCCTGGTAAAAATTGCCGGTTTTGCAACTTTGCCCCCAACTATTTTGACAAATTCTGATCATCGCACAAACTGCTGCAAGAAACGTTGGTTGTATTGACATGGACCACGTAATTTCAAATTTCCAACCAAATCGGAGGGTTACACGTCACACCATCCCATTGTTAGTACAAGTGAAAAAATGGAACATTGTTAAATAAAATTATTAGTATTTCTGCCTAATTAGTTGGTATTTTCTGCTGGATCATCTTCTTCCTGCACGAGGAGGTGAGCAGCTTGTTTCTTCACGACGGAATACACTTGTAGGTTAGTTTGAGTGAGAACATCTATCGCAGAGTCGAGGACGAGGGGTCCCATTTTTCCTTCCATGGAAAATAAACAGATTTGTTCTCTAGATGGAAGATATCCCATGGTTATTAGGCCGCCCCCTTTGTCATTCTTCTCTTGGTCGGTTAAGTCTACGACTTCGATTTCTTGACGGGTAGGGTCCAGATAAAAATCTTTTCCGTCGTATAACTGGCGAAACATAAGGTTAATTAATTAATGTTGTAATCAATTAACATTTATTGAAATGAAATACCACACACCAAGGTCGATCCGACTAAAGTGTCGAAAAGAGGAATTCCTGCTTCGAGTAAGGCCATTCCAGCGGCCGTGATGCATGCAGACATTGCAGACCCACCGTCCTCCATTATTGTGAGATAAATCTCCAATATTAGTTTGGGAAACTTGTCCTATTTATACAGAAAAAATAATTTAGGGAACGTTCATAAAATACATATCGCAGCGGAGGGGGAGAGAAGGGTCAGGTTGTTGGTCAACTTGCGCCAAATGTTAAAAAGGGAGTGTAACCCGTTACAAGGGGGAGGGAAGGGAGGAGTCAAAAAATCGCTAATGTTTATGTACTTTATGAACGTTCTCTTATAGCATTTTCATTTATGTAAATTAGTTATTTAATGGATGCATACGTACCAGTAGAATCGTAGCCTCGAGACATTCCTTAATTAAAGTTACATCTCTCTCTGGAACCTTCCCACCAACAAGTTGTACTTCCACGGATAGTAATCCCGTCGTACTAATTGTAAATAGTTAAAGATTTAGTCATTGTTATCATTTATTAATGATATTTCATACAAAAGTCTGTATTATCTACCTGAAATCAACCTTCTTTGGTAAATCCTTGGGCCCTGAGATGATACAGATAACTTTAGTAGTTCCAAGCTCAATGTAGGCTGAACCCTTGGCTCCTTGTCGAATTCCGGTTTGCAAAACTAAATCAAATCAAATGTGGAAGATAATTATTAACAAGTTAATTTAGTAAATAATTGATTGTAAGTAGTTCTCACAAATTGGTCGAATGTTGCTCGTATGCCTGCCATCCTGCCTCAAATTAGTTTCTGGATTAATTAGTGGCAATCTTGGATATAGCGCTTCCGAACGAGTTAGGCCTCGTACACTTTTGAAATCTTGTTCTTCTTCCATCTCGTGTAATGAAATTTGGTTTTCAAAAACTTGTAGACGGATAGGATATATTTCTGGTGTAACGATTTGTGATAATTAAGTCTACAATTAAACCTATAATTTAATTTATAATAGTTTTCTTTTGACAATGTGCGAAAAAACAAGGTTCGTGGTGCATGTGGTTGTTGCTGCAATTCTGGTTCCCACCATCTCATCGTTGTCTCACTTTTTGTCTCATTTTTCGCAAATGCGACTTTCTCCACAAGTTTTGTTAGCTTTCTCCTTCATAATTTTTTTAAAAGTGTGCAAATTGTGTGCTAAAAATTGGCAAATTGGCATGAAAATTGGCACAAAAATTGGCACACCTTTATAAGTAATCTTTATTTAAATTTCAGGAATTGTGATCAATAAAGATCATTTTTTATGCATTTTTATAAGCCTGGCAGCGAATTTTAGGCAAAGTTCCAAAAACTTTCCAAATTTTGAACAGAGTTTTCATCCAAATTCCACACAACCCAGAAATTTGTAGTAAAAAAATGGCTCGGAATTTGCACACTACGGCTGCAAAAAAGCATAATTTTTTGCTAGATTTACGTATGACGGGGACAATTATGTGTCAGAATAATGACTGGACATCACAACCACACCACCTAATTAAAATGCATGTTCGACATCAATTAGTTATTTTTATTCAAACGAATGCACACTCAGATTCAGATCAAAGATATCATATTATTAATTATTAGATTACAGAGTTACACATTAACTTTAACCCCTAGATAATTAAATAATATGCATGTACATACAATTAATTTAATTTAGTTGCTTTGCTGTATTTAATTAATTTAATTCTACTACAATTTACTGGCAACTCATCATTCATGATATCCTTTATCCCACGTTTCATAATAAAAATTAGGTAAATCAGTTAATTATCTCGGGATCAGTTCCATTTTTATAAATGAGGCTTCATCATCAAAAGTAATAAAGTTTTCGCGATTACAAATGAATAATATCCAAATTTGCAAAAAACAGTCGACTGTTCATCCTCTTCTTCATCTTCTTTCTGTCTCATTGTTAATTAATTAATTACAAATGTGGGATACAAATACATATTTACGTTAACTGAGACGTCCTAAATTTAGTTTGTAACTTAATTTAATTAATTACTCATCCATTCATGCAATCAATAATTTAATTGTTTCTACTTGTTCTTGTTCTTCTTATCTTGTCCTCTATTTTTCTGGTCTTCTTCTACTTATCTACATATGATGACGACTCACTCACAACGCAACATCCCGTCTAAATTTAACATCACATATAGTTTCAGCACATTTGGCATGAGAGGCTCATCCGCTAATCAATAACTTGTTGATTTGTTCGAAAGTTGTTTGAAAGCAAAATTTTTCCAGGGAGGCCACGCCATGAACAAATGGGCATTCAATTGGATATTAATTATACGGAACTAATTAATTAATAAAATGATCCATCTTGTTACATCCGATTGATTATTCGCTTAACGGGCTACTTACATATTTATGTGTATCTATTTTTGAAATTTTGATTTGACAGGGTAAAAGTGGTACATTTTATTATTATTTTGAAGCAATATCTTTCGGTAGAGACTACATACACCGTACTAAATAACAAGCTTTTAAAGTCACTAATTGCAGCATGAGAGATGAACTACTTTTGTATTAAGTGTGCAGATTTTAGAGGATTTGCATATCTATTTATAAATCTACATAATTTTCGCATGTCTACTTTTTTTCTACTACAATTTTCAACGTTTCTTAATATCAGCAGTGTTGTTGTTATCTATGAATTACATGCAAGGTTTAAAAGGAGAATGTAATGTGATTTTGTGATTTACATACATACATATTGTTAAAAGTCTTAATTGGTGTATCTGCATTATTGGTTTTTGATTTGATTGTTGATATTTAGTCAATTATTACTTGTCATCCATCCATCCATACGCTAATAATTTACATATGTAAGTAAGTAAACAGGTAATTTGTAAGTATCTATTATTACTCTAATTATAGTGACCAAGAATATTAAAATATTTAATGTGTATGTACAAAATAATATTATTAATTAATTAATTACTGATATTAAGTACAGGATAACAACACAAAATATATTCATCGCGCATCATCGAAGTAATCTCTTTGTCTACTCGTACCGTACTCTGTAATCTATGTATGCACATCTATACATTACAATTTTTGCATGTTGAAACACTTATCTTTTATGTATGTGATTATCTATTTTATGTTATTATCGTCACCATCTTATCGGAGAATAAGATGGTTAAGATTTACAATTATTAGTAGTATTTCACCTGCTTCCATTTTTTTCACTTTGAGATTGAATTGTAGATATTTAATTATGTATATATTTAAAATTTGAAGTTTTGGCTATATTGTCAGAATCTGTAAGAGTTTAAAAAGTTCAATGGATAAAATCCGTGGACTTTTAAACGTCTTACATACAATGTTAAGAATTAAAAGCTATGTATTTGATTAACATGCATTTTTATATTTCACGTGGGAAATTGACTTTACTTTTCTGTCTACGCACTCTTTCATTTGGGTCAGATTTTTAATGACGGTCTCATTTACATAATTATTTAACTGGCTTTTTTTATACTGTATTGATAATCTCGCTCCGGGTGTTGCCAGCTTTAAATTTTGAAAATTTTGAAATATTTACAATGAAGTTTTTTGCACGGGGCGTACAGTAATGAGATATTTGATTGATGATTTCTACATGTTTTGATTACACAAAAACACCACTACGTTTTTTACATGATTAAGAGGGAATCCACAATTTCTAGCAATTTCGAGTCATACATTTCTTTTTTACTTGTTTCTTCAACTCTTTCTTGGTATTTTTATCTTGTTTTTCATTATTTTTGACTTTCTCCCATTCATTGTGGCAATGGCACAAGAATTTGAACGTAGCTGACAGGGAAGAAACCTGTCTTTCCATTTACGCATCCTTCGTACCTGGGTAAGATTACATAAATGGGTAACTAAACCATGTATAAATACCGTTACATATGTATCATTGTGGTTGTGGGAATTCTTGCAAAAGTCAATCTCAAACTACTCGGTGTTTCGGGTGAAAGTAGTGACTTGCAAGAAATAAGGGGGAGAAAGTGGTTTCTTGCAGGGAAGTATTTTGACCTGCAAGAAATACAATGCAAAAGAAACTATGCCCGCCGCTGTAAATACTTTATACAGCGCGTGGCTAGATTGCGCATATTTCTTGCACTTTCTCCCAGTTTCTTGCACCTCGCATTTCTTGTTTTGCAGTGGAAGAAATGTAGCAAACCCACACGAAATGAAACACTGGCCGGTAACCACTTGCAAGAAAGTGATAACAAATATTGTACAATATTTTATGAACATGTACCTTTATGGGCCTATGGCCCCAAAAAGGAAGCCAATAAAATTCAATTCAATTCACTTGCAAGAAAGTGGTCTTTGCGACTATTTTGACCTGCAAGAAATGCAAGGCGCAAGAAACTACGCGTGGCTACATAGAGCCTATTTTTTGCACTTTCTCTGTTTCTTGCACCTCGCATGTTTTGCATTGCTTCCCTTGCAGTGCAAGAAATGTAGCAAACCACCCGCAAGAAACGAAACACTCAAAATACCCATTCTCATTTCCCACAATGATATAACAAAAGTAGTTTTTATAAATTTTATTTACCAGTTCTCATCAATTCGACTGACCAATTGTATCATATCCCTTTCCTACAAAAGAAATATGGGGATTAGTTACGTAAATTTTCAATGAGAATCATAATTATGTATATATTATGTGACCAACCTTGAATCCCAACTCGCCCGGATTTTCTGGATCGAAATCATACAGTGCTTGACAAGAAGGCCCTTGAACGACAGGAGTTCTGGTTCCAGAAGATTTCATCGGAGACGGTATTGGCGAGGCTGTCATAATTTCAAGAAATTTATGTAAAAATTTCCATTTCCAGAAACGAATTTTACTGATATACATAAATAAACTATTGTATAATCGATCGAATATAAACTGTGCTAGTAATAAGTAATTGGGCAATACAAACTTATTTGACCAAGTGAAACTTTAACGGAACTGAAAATTTTTTGGGCCCTTTGCTTTGTTCCTGTATAAGTAAAACGTGTCATGATGTCATTCATTATTTTTGGTGGGAGAAAGTCAGTGAGAAAAAGAGGAGGTTGAAATTGCATAGATTGCAGAAGAAAAATAAGAAGACTCATCAAGAACAGGTGCGTTGTTTTTTAGAAAGGGTCCTATTTAACTGGGCATAATTTCGTACTTTTTGCGACCATAATTATGTCATACTTTTTTCCCGAATACTTCCTCTTATCATGGATAATGAAATTCAAGTTAACCATATCATAGAGAAAGTTTTGGGGACCGTCTATAAATTATGTCACGCAAGAGGGGGAGGGGGATCCAAGGCTCCAATGATATCGTGCCTTTGTGACACATGTTAAATGGGGAGGGGGTGGGGTCTACAAATTCGCGATTTTTGCGTCACATAATTTATGGATGTCCCCTCAAGCTTATTTGACCAGCAAAAGCTTTCAATGTGGGCTATACAAGAATCGATAAAATTTGCAAAGTTTTTTTTTAATTTTCGAACGATCTTAACATGCCTGGCAAAATCGAGTACTTATCGACAACGAAATACTTTATCATGAGTAAAGAAAGTATTTCGTAGAAAACACTTATCATGGTCGGGCGTAGTACTAAATTATGATCAGTTAAACATGTCCCTTTAAGAAATAAGGAGGCGCGGAAGACACCCACTAGCCAGCCGGTGAAAGTTAAGTTATGGCTGCACAAATATACACCCAAAACGGGGGAGAAAAATGGGGTTCGAGGGTTCAGAAATATACACAGAATTTAGTATTAAGGTCGGGCAAGCTAACAGAGATTCAGAGAGAGCGTTACATAGTTGGCATTTTTTTTACCATCATCAGATTTCGGTGGATTATTGCCGGAGAAGAGTGGCTCCCATTCTCGCTTAGGATTGCCAGGAGACGGCAGAGGAGATCTTTGCGGAGTTGTCCCTGAATAACCCAAATACCAACCAAAAACCAAAAATTGAAACCCTCACGAACTACGAAAGATTTGCATATTTTTGTGTGGTGGTAATTCATTAGTTTACAGGGACGGGGGCACAAGGGGGGGGAAAGAGAGAGATCTACTACTGCGGTCTAGAGCGAGATAGAGAGAGCACAACTACTTGTTTTTTGCTGTTGCGTCACAGGACTAAAGCTTCGGGCATGATTAGACGCAGTCAATTAAAAGTATGTACAAATGATAAATGATAAGTGTGAGATTTTTAAGAGAAATTATAATAAAAAGAGACAAGAATAAGGGAATACATGCAGAATGAAAGCCATTAACAGAGCGATAGACAAATTAAATAGATACCGTAGATACTCTATTTATACCCGGGTCTAAAGACAGCTCAGATCCGGCTACAATTACAAACCGGGTATAATCGGGGACCCGGATAATTTTGTTTTCGGTTATGCATAACTTCAAGAATTGAAGAAGAGGCCTTAAACGAATGCTATAATTAGAGACAAGCTTATTAAATTTTCCAAACTTTGGCTCAAGATCGGACTATAAAATAGAGTATTTACGGTACTTGGAGAAAGCGACAGAGATAAGATTACACGATACAACAATGAGACGACATGTAACACACTCAGTGGCCGCGGAAGCCGTGGTGGGGACATTAACAGTGGAGGGACGGGTTTATATAAGATGGGGAGATGATGCGGACATCGAACAACCGTGGGGACATTGTCCCTCTTCTGACCTCACCCTTCCGCGGCCACTGGATACACATATTTCTATAATAACCACGAATGTATTCATAAGTACTAGATACATACAAACGTCGGCTTGATTACGAGTTTACCTGCCGTGTTACATTTAAGGGTTAAGTGGTTTGGAATGGAATTGGTGACAAGCACCGCAAATTCTGGAAACATGATACAAGTTAAAATAGTGTGTGAATCCGTAATAATTCACAATTTCACACGTCTTACATAATTGATGCTCTACTACACAAAATCTGAACTAATGTCAATCCTAGTTCATTATAAATAGTTTGTGATTTTTTGCTGCTTCATAATTAGTAAAAAAAATCAACTTATCCGAAAAGTATGGATTTCTCTTTCAAAAATATTGGTACATAAGAACTGAATTCTAAACTAAAAAAAGAGAAGCGGGTAAGCATCATGCCTTGAAATGGAGGAAAATGTGTAGACGGATAGTATGGGGGTGGGGGTCCACCGGTACCGTTCAGAGTATCTTTAGATCCAATGTGGTCGGAGAGACTGTCAGTTCCGTCAAGATTCAATTGAAGATCGTGAACCGTTTTCGGTGTGAACTCCTTCTTCGGTCTGGATGCGGCTTCCTCTTTCCTGAAAAAAGGAGAAAAAATGATTAAACGGTCAAAATTATGTTATTAACGTAGGACTCGATGATTCATTATCAAAATCGGCACATTTTAATCATTTCTCGGCTCTGGGAATTTATTTACAAATTTGCCGTCAAATTTGCCGTGAGTTGATTAATAGAATGCCGGTGAGTTTTTTAAGCCAGTTCCAATTTTTCTGAAGGCTTCTTAACCTTGAGATCTCCTCCTTCAAAACGCGTTAAAATCTGGAGTGTATATTTTTACAAAATCGGGAACGACCTGTTCTACAAATCTGTCGTCCAGAATTAAAAAATAAATTTCCAGAGCGGAGAAATGATTAAAAATGTTTTAATCTTGACTATTTTGGCGATGAGTCCTAAGGTAATAAAAATTATGTTAAAAAATGTCTTACTTTTCTTCCAATGTGCTGCATAACGCGGTTAAAATCTCGGTACACTGCTTGTGGTATTCTAGCAGACACTCTGTGAACATTGCTAGTTGTGAGACTTGCTCTATCTGTGGGGTCGCCAAGAATAAAAAATAATTAGATCCCAACCAGTAAGCTATTTTTAAAGTAAGGGGATGTCCATAAATTATGTCACGGCTGAGAGGATAAAAGTTTTGCGTGATAAGCCCATTTTCGCCACATGTGAAAAGGGGGTGTAACCTGTTCATTTTCATTCATTTTAGTGATTATGATGATGAATAATGGTGAATAAAAATGAATTTCCTGAGTCATTTGAGTCAAAATCACTGAAGCATTCTGTCATTTCAGATGAATAACCGTGAATGATAGGATTCTTCACTCCTTCATTTTACACCCTATGCTTAATACATGGGGCGAAGTAAGAAATGAAGTCCGATGAAGTGAAATGAAGTGAAATGAATTCGAAAGAAAATGACTGAATGTGAATGAAAATCTTCAGTTAGAAATCGAGATGATTGACTTTTGAATGAAAACTAAATTTTTGAACAGGTACACATGGGTGTAACGCGAGGAAAGGGAGGATATAAAAAATCTGCATTTTTGCGTGACATAATTTCCGGACGTTCCACAAATCTGAAACTCCTTACATCGTTCTCCAACAAATTATACATCCCCATTTGGGCCAAATGTAAACTTTCGGCGAATTTATCTTCTGCCAATCTTATTTCGTCATCTGTAATTTTTTTATCTATTTCATCAGAACCGTTGTTTAAACATGGTTGAGAAAATCCAGTGAAGTGCAAAACCAAAGAAAATCAAACGAACGAACGGTCATCCAATGAACATAAATAAAAAATGAAACAAAAAACAAAACATATCAGTACTAAATAACAAAGCATAAATAAATAATTATTAATAATAACCAGAGAGCGGATATGTATTTATATACTATTTTAAACTTTCTCATTTAATGACGCTTAACTCTTATAGATCACAAAAATTTCAAAATATTTTCACATATTGTTCGTATTTCTGGGTTTTCAGGCATATACATATTTATAAATATTTTCACTATTATTCGAAAAATACGTAAAATTTTTAGATATTTTTTTTCGAAAATATGTATTTTATAAATTCTTCAACGATGTGACACGAATTTTTTTTGGTGAATTAGACCACAAAAAATCCAGAGAATTAACTTTTCCAGAGAATTAAGGTCAAATTTTGCAAAAATTATCATTTTTATATTTTTTTCATACATATTTCTGAAATATTTTGACGTTTCTTTCCTAAATACATATCCCCCCTCTGAAACAACAATAATATTTAAGTGAAATCATAAAATAAGTAATTTTTAATGCAGTATGCATGTACATATATCATTCCAAAAACTGCCAAAATTTGTGCGCATAATTCTATCCACTAAAAAAATACTCTACAATGCAACATTACTACATCAACTTCACTGGCTGTCATATTTTTGAGCTTACAACAAAATTCAACTCGATTAAGTCAATTGAATAATAAATACGTGAGTTTTTTGAGACGTCAATAAAAATAATGACAAAACACAATTTGGGGCGACACAATTTGCAAAAGTCTTTCTTGTAACAAGAGGATTGCGAATAAAGTGCAATTAACGATTTAAAAAAGAATGTGCCACCATCATTCAATTCTGTTTTTTACCAGGAGCTTGTCTGCCTCCAGAGAAATTATGGGCAGGACTCCCGAACGGACTCGCTTGCGGAGTTTTCCCTTAGAAGTTGAAGTTGTAAAAGAGATAAAACAAATGAATATCAGGCAATCGAAGAAAGTACCATGCTCAAAAATATATCATTATTTTTGGTTCTACTATGTATGACTACTCATTCCAAAAATACTGCATTTCCGTCAGCATCCATAATAATAAGATAAGAGAATAAAAATGGATAAGAATAGTAATGGATGGTTGATACGTAAGAGGTGAAGTGAGAGACGCTTTAGACACTTAACTTTGCCACCAACATCGTGCATACCTTTGGACTGCTTTCTTTTTTTACAATCAAAATCTAGCCGTCGCCCTTGCAACTTTTTACGATGATGCTGAAAAGGAAAAGAATTAGAACAATAATTAGTCAATACGGTACATATGTGCATATCCGCAATAGTACGAAAGCATGACTAGAGATAACTAATATCAGAAATATTTAGGTCAGGGCATATCATCTTTGCGCTGTTATCCGGTGTGCAGTGTTTCGGATGCAAGTAACCACGTGCAAGAAATAACGGGAAGAAAAAGGTTTCTTGCAGATAAATATTTTGACCTGCAAGAAATGCAAGAAAGTGCAAGAATCTACGCCTCGCTGTTATACTTTATACGGCGCGTGACCGGATGGCTCATATTTCTTGCACTTTCTCCCAGTTTCTTGCACCTCGCATTGCACAAAATGAAACCAGAAGCAAGAATTCGCTAAACCCCGAAACACTGCTTGTATGTCATGGGTATTCAGTAAATTCAAGTTTTTAGTACAAATAGATAGGTCTGGTATATGTACTTCACTTTAAAGAAATTGCGGATATGCTTATGAAAGAATTAATATATTGTGAACATAAAGACTGTATAGGTCCGTACCATAACTTCCTTTAAGTCTTTCGTCTGTAAGTGATGAAGTGGTTCCAGGAAATTCTGCTTGACATTATCATCTAGGGCGTACTTGTTATCCGCCATTTGCTTCAAACTTTCCCCCGCTTCTATTAGAGCTTGAGCTTTTGATCCCAAACAAAATTAAATTACGGCCATGTTAAAGTGTCGTAAATCATTAGGGTTTCAAGTGTAGTTGCACTTTAAAAAGCTTTCTGTACCGAAAACGCTGTCTTCCCCAAGTTTCCTGCCATACGTGGACATGCACTCACCCAAAACGCCTTCTGGCTGGGGATATGTTGAAGCCTGTGACCACATTTTAGCACATTTTAGCTCAGTTTTTATCATGGTTTAGTTAAATGCACAATTAAATTCTCAGAATTAATGTATGAATGTAAGTGCTTACTTTGGCTTGGCCACTCAGTTTCGATATTCCTTTTACTGCTGCCATTTTCGCCCTCGCGGTGGGATTTGGTTGCAAATATTCTCGCGTTTTAAGCTGCAGTTCTTCCACCAATTCGCACGTAACGTCGGTTTTCTAAATACATATATGAATGACAATCATGATATTGGTTCAAAGTGATTTTGCTATCGGTCATGTTAAATCGGACATGTTGGACGAGTCGAAGGCATCATTTATTAATGAATGGTTAAATTATGCAGTACAATATTTAACATAGACTCTTAGAAATCCAGGATTAAAATGATACCAAGCGGTATTCATGCATGTATGACTCTTCAAAATTGGTATAACTTTTCAATGATAAGTAATACCGTATAGTGATAGCTCGGCTTTAAAGTTTTACCACATCGCTAGCAAATAAATTTTTAACGACTGGTACAATTTTAATACCAACTGGTAGCAACTTCAATATCGAGGAGTCAATACGTGCCTGACTACACAAGATTTGTAACAGTGTATAAATCCAGTATTAAAGTAATACCAGGCGGTATTCATGTGTGACTTTACCAACGCGGAATTGATAAGTAATACCGTGATACCGTCAACCGTGTAGTAATATAGGTCAATATTAAAGTTTTACCATATCGCCAGCAAATTTGTAAGGACTGGTATAATTTACTTACATACCACGCGGTAGCAACTTAATACCGAGAAATCAATACCATTTCTAACATTGTATACATATGTACATACCTTTTCCATTTCCATAAAATCATCATCAAGCCGGGTTCCTTCTACGCCGCCAATCTTCTCGGTCATGTACTGAAATAGGGAAACATTCATTCATTTTAGCATGAATTGCATTGTTAATTAGGGAAAAATTATTAGTAATTAGTTTTGATTAGTGTCTTATCCTTTTCTATTGTTCATCTTGCTAATAAAGGATAAATATTTTACTGGGAATGAGATATGTTTTTGCTTTCTCCGCTTTCATTTCATGGTAAGTTTGACTTGGGAAAAGTAGGCCAACAGCAACAAAGATATCAAATTGTGTGTGTACGCGGTCTAGATTCCGACATAATTATCATCATAAAGACGTGATCTCGACAAAACATGGGCTTAATTACGAGCAAACATAGCATCATTATGTGTACATATGGATTCTAAATGCATGCACGACATGACATGCAGTGGCCGCGGAAGCGTGGGGGGACAGTTCCCCATCTCATATAAACCGTTCTCTCCCCTATCCTACAATGTAAATGTCCCCACGCCTTCCGCGGCCACGGTATGTATGTACATGCTCCATAGTGGTGATGTTGGTAAAATAAAAGTGGCCGCGGAAACGTGTGGACAGAGGGACAATGTCCCCACGATTATTCGATGTCCGCATCATCTCCCCATCTTATACAAACCCCTCCCTCCCCTATCCTACAATGGTAATGTCCCCACGTGTCCCCACACCTTCCGCGGTCACTGACGCCATCCGAGAACTTGGAGATCCATCCATCCAATTACGAGAAGCAACAGCTCAGCTCAGCTCCGATCATGTTGCTGGTACACAGAGGACAGGAACGCGTGCAAAGGATTTATATTTATGTATACAGTGCCGGCGGAAGTTAGAGGGGGACATAGGGGGACATTAGCATCATGAGATAGAAGGAGGAGGGACTTATTAACAAGGATTTTTCAGAATTCTACTTCTGAAGGGGCTTATTAACATTGAAAGGATAAAATCCATCTGAATTTCTGTAGGAACAATGCCCGCCACTTGTCCCCCGAGGTCCCCTGGCGCTTCCGCCGGCACTGTTCATGTATGTAAGGATTTTATTAAGAGTTTACTAAAACTGGTGGGCAGATCAGATACAATATGAAACCGACTAACTAATCCTCTCACAAAGGGAAGATCTCTGTTCGGAGAAGACAATAAACTTTCACCGCTAATACGCTATTTCTAAACCGGGTTTAGCCCCCAGCCAGAGTACATATCGTCGTCATCATCAATAATATCGCCCACTTATCTTCTCGTCCGACCAATAAAGCTATAGCCACACCACAACCACCACCACAACCACCTTGCCTAAGCCACAACGTAATCAAATATAAAAAATGCCGCATTGTAATACGACGACCGGGTAGGAGGATTAGGGCTCAACGTGGAGAAAGCTGCACGCACGCACACAATAGAAATATATTTAGCAAGGCAGGCTCAACAACCATTAACCGTCGTTCGTACACTAAAATTGCATGTATGGACATATACGTGTTTTTATGTAGAACTAAAAATGGAGGTGTCCCAGCGTATGCGATACGATTTTAAGCAAATTAGTGTGAATCGATGGCAAATTTAGTTCGTATGAAATTTGCGAAAGACACGATCTCCCAATGGGCACGTTTGGCAGAGGTATTTGCATCCGAAGAGGAGAAAGTGCGCCTTAAAGTCGACAAATTTTGCACTTTCTAAATTTACTGCGCGTGTTCTCCTCTTCGGATGCAAATATCTCTGCCAAACGTGCCCATTGGGAGATCGTGTCTTTCGCAAATTTCATACTAACCAAATTTGTGCTCGATTGACACTAATTTGCTCAAAATCGTATCGCATCCGCTGGGAGACCTCCATTCTTCGTAAATTTTAATATAATGGGAAATCGAAATCTGTCATGGGAGAGTTACACTCTGTTGTCAGTTATCCTCCTTTTCATTAATATTTCCAATTACAACATGTACACATCCCCGACTTTTCTCCTTTTCTTCCTTCACAACCTCATCAATATCTACAGCCCAATTAAATCTGTCGTAAAATCAGTCAAGGAAATATTAAACCGCATTGTGTTCAGATTAGTCGTCGTCGTCGTCGTCCTCGTTTTCTGAAACGATCCAGGTGGCTGGCTGCCTAACAATTCCCTGATTAAAATATGGTTGGGCATTATTAAATTGAATTTTCAATGGACATTGAGTACATACGACGAGGAAATGAACCAGACCAATAATAATGCCCCAAGAGAAATGGGTGGGTTGCAACAGGGGCCGCGGAAGCTGTGGGGACATCTGGGGACATTAAGATTGTAGGAATGGGGGGAGGAAGAGGTTCATATAAGATGGGCAGATGATGCATACACTGAATAACCGTGGGGACATTTTCCCTCTGTCCCCACTGCCTCCGCGGCCACTGGATTGCCCCAATGTCAGCAGATAAATGAGTGGGTAGCAACAGTGGCCGCGGAAGCAGTGGGGACATTAAAATTGTATGATAGGGGAGGGATGGGTTTATATAAGATGATGAGGACATCGAATAACTGTGGGGACATTGCCCCTCTGTCCCCACTGCCTCCGCGGCCACTGGATTGCCCCAATGTCAGCAGATAAATGGGTGGGTAGCAACAGTGGCCGCGGAAGCAGTGGGGACATTAACATTGTAGGATAAGGGAGGGACGGGTTTATATAAGATGGGGAGATGATGCCGACATCGAATAACCGTGGGGACATTGCCCCTCTATCCCCACGGCTTCCGCGGCCACTGGCTAGCAAGCACATGCATGCATGCACACACACGTATTTGGAGAGAGAAAGCATGAGTAAAAGAAATAAAGGGAGCTAAACCGACAGCGAAATCTATGCCTTTCTTCTCCTTTCTCCTCTCGAAAGTTCACTTCACTTCACGTACACATTCAGCTGCTTTCACTTTGTCGTGTCGTCCATGTCAAGCCAACAGGATTGCATTATCCCTTCCTCCTCCAAGACCAGAGCAGCCAACTTTCTCTTTACATACACGGAGAACGCCATGTTGATGCTGGTCGGTTGGTTTGGCTGGCTCAATTCCCTCCCATGGTAGTTTGGTAGGAAAGGCTGGCTGAATTCGGGAGGAGATTATCGATCCGTTCACCAACTATACGACCAGACCAGTTTAGGTCTTATATGCGATACGATAAGGCTGCTGCACCAGCAGCGAGAAGAAGGAGGCATGTTACAGCATCTGCTTCTTCTTCTGAGGATTGGGTGCAAGCAGAGGAAGAAAATTAGACGACTGCAGCCAAGAGTTCGGCCGTATATTACGTCATCAAAAAATAATTCCCCATTTTATCCCCCACCCACTCCCAACGTATACGTTAAGGGGTAGAAAATTTCAAAAGATACGAAGACCCACTCACTAGAATAATGACGTAATATATGGACGTTCCCCTGAGCTAGCGAGGTGGTGGTGGTGGTGCTAATGCCTACCTATTACTACTTTACCACCGGATATGAATTCAGGTCAAGTCAAAAGGAAATCTGTCCCGTCTTTGTAGGAGCCGATACTTTACGATTTTACGGAGAGGAATGGAAACCAAGTATGCAAAGAAGGAACGTTTTTTAACGTTTCTCGTAAAAAAAGTACGCCCCAATCGAACCGAGACACTTGACTTTCTCCACATCCTTCCATCTCTTATGGGAGGAAGGTACTTGATCAGACAGACAAAAAATCAGGGTGTACGTAATACTTTGTCAGAAATGCATTTCACTTAAAGAGTCCCAGAGTAGTCGTATAGTATAAAAAACGTTATTTGAAGTCCTTGTCGGCTGGACTGGAATCTAACCTCGGCGACGGGAGATCGTCGTCACTCCGCAAAAAATAGAAAGACACGACACACGATTGGTCACCAGGACAGTATCGTCGTCATGATTCTGCCCACGTTCCAAACCCGCATGCATGCATTTTTCTACCCGAAAAACATTGCTTTGTTCATTCCATTCACTATAAAAAGCAGACTGTGACGGGAAACAAAGCGCAGTATTTGATGTGGTCGAGGGCTCAGATATCAGTCGGTGGTTCTATCAAATCAGTGACCGCGTAAGGGTGGGGGGACAGAGGGACAATGTCCCCAGGGTTGTTTGATGTCCACATTGTTATACAAACCCCTCCCTCCCCAATCCTTCAATGGCAATGTCCCCAAATGTCCCTACAGCTTCCGCGGCCACTGTACATACATATGTAGTGCCGAGCAGTACGGATGGGAGCATTAGTGCATCGCCTAACTTAATTAGTCGCCTTTCCAGCCCTTGCAGTTCGTTATGAAAGAGAAAATGCCGGAAACAGGACGAACGTGTTGCTCCATTAGAAAGTAAGGCGCTGTGTTTTAGGCAAATTCGCTAAATGAAAATTATTTGGACAACGCGACGCAACGTGTTTCGCTACCTTTTGTGTGCTGCTCGTCCTCCTCTTTTATGTATGGCACGTAAATAAATTACGTCTCTCACTTTGAAAATAATGAAGGGAGACACTGACTGAACTGATGCTGCGTACGGTTTATGTACACCTTTCACTTGATGAGGATGCCATTACTTGTGTGCAGTGGCCGCGGAAGTCGTGGGGACATGAGGGGACATTAATATTGTAGCATGGGGGAGGAAGGGGTTTATATAAGATCGATGGGGACATCGAACAACCGTGGGGAATTGTCCCTCTGCCCCCACCCACGATTCCGCGGCCACTGTTCTTTTAGAATTATGGAGCATGTACATACAGTGGCCGCGGAAGCCGTGGGGACATTAACATTGTAGGATAGGGAGGAAGGGGTTTATAGGTATAAGATGGGGAGATGATGCGGACATCGAATAATCGTGGGGACATGGTCCCTCTGCCCCCACGCACCCTTCCGCGGTCACTGACGGAAACGTACGCTTCTGCAAATATGTGCTGTACTGGTCTCATATGCAAATACATGTTTTATGCAGGATACGCTCACGGATTAATTTTTAAAGTGAACAAACTGTCAATTTATCCTGCCACTCATGCCTGTCTTGGAGAAGGCATGTCACGACGAGTGAAGCCTTTCTACAAGAAAGACTTTCTCTCTCTCCGATTAATTATTTAGGGGAAGAAGAAAGCTGAAAATGTAAATTCAAATCAGTGTAAGGTGAGCAATGTGGTTTGTGAAAAGGTTACAGGAATGAAAACGGAACCACCTGTTTAAACAGGGATACAAAATGTGGGTTGTGGGTGCTAAGCACAAAAATAGGATGATAGACAACGACAACTTATGTATGTCAGTCATGTCTTATTATATCCTAAAATTAAAAATAACTGCAAATACAAAACCTAAAGTGGAGCTTTATTTAGCCCGAGTCAGGTTGTTATGAATAATTGAGGTGGGTGGGTGGGTATGAGACCGACGATTACAACCTTTTTATTTTTAGACATTTTGCTCATTTTTTAAATTGATTCCTAAGTTTGCATATTTTACACGCGTGTCCAAAATTTCAAGTGGCTGGATAAGTTTTACGTGCGTAATCAATAGATAGGCAGACATTGCAAAATAAAACCCACGCAAGAAATGCGAGGTGCAAGAAACTGGGAGAAAGTGCAAGAAATATGCGGCATAAATTGGGGCGTAATTTCTTAATTCCTAATTTTGCATATTATAAATGTGTCCAAAATTTCAAGTGGATTGGATAAGTTTGTTGACGAGCGTAATAGGTAGATAGACAGACAGGCATGACTGGTACATAAGCATTAACTCGGGCTAAAAATGATGTATTAATCTTCGAAATGTATGTAAATTAAGGAAAGAATTTCAAATTTTTTTCCTAATCTTAAAACGATGAATGCGACAATAAAGTGAGCTCAGTTTCTTTGAATTAAATATTCACGAACTAACAATCATCCTTAATTTCCGTTCGATACTAAAAATTACGGCTTAATCCGAAAAGTTGTTGACCAAGTTTGACCTCATTCAAATTCTTTCCTTTATTGCTAATCCTCCCAACTTGGTCGGAGTAGAGAAGTAACTACACAAATAAACAAGAACGTGATTGAGTGCCGGAAAGGAAGAGAAAGTTCCTGATTATCACTTGAACGCAGAGAATTACTTTCTCCGATCCGTCCATCCTGACAGAGAACCACTTTTAGTCAGGCAGGCAGTCAATAGTAAATACAGCCCACGACTAAAGTGAAATAATATGCTTGGCGTACAAGAAAGTCTGTCTGTCTGGTCCTAACTAACAACCGAATCAGTTGGAAACGTGCGGAGAATTAATCCACACCCACACCTACACACAGTGGCCGCGGAAGACCAGCAGGGGACATCTGGGGACGTTAAGATTGTAGGAATGGGGGGAGGGAGGGAGGATTTCATATAAGATGATGGGGACATCGAATAACCGTGGGGACATTGTCCCTCTATCCCCACGCTTCCGCGGCCACTGTATCTCTTAGCAAATGGAACATCTCTTAAGTGGCTGCCCGTATAACCGTGGGGACATTGTACCCACGTTTCTGCGGCCATTGCCTTCAACCCACACCTACACCAGTGGCCGCGGAAGCTCTGGGAACATTACCATTGTAGGATAGAGGAAGGACGGATATATATAACATGTGTAGATGATTGGACATCGAATAACCGTAACCCTGGGGTCCCCACGCAGCTTCCGCGGCCACTGCGTACACCCACCTATCCATGAATCGCCTCCAGAGACCGAACAAACTACATACGTTTAATACCGATGAATATACACGATCTATTCCATTTCATTGATTTCTTTCCCCCGATTGCACAGCCCTTTAGAGAGCACACTCGATGCTCAACGGTAATAAAATTATATGCATTGTCGGAAATCGTGTCGTTGTTTGGCATTGTAAAAACTTAGACTACATCCAATCCACACCCACGTTCGTAAATACGTTCGTAGCGAGGAGGAGGCGGTGAAAGGCAAGTCAACAACAAAGAGGAAGAAGAAATGAGAATGAGATTTTTGTGCATCTATTTACTTGACATCTTGTTAACCCAAGGCACACACGGCAATGTCACGACATTCCTTCTCGTGCCTTCTATCTTTTACCTGTCTCATATTTATTTGCTCTTTATTATTCCGTCTGCTCCTCTTTTCATATTTTTCGAAATATGCAAATAACTTTTGGAACGCTAAGAGGATCCAATCTAATTTGGGGAAAGGCACGACTTAATTTTATTCTCGTGTAGATAGGTAAATTGGAAATATGAATTGCTTGGAATTTCCAGGTCACGTAGTTGCATTAATATTTTTTCTACAAGCTTAAAACTTGAGCTACATTATTACGGAGATTGCGAATTAAGGTTTTTGCACTAAATTTGTCATTAGCGCAAATGAGAAACTGAGGAGCGTTTACGTGAAAATTAGTGTAAATACCGTTAATTCGTACTTAATCACCTTAAAAAATAATTGGAAAGTAATTAAAAGTAATTGCAAAAATTGGACTTGTCGTTTGATCCAAATTGGTCGGTCGGTGGCATCAGCACGAGCAAACTAACTATGCGTATGTACATACATATATGTATGTATGGTGAATATAGTAGTTTATCTCAACGTTCGTATTTGTCAGAACAATATAATTGAGGAAGACAGGAGAACATTCGAAATTAGAGAAAACCGAGTATAAACGGATTATTTACCTGATTGGCTTTGTTGATTTGCTTCCTAAGCCCGGAGAAAGCCATTGTGAAAATTCAATTCGGTATTGTCTCTTCAACTCCAACTTCACTTCAAACACTGCGGGACACCTTGATCTCGAACTTTTCTTGACAATTCCACCTCCAACTCTTGAAGGTCGAGATGCAATTTCCAGACGCGATGACGAACTATTCGTTGCTTCGTTTAAACGAGGAATACGAAGAAAATTATTAATTACGTAGAGATTAAAAATTGTCAAAAGACACTTTGTTGGAAGGTATTTATGTATGTATAATGTTCCAGAGAGTTGATTTGCAACTCAGGCCGTGTATTGTATTTAGTTGATGTAGGACACATTAAATTTAAGGCTCGGCTATACTTTCACCGAATTGATTGGGGTTCAAAAATTCTATCTGAAAGTTAGACGGGTTTGTTAAATAACTAAATCTAATTTTTTCTCGTGCTATACGATTTACTTTTTTTATAAGAGTTTAATTACGAAATATTCTTAAATTGTGGTACAATCGTCACTAAATAAAAGACTTTATCGAAGAATGTAAGAACGTGCGGGTACGTAAATACGTTCGTGTTCCTGCTCGGTCGTCGTATCGTGAAAATCTGAACCAACCATACAACAAGGAAAGGAGAGAAAGTTAAAGTTTGTTGGTAGCCGTGTATGTATGAAGGACCTCGCCTTTCTTTCACTACTGGTGCCGAATAGAGGAGTGCTTTCTCCTACAGCATCTAGATTGCTGGATTCTAGATTGTACTAAACCCACTCTGACTGGAGAACTAATATTCTGGCCGTTTTGAGAGAACAGGATTCTTCTGCACTTGCTCTGCTTCTGACTTGTCCGTGTAATGTTCCAGGAGTCGAGACTCGAGCAGTAGTAGAGAAAGCGAACCAACTCCTTTCTCTTCTTCCGTATTAATAATATCTATCACTCCGTATTTGCACCCACCAAACCGACCAAACCACTATTGAAACTGTGTGTAGTTAACGGATCCTTAGCTAGCAGTCAGTGGGACAAAATGTGTGAAGAAAGCAGGACTGCACTATCTGGACTTTAAGTAAGCCCGATGGGGATATGAAATGCGAAGACGATGGGCTGTGTGCTTTCTTCTTAACACAAATACTATTTTCTTTTCAATATTGAGCCCCAAATGTTGACTCGGTTTTACTTTTCTTGAGCAGAATGACGACGCCAGGCCAGGCGCTTACTTATTTCACTCGCAGAGTAGCAAAGCAACAAAGAGCACTTCTTCTTCAACTTTTGGAGAGTCTGTTCTGTTGTGTAAAGAAAGAGAGCTTTTTTTAAGTACTTTCTCCTTTTTTTGCTTGACAGACAGACAAATCTTGCTTTTCTCTCAGGGACGATGATGACGACGATGGTCACGGTTGACTTGACTTGACTTTGCTTTTATAAAGGAAGGAGGAAGGAAATTGGAGTTTTGTTTGGTTCAAGGTTTCGACAATACGGAGGAGCCGGATGGAGTGCACTTCCGATTTTAAGGCTGGCTGGAACTACACAGCTGAGTATTATTTGTGAGGAACAATGGTCAATTTATAGAGTGTCCGATTTGAGAATAATAAGGATTCTGTGATACGCCCACTATCAATGGAAAAATGGTAATTGTGCACGGATCACCGGTGGAATTGCAGAGCTAAAAAGAGAGAAACAAAAGAGCAGTGTTAAATAGTAGTATGTGCGAAATAATTAGAATTTCGTCATAAATAGGTGTTTGGTAAATGCTAGAAATATATACTTAAATGCCATTCTTTTAAAGGAATGATATTTAAGTTTTTTAAGTAAATATACTTGGTTTTGATTAATTTTCATTCAAGTCTAATTATGAAATTCGACTTTTAAGTCTGACAGTAAAAGTAAAAGAAAGAAAGCACGGAATTATTTACTTTCTCCACGTTAAAACATAATTGCACGAGCTATTAGCTCGTGAATTTAGGAAATTTAATTTGAAATTAAATTTCCTAAATTCACTCAGTCCTATACTTTTAACTTTTAATTGCATAATTGTCTTGAGTCTACGCCAATTTAATTTTTGTTAAATTTAATCTGATTATCAAATTTGTTAATTTACAGGTCAAAAATAAGTATGTCTTCAAACTCAATTTACCACGGGAAATAGTTCTAAATGTGTTTTACTAATGATGCAAAAATTAAGACAATGTTGTTAATTTTCGTAATTTTACAATTACGTTAAAAGATTTATTTTTTTACTTTGATTTATTGTCCCCTTTTAATTCACAACTCGTGATTTGATTTTTAACCAACCAGAGAATAATGCAAGTAATTACTAAAGGACAAACTTACTTGGCAATTTCAGCTGAATTATACGACGATAAGATAAGAAATAATAATTGATAAGAAAGACTAACTAAATGTTTGCCTGAATGAATAATACGATACGATATATGGTTTAGTTTAGTCTCAGCTTTTGAGTTTGTTGAGTTGAGGACCAACTTGAAGAAAAATGAGTCTCAGGAAGCTCAAATACCAAACCAATACCGAGAATTTTATATGAATAAGAAGGGTTAAAATTTTGTTGTAAAATACGCTTATTACTTGAGAGCCTATAGTAATATGCATCTAGAAATGAGATGATGATGGTGGTGGCCTTTACACTGCTGATGGTTCGTGTACAATGCATAATGTAAATGAAACGTGTTATCATTGGCCACGGAAGCTTGAGGACAGAAGGACAACAATGTCCCCACGGATATTCGATGTCCCCATCATCTCCCCATCTTATATAAACCCCTCCCTCCCCTATCCTACAATGCTAATGTCCCCAGATGTCCCCCCGGCTTCCGCGGCCACTGCATGTTATGAATGAAGATTCATCATCCTCATCAGCGTCATCATCATCGCCGTCTTCCTATTACTCATTGTCTACTAATATTTATGATGCTATTTTATTCAAGTGAGCCACATATGCATGTATACTCTTGTTTATTCATGATTATTCGCAATGTCATACTCATAAGTATGCAAGTTTGCATGCATGCTTTTTCATTGGCAAATATTTAATTGTACTTGGCTGGCTAGTTTGCCAAACCAAAGTTTACCGTGCCATGCTGTACCAGCCAGCCGTGGTTTGGTGGTGATGTAGCTGGTTTGCAAAAATTGGCAGCGTAGGGAAAGTATTAACTGGTTATTTATTTAGGTTGGTTAGTTTAGTGAGTGACCAAATTATTGTGATGCTACTGTAACTTTAATCATGTGGGAATTCCGTTTATTGCGAAATGATATGCCTCCCCACTTGTTGGTTTTAAGAATTTGAACTGTCTGCGGCCGGAAATTGACTTTGTGACATTGCCATCGTTTATTAAATTATTAACGTCTTTTGCCTTATTTACTTGAGACTAATCAATGAGACAAAACAAAGCTAACATATTTAGAAAATTGATTGCATGTAGAAGTGAAAATTGTCAAAATAAAGTTGACTGTCTTTCTCTTGATATATGTAACAATGCATAGAGTAGTTTTCTGGAATTCTCACATTATTTGGTTACCAACCACGCTATGTAGTAATGGTTTTAGCCTGGAGTATTCGTACCTTCAATTATCTTACATACATGCAAAGTTTCGTACATGTATCTCTAGAGTAATAAATGACCAACATTCATACTTATATACATACCAATGGACTGATACAATGAGACGGATAATTAACCTCACAGGCATAGAATTATTAGCGACTAGTTGTGCAACAAATTCATATTATGGGAGAGCTATAACATTAGCAAATGATTACTTTTATCTTATTTCCGCTGAGAAGTATATTTGCAATATTATTATGTCAAAGGGGGTTCTTCATTTTAGGCTGCATTGTCAGTGTCACAAATTGTTGAAGGACTAGAATCGACTTCAGCACAAATAGTCGCTAAACAAACTTTCCAACATATACATAGGGGGGAGAGTTAATCTTGTCATTTAGTGATCTCGACTCGGTAATGGATGGGCTTCGGTATTGAAAATCCACGAATTCAAATCGAATATTGGCTTATCACTAAACAACAGGTAGAAGTATTTCAGCGTCTCTCCTAAAAAGAAACTTTCCATCATGTCTCGGGGCTGAAATATAAAAGCAATGTGATTAATTAACGGTAACTGGAGAAAATTGTGGCTTTAATTGAATTCAGATTGAGCGAGCGGAGGGAGAAGACTAATTTCCAGACCAATGAACTTTCTTCAGCCCAATAAAGGTTTTATCCACAATGTTCGTATCATTTCAATCTGAACTCAATTTACTCCAAGTATTAATAGTATAAGTCACATACCCGAGTATTTTCTGGGTGGAGAACGGAACCAATTGACGTAAACCCATGTTGTACTCTGGTATATTTTAAGAATGATTGGAAAATTTCCCATCCCCAGTCCTGATATTTCGTGTCTCCAGTGATTTGGTACAAATACCATAAGCTTTCAACGGTTTCAGGTCGAAGAAGATTATGAGCGTCGTTATTCTTTACGAAGAAATCTGCTTCGGAGTCATTCTAAAGTATTAGAGAGCAGATTTTCCAATATGATATTTAATTTATGTAAATTAATTAAACTGTAAGTAATAATACTTCGGTTTGGAAGAATGTAATTTCAGGGGCCAATCCGGTTGGCTGTCTTTTATATGTCTATTAATAAAAATATAATTAAATTTTATAATACTGCATGTATGTATGATATAAAATTACCTGATAGCAAGTGTATAAAAGTTCTTTGGCAAAATCCATGTGCCAATTTGGAAGACCGTGAGCGACGCCTAGTGCTAGAGTCCCTGAGAACACAAAGGAAAAAAGTAATGAGGTAATGACCCAAATGCATGCAGAAACGTAGCGTTTAATTTTATTTATATGACTGATTAATGAATTAAATTGACGAATAAACTACATTGACCGTTCTTGTAGTTGTGAAAATATTCGAGTTATTTTATCATTATGGGAATGTAAGATAATATGTACCTGGAAGATAACACACCAAATGATCCTGGAAAGAGGAACAACAACCAAAGATTATTTTATATTGCAAGAAGAATTATATTAGCGTTTATACTCCAGAAACTCACCATTTTAGGTTTAAAAATCTTGCCATTTTCCAGTTCACCAATGAATGTAAGATTGGAAATTTTAGTCCTTTGTAGAAGTAAATTCTTCATTCCCTCAACAGCAGCCAGATAATCGTCGCGCAAACTATAAAATAAAGCGAACAATACATAAAAAATCGATTAACTAAACTGAACTAAAATGTCAATAATTACAAGTCAATCGTCTTTCCGGTTTGAATCCACTGCTTGAGCAAATACTCGTAGTAACTATCACCCCGAGCACCAAGAGTGATTACAGCAGTTGAGCGAAAATTCCCGGTGCTTGGAGTTATGTGAATCGGAACTAGGCCTTGAAGTTTATGCAAATTATGGATATGTTTTGAAACGTTCATCGCACTCTCCTATAAAATTGTAGAAATAAAAATATAGTTAGTTACTCACTAATAATAATGGTACAAAATAATCGAAGAATGATAAGATTGAATACCTCAAATATAGGAATATTCGTTATACGTGACAAGTCTCTAAACTCCAACTGAACTGTGGACACTTCGGAGGTTGTGCTATCCGGATTCCAGGCTGGGCCATGAGCTGATTTAGATCTCAGGTTTATATCCGAATAAGGTATGCCTGAAGGACTTTTGAACCCGACAACTAAGATGGACCCTAGGTCTTGAGATTTTTTCAGAAACATTGGGTCGCCCGATAAATGATACGCACTTAATAAACCCCCCAAAACACGAATTGTAGTTTCAAAGAGGTTCACATTTTGTGGAACTTCATAAGAGAGAGAGCTTTCCACCCAGTCACGAGCTTCTTTAAATTCTGGAATATTCATGTGCATCCAATTAAGTTTAGTGATCGTAACAATTTGATTAATATCAGAAATCTGTGACAATATACCGTTTTGTAGGTTCATTATGTACATGGTATCAAGCGAATCAATTAACGTGAGACCCAAACTGAACCAGTCTTGACCCCCTCCAGATATTGGTTTAAGATGGTCCTGTAAAAATTTAATCAACAAATATGCATAAAATATATGTTCCATGTAATTATACGTTCTTAAAGATTACCTAAGGGAGGGCGGCCTGGTGGATACGAATTTGACCTTGAATAACCCCGGAACGGTTTGTCGTAGCGGGTCAAAATTTTGAACAGACGAGCATGTTATCCTCAGATAGTTGTGTGCAAAATTTCAGCCTTCTACTTTGAAAAATGCCTGCCCCACAGCCCCCAGAAGCTGAGACAGTCATTTCAAATAGTTCCAGAAAAAATCTCGCCCGTGTTTGCAAAAAATTTTATTTGAATATTCTGTTGAGGAATAGAAGTGAGCTATTGGTGACAATTGACGAAGAACTATTTTCCCTACAAGTTACTAATTGGGTTCGAAGAGCTTACTACACGACAAATGCCGAAAAAAAATTCAAGAAATTTGGTGCTTTTCAGTGAGGAGAACTTTTTTAAACAGTTGATGGTCGTGGGTGCAATGTCCTGTCGTGGTGTCCTCCCACTTATCAAAGTCCCCCAAAAAGTGAAGGAATCTTCGAAGTATTATGTGGACCTTGTACTGAAACCACTTTTAGAATACAATTTTCCTAATTTGCACGGTAAAATAATAATTAAGGTGATTTTTCATCATGACGGAGCGTCCTCCCAGACGGCAAAGTTGACCCAAGATTATGCAAATGACCTTGAACCTAGATTGGGGATAAAAATCATTTGGAATAGTGAAATACCTATACAATCCCCTGATATAAGTCAAATCGACTTGTTTGAGTTCGGATAGATGACAAGAAAATCTTTCTGTGGGGACCGAATTTTTTAGACGGAGTTTGGAAAAAGTTGAAACGAGTGTCTCAACTTCTGGGGGCTGTGGGGGAGGCATTTTTGAAAGTAGAGAGTTGAATTTTTGCACACAACTATCTGAGGATAACATGCTCTTCTATTCAAAATTTTGACCCGCTACGACAAACCGTTCCGGGGTTATTCAAGGCCAAATTCGTATCCACCAGGCTGCCCTCCCTTTAGTATTTAATTGTTATAAACTGACCTGGCCCCATGCATACTTCCGGTATCCATTCCACGCGTGCAAAAATGCTTCAACGACAGCTTTCTGTCTTGGAGTTTGAGGACCTATTTTAAAAATAGTTGACAAATATAGCACAACATTCATCAAAATATCAAGTCAAGTTACTTAATACCTTCAAATTCAATCTTTTTCCCATCTTCAGGTTTATTTACATCTATCACAGACAACGATTTTTGAGGGTCTAAAGCAACAACTGGATCTAAGGAGATGATACTTCGTATATTCTCAGCGAGTTGCTTATTGACCTAAAAAAACGAAGTCAACCAGTTAACATTAAGTGATTCAAAATGACAACAATTTTAAATGTTTATGCACCTTTGGTTTACTCCTCTCAGTGACTGCAGGTTCTAAATCAGGCTTTAACACTCTTGGGACGGTAGGCAATTCTAAATTAGACTTATTCGGTAACTCCCCCCACAGTGTCGGCTTGTCTTGTCGCCCTCGGCGCGGTGGTACATCGGCTGCTGCCGGTCTTCTTACCACCTGCACTTCGGGCCTTCTTATTGCATAGTCTTCATTGCTATTGGTATTAAAATTATGGTTCGGGATTGGCTGATGCTGATGAAATTCGGACGCTGTCGCGGGCGACGTCCATGTCAGCGCGATGAGGAAGGAGAATCCCAAAAGGATGCAGAGTGTCATGAGCAAGACGCTCTTCTGCAGTCTGGACAATCTATTCCACCACTAAAACAAAGAACAAATGCAAAATTAAATACAAACAATAAAAATATAGTTCCAAATAAATTTTCACCCCCATTAACTTTTATCACAGCCAAATTAAGAGTAACCCTTGCCAGTTACTGACTAAGGTTACCAAAATTAAGAAATTACACGTGATAAAAGTAACGAATAGGCCACTTAACTTACCCTTCTTGCTCCTATCGCTGAGAACTTGATTTGACTACTGACAACGTGATAGTCCGCGGCTGCTGGGACGTAGACGGATATGTGTTGATGATGCGCTTCCTTAGTCTTTAACTGATCCATTTTGCCTTTAACTTTACTTACAACAAACTACTCGTGCTACTCCCAAATAAATAGTAATAACTGTTGATTATGCACTGCTTCCTATTTATTTATCGCAGCTTACATGCTAAGCCATCCGTGCGGTGCATTTAGTAGCGCAATGAATGGGACGCATAATAGTAATATAATGAAGAGTTCGCCTGCCTTCTTATCTTCTCTACCATGCTGCTCAACTCAACCTAACCCCATTTACTTTGTACTGTATATTTGTTTAGCTTCATCAGAGTCGATAAGCAGCAGATGTAAAATTATAAATACAAAATTCTGGAGAAATTTGCCTGATTTTCTGCATTCTTTAACTTTATGCGAATTACAGAGGATTGTATATTGGTCAATTTCTTGAGGAACGATTGCAAAAATGTTATTTCTAAAATAAAATTTCAGATTTTAGTAAAGAGCGAACTAAAAAATTAAATGGTTCGGAAAAATTATATGATTAAAAAATGTCTTGATGATAATAAACTTTGGGATCTAATGCTTATTTGATATAAAGTGTGCTAATTAATTACTAATAATTGCTCGGATTACATTTTTCACTGATGTCTTATCAAAAAAAATTAACTATTTTTAATTCGTTATTTTGTATTATTGTTATTGATTATGTGGCACTTGAAAAGTTTGGTTTGCTCCTCCCGCAAATCGGAGTCCGGGAAATGTCAGTTTTGTGAAGAATCCGGTCAGAGAAAAGTTAAAAGTATAAAGTCCAATATTTAACATTTTTCTTAATTAAAGTTAATTAAAGTTAATTGTTTATCTGCAATTTCATAATTAATTAGCACCACATTCATGCCAAGTTATAGTAGATCTCTAATTTGTCAAATACAACTATTGTACGGATGACAGGGATTTTTAACGAATCGTTCCTATCCTAATATTTGCAAAATTTGTGAAACATGGGGGTTTTGGAACATTTTAAAGAGTGTAAAACACTGCTCGACTATCTTAGAACGCTGCCAGCCGATGTGATAGAAGAATTATTTGGATTCCCATCTCCTTGTCTTGCAATTTTTAGGTAAAGTCATGAAACCACTAAACCGGACGTTGAATGAACGTAAATCTACATAATTATTGTGTGTTTATAGAGAACTACCAAAGTTAGCGCAACACTACGTCCTCAGAATATTGTATGTGGAACAAGCCGTTCCACAAGCAGTCGTGGCGTCATGGGTGTCGCAGGCTAATGTGAAGTAAGATAATATAATTACAGAACTGGAGTTAAGATGTGTTTTTATGCAAGTTTTGAATCTCTACAGAGAACACACACAAGCCGTCGAAGCACTGAATAGAATACGAGTATGGAATGAGGCTTCAATGCCTGGTGGTCTTCCAGGATGGATTCTGCATCATTTATTTCGCCACAATTTAAAAGTTGCATTATTAGGAGGGTAAGCGAACAAATGCAAATGTAGCCATTAAATATTATGCAATCTATGCTGTATACGGCTTATTTCTTGCAGTGGTCAGCCTTGGACAAATACCCATAATATGGATTCCTCGGATCCTAAAGCTAGATCCATCAAAGACTTGGACGCCTATGCGCTCGAGAGATGGGAAGTTATGCTTCATTATTTAGTAGAAAAACCACAAAAGGCTGACAGCGTGTCTCGAGATACGATAACCACCCTCACACATGCTGGACTAATGTATGTACATAAGACAATAAGTTTTAAACTTTGTTAATAGTATTAATTCAATTCCCAATTTGCGTGTTTGCAGGGAACAAGATGCCAATAGCTATCCAACAATTACCAATGAAGGTTTCCAATTCCTTCTTTTAGACACTGCATCACAAGTTTGGTACTTTGTATGCAAATATCTGGAGACTGTTCGAACACGTAACCTCAACCTTGCAGAGTGTCTCAACTTTCTCTTTTCGTTATCGTTTGGAACGTTAGGAAAAGATTACAGTTCGGAAGGGATGAGTGAACCTATGCTCAATTTTGTACAACACCTACGCGAATTTGGACTAATATATCAAAGATCCGTAAGCACAAATAGCGCAACAAGTGATTCATCTTGCGAATTATTGATAACGACTTATACATTATTGTGTATTTTCTTACAGCGTAAAGCTGGAAGGTTTTATCCAACCAGATTAGCAGTCAACTTATCATCACCTAGTCGGAAGATTCATTTGGATACGGATAAGCATAAAACGGGCTTCATTGTCCTTGAAACAAATTTCAGATTATATGCGTATACCGACTCGGGTGAGTTCAGTTACTCTGCATAATTTACCTTGCATTTTAAATTCAAATAGTTATAAGTATCCTTTAAATGTTTCAGATCTGCAATTAGCGTTAGTTAGAATGTTTACCGATTTTCTATACCACTTCCCCAACCTGGTCGTCGGGAATGTTTCGAGAGATTCTATACGTCAAGCTCTTAGAAATGGAATATCTGCAGATCAAATAATCTCATTTTTGAAAATGCATGTCCATCCGGAAATGATTAAAACGTGAGCCAAACCCTGTATTAATTTAATTTATGATTGTGCAAACTTTATAATTGTAATTTATAATTATTAAATATAGCTCCACAACTCCAAACAATCCACTTCCGCCCACAGTGGTTGACCAAATTCGTTTATGGGAGATGGAACGCAACCGTCTAACATTTGTGGATAGTGTTTTATATAATCAATTCCTATCTCAGCGGGATTATGAAGTTGTTCGCGATTATGCGCAAGACATAGGAGTTTTAGTCCATATGAATGATCAAAAGCGGACCGTTGTCGTCACAAAGAATGGCCACGATGATGTAAAAAAGTTTTGGAAGCGACACTCGAAAAATTCATAGTTTTAAGAAAAATAACATTTATTTCCTCCGCACTTTTTTCTACTTTCACATTTGTAGTTTAATTTTAATACAAAGGGATAAAATATTTATGCGACAATATAAATTCACTAAACACGTTTTATTACTCGTAATTAAAACATGTACAATATTTTGATACGCGGATTAAGTCGGTGCAAACTAGAGCCACGATTTGTTTCGGGTTTCGGTGCTTTGTTGCATTATCTGAATGTGAACTTGTCCCGTCCTCCACGTGACAAAGGGTTGAATTGCAAGTTTCTCTGTCTTGTTTGAATCGTGGCGTTCTGCAATTCTTCCCAGGATGAATATTTTCTGGACAGTTGCAGATTCCGGTTGGACCATGGCAAGCTTTTAGCGACAGACCACGAACCCCACAACTTTTCACGCACGAGTACAAATCATCCTTGCAAGTTATCAAAGGAGTGTCGGAATTCGTTGGGAGTTTTATGTTCACAGCTACCAGAATCTCGTCGTTTTAATATGATGACTATAGTTAATTGATAAGTAGTATAAAAATGGAGAGCTTGCCAAAATAAATCGGTTACCTGTTGACTTAAGACTAGTAATACTTGGGGAAGAAAAATTATCCAGATTCGCATCCCAATTGTTTCAAACTATTAGGTAGTTAGCAAACCTGCGTTTTTAAAATTTCCATAACTTTCCCTATTTCTAAAATTTCCGGAGAGAAAAATCGTAAAGTTGGAAATTTGCTAAATTGACGATTTTTTTACCTCTCCCTCCCCTCCTCGTAACGGGTTATGCCCCCTTTTCAACATGTGGCGCAAGTTGGCCAGTAACGCAACAGCCCTCCCTCCCCCTCCGCTCCGTTACGTATTTTAAGAACGTTTTCAAATTGATTTCAAGGTCGGTTCCGGAAATTCTGGCCCAAATCAAGGGATGGTGAAATTTGCGGAAATTTAAAAACTTAGGTTTGCTAATTATCCATTAAAGTCCATACACACACATAACTACATTCAAATTTTAAAGTTATGTTTGGAATAAACTGAATTAATTGAGTATTTAGTCTTGGGAGTGCGTCGTCTCGTAGGAAAACAGGCACAGTATCTGTCACGCCCATCAGAACACACTAATATTTCCACCCTGGATGGGTCAGGGTATTTGCAATTTGCGACGTTGCAAATAATCCCATTTTCTCCTCGGGGTCTTTTACACTCTCTGCAAATTTGGGAACTTGCTACACCATCGTCTGAAACGGCTTTGCACGTTTGAGGACATTTACAAAATCCTTCCTCATTGTCACAGGTTTGATATGTGGTTGAAATTCCGCAAATCTTTGCGCATGGGATTGGCTTGGATTTTACACATTTTTTTACAAGCACGTGACGCTGCACGATAAGGTCAGACTACGTAGAAAGAAGTAGAATAAACGTTAGTTTGTTCATGGTACTTTTCAAGAGTGGACAAAATACTTGGTCAAAATATAGTATTTTTTAGCTCCGTTGTTCCCAGAGTTTGGAATTCTGGGGGTGTTACACCCACAAAAAGACGAGAATCTGCATGGAGAAGATAACAGTCTTACGAAAAATACAGGTTTTATGAAAAAACTTAACTTTTTATCTGCTGTCAAAACACTTTATTTCAAAAAATCGTGAAAACCATGCACTTTGACAGCGATAAAAAATTATCTTTTTTCATAAAACCTGTATTTTCGTAACACTGTTGTATTCTCCATGCAGATTCTCGTCTTTTTGTGGGTGTAACACCCCTGGGAATCCAAACCCTGGAAAGAGCAGAGCTCAAAATCCTCCATTTTGACATAGCATTTTGCCCAATTATTTTAGAATGAGTCGTAAAAATCGTATTAATGTACGTACATACCTCTGAAATTAGTTGGAAGAAAAATAACACAAAAGTAGAAAACCACCATGTCGAAACTGACATATTTTTAAGATTTTTTAAACCCGTGTCACATTTTTGACGAGTAGAGGTCATTTACTCATTGTTGTATGTATTTAATGGCTTTCTCTGACATAAATGGTCGGTCACATGACATGACATAGTTAATATTATGATTATTATTACACTTTCAATACTAATTTCACAATGTCATTTCAAACAATGGCACAGGACCTAACGATTCTCTGGGACAATGGCATGCCGTCAGCCTCATTTTGCGCTTCTGTCTCCATACTCGAATCTGAACTTGTTCTTCGCGTCCTGTTTCTTTCGTCGGCTTGATTTATTCCCATTTCATCCTCATCGTACAGCGATTCGATGATATTCTTCTCAAATTTGGAGTACGAGGAATGATTCCCGATGGTCACGAGGTGCAGGGTCGGATGGAACTTGGGCGCCTGGTCGTACCCTCCCGTCAAGGAAATCGTGAAGAGTGGGCTCAGATGTCGAAAACCGCACGTGGGCAGAGCTTTACTTCCCGTGACGAGACTTAAAAGTCGCGTTTGCTCGTCGTAACTCAGGTTGGACACGGTTATCCAAAACCAGCGGAGAATTTTGCGTTGCTCAGTTTCTGAAAAATTGTACCGGGGAAGATCTGTGTCGGATAGACCGGCGTGGTCCAGTAAATCTCCGACGACGCGGTGATTATTTTTAAGATCTTGTACGTTGAATACGGATCCACCCCCGCATATCAACATCTAGTTGGAAATGATAGGTGGGAAGTTAGTCATTATTGTTGTCCAGCAGTGGCCGCGGAAGCATAAGGACAGAGGGACGATAGTGTCCCCACGGTTATTCGATGTCCCTATCATCTCCACATCTTATATAAACCCCTCCCTCCTCTATCCTACAATTCTTATGTACTCACGTGTCCCCACGGCTTCCGCGGTCACTGTATGTATATGCTCCATAGTGATGATAAAGCCGAACGAACAGTGACCGCGGAAGGATGTGGACAGAGGGGCAATGTCCCCACGGTTATTCGATGCCCGCATCATCTCCCCATGTTATACAAACCCTTCCCTCCCCTATCCTACAATGTTAATGTCCCCACATGTCCCTACGGCTTCCGCGGCCACTGTTATCGGTGTATGTTATTTTATCAGATTTATAAAGTCCACTCCACTCCAACCTCGAGTTCATCGATGTCAAAATCAGCAACCAAACCTTGCGGGATGACTTTGTAGAGTCCATTCCGAAAGGCTTCTATTTCTTGGAGATGTCTGTTTTTAAGGATGTGCAACGCGAGTAGGTTTAAATACTGGATCTTGTTCTGTTGAACGACTGGAATGTTGTTTCCGTTCGTAATCAATGCAATTTTCTATAAGAAAAAAATACGTTTGCATATTATTCGATACTTGCGAATTGCGATTCATTAGTCGTAGTACCTCCGAAATTGAATTTTTCTTGTATTCCGAGCATTTTGGAGTTTCAAAATTCAACCCAAGATCTTGGTTCATATTATTCAAAACAGGTTTAATATGTTTCTCGTAGAATTCAGGATGGTCCGATTCAAATTGCTGTGAATAAAGGGAAACATAACGTGGGACTCAATGACGCATCACCAAAATCGTCAAAATCAGCACATTTTTAACCAGTTGCCATTCCTCATTCCTCAGCTCCGGGAATTTATTTTAAAATTCTGACAAATTTGTAGTCAGTTCAGTGAGTTGATTAATAGAATGGCGTCGGTTTTTTTCAGCCTGTTTCGACGTGTTCCAATTTTTCTGAAGGCTTCTTAAACTTGAGATCTCCTCCTTCAAAAAGTGTCAAAATCTGGAGGGTATATTTTTTTTTAAATTGGTAACGACTTGCTCTACAAATTTGTCGGGCAGAATTTTAAAAATAAATTCCCAGAGTCGAGAAACGATTAAAATTATGTTGATTTTAACGAGTTTTGCGATGAGTTATAAATCGAGTCCTACGTTAAACTACATTCGCAGTTAAGTAGTGTCGATACAGATTTATGTGTATGTCTAAATATGTACCTGATACGTAACCGGAAGCCCAATCAACGCAGCTAAAAATGACTTTGTAAACCGTACATGCGTCAAATTGAGACAAATTCCATAATTGATCGAGTCACTTATGCATTTCCCCAGAATGGATCCAGCAAACTCCATCGTCTCCAAGGTCAAGAGCTTGCTCCTGTAAGTCGCCAAGTTTGGGTGGAGTCGCAGTGACCCTGGGTGCCTCATAAATAGCTTATCGCAGTCTTCACATTTAACCCGGAAGAAGGATTCCATCAGGTCAGTGAGCCATTTGACGGTCGAAAGCGGTTTCGTTTTTGGGGACGAATTAAATAACCAGATTGGCGAGGAGGCAAGCATTGATCGCATCCCCGTCGTAGTGGGGGCGGCAGTGGTGGTAACAGATGTGTCCACTATTATCCCAATATTAAACGGTTTCCACCACGTGGATGGCACTGGAGGAGATTTTTTAATAGACTAGAAAAATTCATGTATTTTTATTTTTTGTAAACACGGAGTAAAAATGTTAATTTAAAAGATATTTCTTATACCGAGCCCACAATGTCATCTTTATCCAAGGCCAGGAAGTGTGGTTGGCAAAGACATTTTGGCAGGTATCCTCCCAGTTCAGATTTTAGAATAGTTTTCTTGTTAAGGAAAGTTGAATTTTTTACTAGGGTTAAAAAGAGGTTAAAATTTAAAAACTACTTATTTATTAAGGACTCATCAAAAATCGTCAAAACCAGCACGTTTTAATCATTTTCTGTCTGTTTCTGTTTTAATCATTTTTTGTTTTAATCATTTAATCGTTTTAATCAATTTCTGGGAATTTATTATAAAATTCTGGACGACTAATTTGTAGAGCAGGTTGTTGCCAATTTTTAAAATGTACACTCCAGATTTTTGACACTTTTTGAAGGAAGAGATCTCAAGTTTAAGAAGTTTTCAGAAAAATTGGAACTCATTCGAAGCTTGCTTAAAAAACCTCAACGCCATTCTATATATTAATCAGCTTACTGACTATCGTTCAGAATTTTAAAATAAATTCCCAGAGCGCAGAAATGGATAAAAATGTGCTGATTTTGACTGAATTTATGGATGTTATATTATTACATTTATGCCCCTTGAAATGTCCGAAGGACGCGAGAAAGAGTCGTGCCTGTGAAAAACTGACTCCTACCGTGACAGAATCTTGTATTCCGTCGGATATTTTTAGAGAAACATTGGCGTCGCTGTCGTCAATGTCGTCCAACTCGTGTGGTCCGACCAGGCTGACCTGATCAGGAATTAATTGTACATTAATAAAAGATATCCATCTTCATTATTTCGAGTGCAAGTAACCACTTGCAAAAAATAACGGCAACAAAGTGGGTTTTTGACGCTATTTTGACCTGCACAAAATGCAAGGCACAAGAAACAACGCCTCGCCGCTGTACTTTATACTGCGCGTGGCTAGATGGCGCATATTTCTCGCACTTTCTCCCAGTTTCTTGCACCTCGCATTTCTTGCGTTTCTTCCTTTACAGTGCAAAAAATGTAGCAAATCCGCAAAAAACGAAACACTATCCGAGTTTAAATCTGCATACGTGTTTAAATTATCTTTAGTCGAAATTACCCACGTACCTTTGTTGTTCTGTTAATATAAAAGGACATGAATGGGTAGTAGACGATTCCTAAAAGGGAGCTGGAAATGGCGACATATTTGTGCGACACGCTGATATAAACTTCCTTGGCGTCCTGACTCCTCTCCATCCCCACGAAGAGCAACGTGGCTTTCGTCGATCCTGGGACCGAACTAAAATAATTGTTGAATCCGGTCCGGAAAATCTCTTCCTCGCGACTGTTCATCGATATCACCATGAAGGACAAGTAGTGGGGGTGGTGCGAAATCGGGGTGTTCATAAAGGTCAAAGAACACTTGTAAATGTTGCACTTTTTGGTCTTCATTTTTAGAATGAAGTCACTTCCGTGACGTTCAAATACCCATTCGAGGTCGGGACCGTCAGTTAATGCGTTATTCTCTTGCTGTAATGATTGTGAGATAAGTAATTCGCACTTACTTAAATAAATAGCTAGTTAACAGAGGGCGGATATGTATTTGCAAACAATTAGTGAAATGTTTTCGATATTTATGAAAAAACGCCAAAATATTTACGAAATATGTATGCTCGAAAACAACATAAAATACGATTTTTCACAAAATTTCCATTCTTGAATTTAATGCTCTGGATTTTTGTGAACCTATTTCTTTGGGCAAAAAAATCGTATCCTATTGTTGAAATTTACAAAATATAGTAATGTATTTTTGAAAAAAATGTGTATAAGATTTACGTATTTTTAAAATAATAGTTGAAATATTTATAAATATTTTTTTGCCTGGAAATCTAGAAATATGTAACATATGAAAAGATATTTTGAAGTTTTTTGTGATTTATATGAGCTAACAATGGAGGTCTCCCAACGTATGCTCACAGATTTGGACGAAATTAGTGTAAATCGATCACAAATATAATTAGTATGAAATTTGCAAATGGAACTATCTGCCAATGCGCAGGTTTGGCGGAGATATTTGCATAAAAAGAGGAGAAAACGCACCAAAAGGCTGGCATATTTTTCATTTTCCAAATTTCCTGCTCATTTTCTCTGCTTTGACTGCAAATATCTCCGCCAAACCTGCGCATTGGCAGATAGTTTCATTTGCAAATTTCATACTAATTATATTTGTGATCGATTGACGCTAATTTGGTCCAAATCTGTGAGCATACGTTGGGAGACCTCCATTGTAAGTCACACCCACAAAGTTTGACCGTCAGCCGTCATAAAATGAAAAACTTGAAAATAAATATATACATATCCATCCTCTGCTGATTAAATAATTTAAAAAGTACGTTCCTACAAAAAATATTCGCACCTCTTTTACAAAAATGCCAAACTTTTCCACCAGGTCGTCCTCAATCTGACAAACGTTACCGTACCGATCGTGCGGCAGAATGGTGACGAGAAACCATTGGTCCACCGTTACGGGAATGGTTTCCGGATTTTGAATTTGAAACGTAATATTTCTCAGAGAAATTGATGCCGGGTGGACTTCGAATTGGAGTGGGGACCCCACAAAGTTGAAACGCCAGTATAAACAGGACATCTCGTACCGTCCAGAATATCTTAGAGAAAATCTCAACATTAAGGCGTTCTTTGGTTGAGTAAACGTTGTCAAAACGGCGACCTTTTTCATTTTGGTTTCTTCAAATTGGGGACTGGAGTATTGAAACGTTGTGACCAAGTTGTCGTTTATGAGGGCAAGTTCTGCCTCCGTACAAGGCACGGGTTGCTGATTTTCTTTGATTTTTTTAAACTGAAAGGAAGGAAATGGGTAATAATTTCATATGAAATCAGTGGCCGAGGAAGCGGTAGGGACATTAGCATTGTAAGATATAGGAGGCCGGGGTTTATATAAGATGGGGAGATGATGGGGACATCGAATGACCGTGGGGACATTATTGTTCCTCTGTCCCCACGCTTCCGCGGCCACTGGTGAATACTGGACAATATTTAAGTAATTATTTGTAAGCACCATAAGTTTTATGGAAATAGTCTCCCCGACTTGAAGAGATTGCTCGTCGTTTAAAAATGACATCGAGACTGCGTAACCTTTCGAACCCATGTAGCCGAATAAGTACTTGACAAAGTAGTAGACTCCGATGATCACAATTATTATTACTGCAAGTAACGGGCGATGAGACTTTTGCGTACTTTAATTATAATTTTGAAATAAGTACCTGTTGTTACCCCAAACTTGAAAATGGCGTTGTTCGTCCTGGGCCAATTGCTATCTGGTGATTCCATTATTGCTCGTGAAACTCCGCTAATTTTACATAAATTTTCGTGTTTAGGGGATATAAAATATGCCGAAATATATCGTCTATTTATTCACATGTTTGTACAGTTATGCATCACGATTGCTTGACATTTAGTATCTAGGTAACGTTTTTTTTTTTTTTTTTTTCTCTTTAGAGGGTATTATTTATTATTAACATAAACATTGATAAACTATGAAATACACTTAGTTGGCTTGGGGAGTAGAGGAAAAACCCGATGTTGGTGGGTTGGGAAAACCTTTACTTGATCCGGATAGGCGTCCGAGATCACCATTCGGCCCCTTACATGATTTTTGTAAATAAAACGACCTATGATTTAAAATATAAAATAATTCTTCTAATCCTCGTTGACTGGGGACAGCTCCCATGATTGATTGCGCATTCCCGCGTTGAACTGCCAAACTAATCCGTTGAATGAGAAAAGTTGTCGACATTGGTCCAGTGACATCCTTCATCCTCCTCCCAACATCTTGGATGAACTTCAACCCTTCCGTCCCCCATACTCCTGATGTCTCGATAGCCACCGGAACAAAGATATAGTTTGTTTTAAGTTCAGAGTACAGTTTGTGTTTTTTGGTCTCGGCTAGTTTTGCTGCTGTGCCAGCATGTCTAAGTGTGTGAGAGAGATAAGAGGGGGCAAAAGTGTCTGTACATGTAAAGTCCCATATTAGTGAGCGTCCCTGTTTGTAAGGTATTAGTGTTAGACCATCCGGTCTTTTTCCATCTGTCGTACAACACCCTAATGGTTCCCTAATGCTTGGTATGTCTGCAGAAATTAAGGCTCTCTTTATAATGTCATTGGCTTGCGTATGTCTAGAGTGCCTGCCAGCACTTTTTTTACATGAAAGACCATGTAAGCCTAGTTCATCTACTTGTGCGCCGCAAACACATTTATGAGGGAAACATAAATTTAACCCTAACCTCAAACCTATTGCAATCCTGAAGGAATTATCGTCTAAAAGTGTGCCTAAATTCCTCGATGGTAAAGCTTGCAACCATGCACCTGATTCTTTTGACCTTGATGCCAAAATCCTAGCAGTATTTATTGGGGTGGTGGATGATTCCAGGATACGTGAAGATACGTAATTGAAAATTGGACTTTCCCAGGATGATTGAAAAGAAGTAATTGTACTGCGAGGTAGTTCTTCACAACTAATTGACTTCCACAAGTCCTGCGCCTCGGTCACAAGTGAATCGGACAAAGCAGTGACATACGAGGGCAAAATTAAAGAAACCAAGTCAGTGGTGGCAAATGAAGATGCAAGGAAACATGGAGTTGCTAATGTTTTAGATTGTCTAATTCCTAAACCACCTAATTTAATTGGTAATGCAATTTTTTCTAAAGACAAAGGATTAATTTGGCAATTTGTAATTTGTTCTAAGGCATTATGGAGCAATGAATCAAACTCCTCTAGCAAATGTGGAGATTTAAAAATAGGGGCTGCCCTTAGTAGATAAACTAATCGTGGAATAGCTAGTGAATGTTTCAAGAGATAATACGCAATATGGCTTGGAATGGAATGCAATCGACCAGCCATGTTAGTAAAAGCGTGAATCTTTTTGCGGAAAACATGTTCAATAGATTCAAGAGTCAAAGGTGCACCTAAAAGTTCAGCATTTTCCTGAGTCATACATGAAATACCTGGTGCAACTGATTGGAAAGATTCTAGTATACATTGCGTGTTAGTTTGTGGACCTAAAACTGAAACCTCACATTTATCAAAGTTCAATTCTAAACCTACTTCATTTGCACATGAGATAATATGTTGAAAATCGTCTAACACTGTAGTAGGATTGCCACCTAATGTACCATCATCTAAGTACCACATATTAAATTCTGACCCTAAATTTGAAATGACTGGATGCAAGGTTAAACAGAAAAGTGGTGGACCTAACGGATCTCCTTGTTGAACACCTCTACATGAATCAATTAAAGGAGAATTCCACACAAGACTGGATGAGAATCTATAGCACTGATTAATATAAGGATACAAAGTTGGTACAAGTTCGTGAACGGATGAAAGCAATTTCCCTCTATCTACCATATTAAATGCATTCTTAAAATCGATTTTAAGGAAGGCTGTAGGTGATTGATGTGGAAAGGAAAAGAATCTACGGGCAGCGTGTGCTCCTGCTTCAGCACCATTTTTTACGTTGAAACCTACTTGGACTGGACTAAAATAATCCTGAAAGACATGATTCATGACCTTCACACAAATCTTTGAAACTATTCTACGATAAGTGCAACCTACCGCTATAGGTCTAATACCACCTGATTTCTTTTTAAGGGCCGTAAGACTTGCACCGTAAATGAAAGGACAAATATCTAAAGGAACTTTTCCTGCTAACATAAAATTGCAAAATTTTGTAAGAGATTCTAACAATTGAGTTCCTACGTCACCAGTATGTTGTGAAACTAGATCTTTCAGAATTTGTGGTCGTAATGCATCTAAACCCCCTGCTGAACCACTAGGAAATGAGAATATTGCTGAGATAACCTGCTCTGTTGTCGTAGTAAATGGTGGAATGTTAGGCTCATCTAAAACAGTAAAATTGTCTAAAGATTGTTGTGGGTGCTTTTCTACAAGTGTGTCCAAAGTCGCTGAAGAATTGGGAGCGACAACATCATCTGATGTTAAAAGCCGTATCGCGCCACGAATATTTCCTTCGGAAACTTTAGATATGACTTTTGGCCCTATGTCGTTGATTTTGCTACCTGACTTATCAAAGACTGAATTTTTGGATGAAAGTGAAATGAGATAGTCCTGATAAGTATTTTTATCTAAGGATTCAAAAATAGATAAATTATTTCTAATTTTGTTGTTAAGACTTTGACCATTCTTTATATTTGCCCTTGAATCACATTGTAATGTTACATATGGAAAAGTCAAAAGAAGGTGCCATGCCTCTGGTGTGTTTTCAGTTATGCATTTATCTATGGCTGACTTGATTGATTGTGCTACCGGAATTCTACAGGCCTTGGGGCATTGTTTGAGAGTTGGACAATTTTGCCTAAGAGAGGAAATAATAGATTTGAAATCAAAAACAGTTTCTGGAACTTGTTCTGATTTTAACTGGATCCCTACGTAATGATATTTCGAAGCGCCATGAAATTCTGTCCTAAGTCTTTTGGTCCTAATGTTTGAAAATGAATTTTTTATCAATTTCCCAATTTCTGCATCGTTTAAGGGTTTGAAAATGCCTAACGAGTCCTGTCTATACGCTTCATGTAACAGATTTTTCTCAATTATACCTCCTGGGACTATATTGTTATTTAGCCACTCTAATGTGAGAGATGTACATGTTGCCTTGCTAGATATAAAATTTGAAAGTGGTGTACTTAATGTAGAAATTGGTTGTGATGCACGTGGATTTGTACAGGGGCTTGACTGTGTAATTTGACTATGTGTGCCTAGAGTAGACTGATTTGCAGGCGACGGTGTGTTTGAGTTTACTTGGGGGCCTATTTGTGTATGTATTTGGGGACAGTTTGCGCAGAACCAGTCATCTTCAGGAATGGCCTGCAAAAGAAGACAAGAGGTGTGATACCACAAAAGACATGCAGAACATTCTATCCACTCATCTGTTGCTGAAGATGATGGTCCTGGGCAGCCCGACACCGGACAGAAAAGGTCATCGGAAACGGGATTTAAACCCTCGGTGGTATGGGGGAGCGGTCGGGAGGATGTGGGAGGAGGACATTTTCTTGGTCCTGTCCTCTTCTTTTGCTTATTCCTCTTCTTTCTTGGTCCTGGATGTGGTCGTGGTGAGGATGATGATGGCGGCGGCAGCGGGGACGATGACGGCGGCAGCGGGGACGATGACGGCGGCAGCGGGGACGATGACGGCGGCAGCGGGGACGATGACGGCGGCAGCGGGGACGATGACGGCGGCAGCGGGGACGATGACGGCGGCAGCGGGGACGATGACGGCGGCAGCGGGGACGATGACGGCGGCAGCGGGGACGATGACGGCGGCAGCGGGGACGATGACGGCGGCAGCGGGGACGATGACGGCGGCAGCGGGGACGATGACGGCGGCAGCGGGGACGATGACGGCGGCAGCGGGGACGATGACGGCGGCAGCGGGGACGATGACGGCGGCAGCGGGGACGATGACGGCGGCAGCGGGGACGATGACGGCGGCAGCGGGGACGATGACGGCGGCAGCGGGGACGATGACGGCGGCAGCGGGGACGATGACGGCGGCAGCGGGGACGATGACGGCGGCAGCGGGGACGATGACGGCGGCAGCGGGGACGATGACGGCGGCAGCGGGGACGATGACGGCGGCAGCGGGGACGATGACGGCGGCAGCGGGGACGATGACGGCGGCAGCGGGGACGATGACGGCGGCAGCGGGGACGATGACGGCGGCAGCGGGGACGATGACGGCGGCAGCGGGGACGATGACGGCGGCAGCGGGGACGATGACGGCGGCAGCGGGGACGATGACGGCGGCAGCGGGGGTGATGACGATGATGGCGGGAGGGGAGGAAGTAGCGTCAAGTTTACATATTTCCATATATCTAGTGACTTGAAGAGCGGCATCGTGGTCTGACGACTTGTATCCAACAATACTGGCAACTGTGATGATGACGCCAATGAAGCATAAAATTGATTTGTATAAGTTGAAAAAGAATCTTCGTCCTCGTCGTCACTAGGTAACGTTAGTCTCCCTATAGACTGATAAAGTGTCAAATAATCTTGGTTATGCATGAAATGTACACATTTTTATTAATTTGCATGAAATGTACCGTTCTTAGCAACACATAGAAAGATAAGGATAATCGAACATTTTAGGATGCTGTGATAATTATTTTTTAATTGATAAGTGTTTGTCATCAGGCCAACATGTAGCAAGAAATATGAAGTTTAATAATGTTTAGTTGCATCCGCAATTAGATGTTTGTAGTGGTCATAGGCCACCTTGGGCGTGACTTTGAGAAACTTCTCATCCCCCGGAGGACACGGAACGATTGGCTGGACAACCTGGTCACCGTCGGGATTGATGAAATATATGAAGCTCTGCCTGGCCAATTTCCTGACGCGTTCTTCGTCCAGAATCCGAACTCGGTGAACCTAATTTAATTTGATTTTGAGATTAAAATACAAAGATATTCCTTTTTTCAAGCGGTCTTACAATGGAGGTCTCTCAGCGGATGCTCTCCGATTTTGAGCAAATTAGTGGCAATCGACCAGGAGTTTAATTAGTATGAAATTTGCGAAAGACACGATCTCCCAATGGGCACGTTTGACAGGGATATTTGCATCCGAAGAGGAGAAAATGCGGAGTAAATTTGGAAAGTGAAACAATTTGTCAACTTTACTGTGCGTTTTCTCCTCTTTGGATGCAAATATCTTAGCCAAATGTGCCTATTTTCGCAAATTCATACTATATATAAGTAAATTTCTGATCGATTTACACTAATTTGCCCAAAATCGGAGAGCATCCGCTGGAAGACCTCCCTTATCAGTTTTGCTACTTACTGTAGCCTGAAATATCCCAGCCGACCAAAGCTCCAACAATTGTCCGACATTGATTAAAATGGAGTCCTTAATGGGAACAGCTTCAATCCAGGATCCATCCAACCTTTTGACCTCGAGCCCTCCCACCATGTCCTGAAACAGCAGCGTGATGGTCCCCCAGTCAGCATGCTCCCCACACCGAATCGCATTCGTCGGAATGTTCGGATCCGAGGGGTCCATTTGATAATAGTGCAGGGTTCGAAATTGTGCCTGCGTTCGAATCGTGGGGTCATCCATGAAGGAGTGCGTTTTCACAAAAAATTGCTCATCCTTCAACTTGAGATATTTTCCCATCGCTCGAAGCAACTTTTTCCCCAGGTTGTTGCATTCGGGTCGAACAGCGTCAAAGGCTGCCTTGTATTCCGGTATTTCGCTGGGGTACTCTTTGGCGTCGTATTGTTGGAAGCCCCAAACGTCAAAGAACTCGCGAAGTTCGGTGGAATTTTTTTCTTGATAGTTCAGCCTGTGATTAAGCTATAGTTTAATTTTATGTACATCTGGAAATGTTTAAGCAGTGTTTCGTTTCGAGCAAGTGTGCTATATTTCTTGCACTGCATAGCAAGAAACGCAAGAAATGTGAGGTGCAACAAACTGGGAGAAAGTGCCAGAAATATACGTCATCTAACCACGCGCCGTATGAAGTATAACGGCGGGGAGTGGTTTCTTGCGCCGTGCATTTTTTGCAGGTCAAAATAGCTGCAGAAAACCACTTTTTGACGTTATTTTTTGCACTGCAAAGCAAGACATGCAAGAAATTCGAGGTGCAAGAAAATGCAAAAAATAGATATGCACGATCAAACCACTCGCCGTATGAAGTACAGCGGCGGGGCGTAGTTTCTTGCGCCTTGCATTTCTTGCAGGTCAAAATATACCACTTTCTTGCAGTTATTTCTTGCACGTTGTTTATTCCTTGCACCCAAAACACTGTTTAAGTTAAGTTAAGCGCATATTACAATTCATCTCCAGGTCCTGCATAGCCATGAAAGCATTCTGGCGGGTCGGTCTTGCGGTACTTCTGTTTCGTCGCTGTCGGCAGGGAATAAAATTCGTGAGATAATTTGTGGATATGGTCAATCTGAAAAAAACATGAAATTGAGTTAGAAGGAATACAATATATAAGAATGTATGCTATGAAAATGAACCTTTTTCATATCAACGCCATGATTTGTAACGTACGCGAATCCCACGCCATTCATCGCTGTTCCAAATTCCTGTGCCAATTTTTCAAAAACATTGTCCGGGAGGTCATCGTACTTGCCGGAGACGAAGGATAAGTCCAGCACGGGGATTTCGTAGTCCATTGTTCCAACCATGATGATATGCAAATTAAATTAGCACTTGTTGCGCGATAAAATATTTTTGCATGGAAATTTGCAGTATGCGTGTTGCCCGTGCAAAGGATAAAAGTAGACTGGCGAGAGTCTCTCGAAAAAAAATCTGGAGTGTGCGAATTTTTTTGCATCATTTTCAATGTCCACTTGCACAGATAATTATTTATTTTAGTGGTTTATCCTCGTTGGCAGTTCATCAGTATGACCAAGGACATCTGTAGGGATGGGATATACAGATATTCACTTAATTAACTAACTCAATCGTATATTATGTGACGATTACATAAATACGACGCTCTCTCACATCTTATCTCACGTGTAACATGCCATAATATGCAAATGTAATGTAATGTAATGTGATATTCAGTTATATAATCGCCTGTAATTGTATTGGAGTAAATGCATTCATTTTTTAATTGAGTGTTCAATTTTTACACAATGTACATATTTACACAAGTAGTTTTACTTTGGTAAAACCGGTTCGTCCTTCTCCTTGACAGGATAATGAGCAATTTCACATTTTTGATTCGCAATTACATAAATGACACCATAAATCTTGATGGACGTATAGAACTATTTTTTAAGTAGGGTCAACTGCTTAGTGTGACCGTTTTGTCCGTCCGTCCGTCCATAGTAGGAAAATCCCTACAAACTTAATCATATGCCTTTGTCACCTTTGTGCTTCTAATTTTTGACCTTCGATCGAGTTTGAGGATATGGTCCCGCCGTCAAGGTCAAGGTGACCCTGGCGCGGCCTGAGGTCAAGCGCCAACTTGACCCTAATTTTCATATGCGGTGTCATTTTAAAGGAAACTTCAGCACGAATTTAACGCCGTTATTATTTTTTACCTCTCACCAACCCATGACCGTGAACACAAGGTCAAAGTTCAAAAAACATAACTGGCGTCATATATGGCGTCATTTTAAAAGAAACTTCAATCGCTTTGACGCTACTTCATTATATTCGTTTGCAAGTGTTTATTTATTCCATATTTATTCATTATCAATCGAATTCTTGTTTGCGGATAGAGTCGAGTAAAGAATTTAAGAAATCTTGGTAGGATTTGTGATCCGACACTGTCAAATGGCACTGGGCCCTGTTTCCCGTCGGGGGCTGACCAAACAAGGCCGACATGCTGATGCTGGGTCGCAGCGCGACGAATCCTTCACGAGGAAGGCGAGAAGATCCAGTGAGGAATTGGTAAAATCTGCCCAGATCAAAAGCGTCCATTTCTTCGAGGGCTTTCCGCAACCAGTTCTTTAACTTGTTGAAACTTGGATTCCACTTGTCCGGAGATTCGTGATAGTATTGGATCAAGTTGCCAAAGTTGAGGGGCGTTGATCCGCAAAGCATTAGCTGCGTATACAAAATGTTTGAGAGTAGTTTATGGTACTGAAAATAAATACTAAGCAGCGTTTCGGGTGGAAATAACCACGTGCAAGAAATAGCGGGGAGAAAGTGGTTTCTTGCAGGTAAATATTTTGACCCGGGAGAAATGCAAGGCACAAGAAACTACGCCCCGCCGTTATACTTCGCGTATTTCTAGCAATTTCTCCCAGTTTCTTGCACCTCGCATTTCTTGCGTGGCTTGCTTTGCAGTGCAAGAAATGTGAGTAGCAAACCCACAAAAAACGAAACACTGGGTGAAAGTAACCACGTGCAAGAAATAGCGGGGAGAAAGTGGTTTCTTGCAGGTAAATATTTTGACCGCAAGAAATGCAAGGCACAAGAAACGAAGCCCCGCTGCTGTAAATACTTCATTCGGCGCGTGGCTAGATGGCGCATATTTCTTGCACCTTAATTCTCTCGCATTTCCTGCTTTGCAGTGCAAGAAATGTAGCAAACTCGCAAGAAATGAAACACTGAAAATAATTTATTACGGACCTCGAGTTCATTCTCGTCAAACATCATGAACAATCTGCCAGGAATGATAAAATTGAGGCCGGAAATGAATGCATCGATCTCTTTTTTTACATCGTGACAAAGATGGTATCGAGCCAATGCGTTCAGATATCGGATTTTGTTCTCGTTCGTGACAGCAATATTTTCACCGTCGGGGATTAAAGGAAGAGTCTGAAAATAGTGAAGAACAAAAATATTTAAGATTTCGAACATACATATTTTACGAAAATATTTATTTATATAACCTCAAAAATTCCTTTATCATTTACGACTCGAACCTCAAAATTAAGTTTCATATGAGAAACGTCATTGTGCAAAAGGGTATCACAATTGGTTCGGAAATAATCTGGATCATCGACTTGTAAATGCTGTAATAAAATGGGATTTTATTTTACATATGTACCAATATTTGTTCTAAATTATACTGGTTAACGAATTAATAATGGGGGTCTCCCAGCGTATGCTCTCCCATTTTGTGCAAATTAGTGTCAATCGATCACAAATTTGATTAATATGAAATTTGCAAAAGACACGATCTCCCAATGGGCACGTTTGGCAGAGATATTTGCATCCAAAGAGGAGAAAGTGCGACACAAACTCGACAAATTTTGCACTTTCCAAATTTACTGCGCAACTTTCTCCTCTTCGGATGCAAATATCTCGGCCAAACGTTTCCATTGGGAGATCGTGTCTATTGCAAATTTCATACTAATTAAATTTGTGATCGATTGACACTAATTTGGCAAAAATCTGAGAGCATACGCTGGGAGACCTCCATCCTGAGTATGATCACCTTATACGATGGCCAAATTCCCAATATCATGCAAAATATTGTCCTCGAGAATCTCGCATCCACAAAGAATTGATGTTCCGGATTCAGCACATTTTCAATCACGCACTTTCCCACAAGTTTTCCTGCCAATTCGTAATGCTGCAATTTCCAGTGATTATTCCGGGCATGATTTGGATGCAGGAGGCCTGGCTGGGGCCTATTTCCTACGGTGAAATTTCTTCCCAGAAACATTCCGTATGCGGTACTGTCAAATAATTCTTTACACAATTCCCCAGCCCATTCGACCCACGTGGCCCCGCTTCTGTTCACTGCAGAGATCGTTACGAAATAATTATTGAAATATTTTTAAATTAACTGATATGAATTTGATGATTTAACTTGAATAATTGGAACTTTGTGCGTTATGTAACTTAACGCACAAATTTTTTTAACATAACTTAGGTTAAAAAAATTATTTAAAATTGGACAAAATTTAAGGCAAAATCTTTACCAGCCTCGTGACGAAAAGAAACGACGAACGGTTGTCCCCAGTCGGATCGGGTAAAATTTTTGGTTGCATCGAGTGTCTAGAATAATATTGTTTTTCGAAATACTTGTAAATTTGTTGCTTAAAATTTGAAATTTTTTATTAAATTTTACGGTTTTGACAATATCTGCTCGCGTGACGGTAAATGTTCGGCAGGAAGGAAGGACAAGTGACAGCTCGTCGATATCAAAGGTTTCACGGATTTGTTCATAAAATGCTTGCTGTTTCTCCCTCAAATTATTTTCAAAGTGACGACTTTCTGCAGTAATAAGCTGATTTAACACTAGAATTTGAAGTAAATTTTGGCGTATGTACCTGGATGTAAAATACTCTTAAAGTGGGAATCATTTTTCTTCGCTGCCAAGTATTCGTGAAACATGACGAAAAATACCCTCGCGTCAAATCCAGTCATGACCAACTCTTTAAAAGAGTTGTGATGTTGGGTGTCTGAAATTTTGATGATGTGCGTGTCAGGTTCGGGATCGTTCTGAATTGAAACTATTTCCACCTTTGAAAAACATTTTAACATACGACTTAATGACAGATTATTAAAATCGTCAAAATTAAGCAGTTCTCTGCTCTGGAAATTTATTTTAAAATTCTGGACGACAAATTTGCAGTCAGTGAGTTGATTAATGGAATGGCCATGAGTTTTTTAAGCCAGGATTGATTATTTAGTTCCAATTTTTCTGAAAATTTCTTCATCTTGAAATCTCCTTCAAAAAGTGTCAAAATCTTTAAAAATTATGAACAACTTGCTCTACGTATTCCAAAATTTTTAAATAAATTCCCAGAAGCAGAAATGGCTAAAAAATGTGCTGATTTTGACGATTTTACGATGAGTTATGGAGTCAGGAGAAAAGAAAAATTAACACAACTTCAACTTTGTTATAAATTGTATAAAAAGTACCGAAATATTTTCCCCCAATCTCCAAGTCTGCAATCTTTTTTCCATCGGTCCGTTGAACAATCTTCGTGAAAGGAATACAAATCTATTCGTCATTTCCAGTGATACGTCTAGCACACCGACGTCCTCCGTATTAATGTTGGAGTTGGAAGGTAAAGGGACCGGAATTTCGAGTATCAGACGAACAGCAAATTTGCAAAGTTCTTGTTTTTTTAGGTCCAAAACTTTGTCCTGTTCTTGCGTAGAAATGCACATAAGTTCAATCGTCTGAGCCGGCAAGGTTAACGGAAATAGGTCGTTGATGATGACTTGACCACTGTATTCTCCGACATTTTTACACTTCCCGTAAATGCAATAGAGTGGGAGGAACTCGGGAAGGTCGGGATTTTCTCGCCGGATGCCGACATTGGTTTTAAAATCGGTCGGGTCAGAATCATCGTCTTCGTCACAGTTATCGTTTCCGTCAATGGTGGTGAGGCAGGGATTGCTCCACTGTGTAAAAATGTTTGCAAAATTAGTAACAAAATTCGCAAAAATTACTTAAATACAATGAGGTCAACGCCGCCGCGTCGGTAAGCGCCGCCACCGCAGATAAACCTGGTTTCCCATTCCTTCAACATTGGGACCCCGCGCCGCCGAAAAATGACCGGCGTTGACCTCAGCTTTGAATTCATCAACCTTTTTAACGGTAAACTTTATCCGTTGCATGGTATCTAAGGTTGTGGCGCAACGATTATGAAACATGTCGAGTGGAATGACATCAATTCTGAAGATCTCGTTCTCCACAATTATTAACGGGTTGGTCACCCCCACGTAAGATTTGGTTATGTCCATGTCGTCCGCGTCCATATTGGCTGCAACAAAAACGTGGTATTTTTAAAAGGTAAAACCATAGTTTACCAGTGGCCGCGGAAGGGTGGGGACAATGTCCCACGGTTATTCGATGTCCGCCCATGTTATTTAACCACTCCCTCCCATATTTTGATGCTAATGTCCCCACGGCTTCCGCGGCCAGTGTAGTTTACTGTAAATTCTACTTTTGGACATTTTGGACGTACAAAATATAGGTCCAAAAGTGGTCATTTTTGAACGCTGGTTAAAACCACAGTGAAACACTGCAGAACATACCTGTGAATGGACTCCCATTAACTGAAAATCCACAATAGCTTAGATAAATGCTATACTTTCCTGATTTCAGGACAGGAAATTTGGCATAAATTGCTTGATCACTTTGATTAATGGATTTATTCACAGTAATTTCCTCTTCTTCGAGGAAGACTTGCATCACTATGTTGGAAATTAAGTCATTGGCTGTTTCAGTATCCGGAAAATCGAATATGTGCAACCGTGTCGGAGAGAGGAATGGCTGCATTAATTAATTGCATATTTAATTATTTTGTATGGAATTTCCGTCTTATGTTAATTTTTACATGCAAATTAATTTACCATGATTTTGACCACTACCTCTCCTCCAACTCTGTTTGGAAAATTTCTATTCCATTCTATTTCCACTTTACAATTTCGTGCTCTCATGATTGCTCTAAATTCTGGAAATTTGAAGAGGAAGAAGGCCACTGCTGCGGCCAATGAAATTATCGGGATCCCTAAAATACAAATAGGCACATTTTTTAGGTGCAAAATTAGAAATATAAAGCGTTTCGTTTCTTGCGGGTTTTTGCTACATTTCTTTCACTGCAAAGCAAACCACGCAAGAAAAGTGAGGTGCAAGAAACTGGGAGAAAGTGCACGAAATATGCGCCATATAGCCACGCGCCGTGTAAAATATAGCTTCGGGGCGTCGTTTCTTGCGCCTTGAATTTCTACCAAGTCAAAATATTCACCTGCAAGAAACCACTTTCTTTCTGTTATTTCGTGCAAGTGGTCACTTTCACCCCAAAGTTATGTATAAGTTATGAAATTGCATACATATCGCATAGTGTGAGTACTGCGAGTCATTCACCGAATTCCAAGCCATCATCGCCCTCTGTTTGATTTGCTGGTCGAAATGAACAATGTACTGAGCGAAGAAAATAATTTTATTCTTCCAGAAGTTTATCGTTTCCTTGAAATACTCGATGTTATCCGGATTGAAAAATATGGTTTTGATGGAATCATCCATTATTATGAGTAGATAAGGGGAAACTTGACCATATTTTTTATCAGGAGCGAGACATCGCTATAGATGACGCGACAAGGGACGCAGCAACGCCATGGCGACTCGGCGCTTGCGACCCAGCGAAAATTGACACGGTTATCAAACAACGTGGTTAAAGATACAGTAATTGGATAAGGACTTATCACATTACTACATTTAAATAACCCTGGTTATCAAACAGCGTTCTTCTTGATTCCAGATCGTTTTCTTGCAAGGCGTCTGTCTTTACACTAAAAAATGTGCACAACCATTCGAAACAAGAATTTTTTGAGTCATCACTTTTGACTCAAAAGTTTTGAGTGACCACGATTTTAAAATGTGATTTCAAGTTCTGAAATTTTGACCCAGCTCGAGAGATAAGAAAGTTACGGAAATTTTAAAAACGTATGTTTTCTAACTGCCTAATATAACCCAAGTTTTTTAAAAGATTAGAAATTGAACACGGCTTAAATAATCCGTATTTATTACTTTCAAGCTGTGTCAAAATGCACGATACATGTACAAAATACTTAATATAACTAACCTAATTAACTAACCCAATCCACATAGAATAATGTTGATTTTGCTGAATAAAGTATCAATTAAGGAACAATTAATTGTGCAGAACGGATTTTTCCCTCAAATTCCAGATTAACAATAAAATTACTTTATTTGATAAATCCTATTTGATGCATTGTGTTACACTTATTGCTTTAGTAAAATCACTGATTTGGTAAATTATTCACTTTGTATGATCTTTCTTCGAAATTAATTAAGTCGACGACGCTTTCGAGCTGGCGAATCAAGCCACAATTGGGCAGATTTTTCCGAATCACTGAAAAATAAAAGGTTATCATATAGATAATTCTGTAAAGTCGAAAATATTACTCAGAATTTTAATCAGACCTCTTAATGAATGCCTTGATCATCCCCGCGGCGCGTGTCATCCCGTGCAATTCTGCAAGTTCCAAGACCTCGACGCAATTTTCCCAAGAGACCAGAGTCGGAAGCAGGTTTTCGCACGTTCCCAACAAGCGATTGATTTGATACTAACAATGGAGGCGCAAACCATGTTCAGCCCAGATATTTTTTTGACCTTATTAGTTTAAAAGAGCAAGTCTTTACAAACAACATTTGGTTCGCACTTGGGCAGATGCGCATATTTCAGCACGTTATGGGCGCCGCAAGTTCGCAAAAACGCACGAAGTTGAGCTCGCGCTGGGCGTTGCCCGAAAAATCGTGCGTTTTTGCGAACTTGCGGCGCCCATAACGTGCTGAAATTTGCGCATCTGCCCAAGTGCGAACCAAATGTTGTTTGTAAAGACTTGCTCTTTTAAACTAATAAGGTCAAAAAATTATCTGGGCTGAACATGGTTTGCGCCTCCATTGTAAATAGGAAAATAACACAGTGTTCACCAACCACGACATGTTATCATCACTTCATTACTTATCACCTTTGAAGCTGCGTTGATAATCTCGGAGTAAAATTCGCTCCACTTATCATCCAATTCGCCGCTGTAAAGGAATTTCAAGAAAATTTTGAGCCCCTTGGCCCCCATGTCGTTCAGTTTGACGACCCCATCCGTCTTCTCCTTCATCTCAGTGGCAAACATGGCTGCGATCATCCTGGCCGTCTTGATAGCCCCACTGGCCGTATATTTGAAGACGAACACCTGCGGCATGGACCTCCTCATCAACGTGATTCTCTGCTTTCTCTTCTATCTTCCAGCTATAATCCATGCAATCTGGATTATTGTGCGATGATTGAGGTGGGGGTGGTTGCAAAGGTACGTTTATGCTAATAATGCTAATAAAGTGCATTTCAAATTAAAAGCGTTTTTTACATGTATTTTCTCGGCAGGGATACCTCCACGAAATCAACGGGAGCCCTTGAAATGAACTGCATGCAATGAAATGTGTCTCAACAATGAAATCATATGAAGATCCGCCAAAGAAGCATTCATGTTAACATTAATGATTGGATGATCATTTAACAATAATCATGTAAAATATTTATATTTTGGAAAATGTAACAGGCAGTTAGCAAGTCTACATTTTTAAAATTTCCGTAATTTTCCTTATCTCTCGAGATCACGGGTCAAAATTCCGGAGGCGCTATGAAAAATGTTCAGAGGACGCCCAATTTCAAGATCGGGTCCAGAAATTTTTAGCCAACTCGAGAGATTTATTAGGAAATTTTTAAAAACGAAGATTTGCTAACTGCCTAAGTTTTTAAAAATACTGAGAATATTTTAACACGGCTTATGAAAAAATGCACATTTATTTATTTCCTTCAAGCTGTCACTCAATATACATAAATAAATATTTATATGCACCACGTACAAAATACTTAATATAACGGTTCTCTACATATTAATTGCTATTATTTATTTAAATAGTGCTATGTACGAATAAGTTATAAAGAACTCTCATCAAACAATATCCTCCCCGTGTTGATGGTAGAATTTGCGAAAAATTGGACGGCTTGGCCCGTCTCAAATATTTGGGGCGTTTCCCTCCTGACCAATCCACTTTTTTTGTTGTACTTGTCCTCTTCAATTATCACATGCTCAATTCCGAAGGATGAGATGACCACGTTGATCGTCGTGATTATAAAAATTTGCAGGGTGATCAAGTTATTTAAAATGTCTGCGGTCCTCTGTGACTTTGGCTTGTTGATGTTTAAGGACCCAATAAATAGGAAACATATCCCGACGGTCACCTGAAATTGGAATGTTAAAATTAAAATAATTGGTAAAATCGATGAGATCGTATTGTTCCAACAGAATATTATCTAAACTTTTACTTATATTATCAGAGGGCGGATATGTATGTATTTGCAAAAAATCGCTGAAATGTGTTTTTAATATTTGCGAAATATGTACGAAAATAATCATAAAAATAAGCATTTTCACCAAAATTTGTATTTTTTTAACGATAATGCTCTGAATATTTTGTGATCCAATTTTTTTTGCGTAAAAAAATTTCGTCTCGAGGTCGTTGGAATATTTACAAACCTATTTTTGAAAACGATGTCTAAAATATTTACGTATTTTCTAAAAAAAATAGTGGAAATATTTGTATGATTGAGAACCTAGCAATATGGAACAGTATTTGCAAATATTTTGAAATTTTTGTGATCTATGCGAGTAAAGGCACTCACAAAGTTTCACCACAACCGTCATAAAATGAATAAGTTGAAAATAATTACATACATATCCGTCCTCTGCCTATTATGCTCTGAAGTAAGTATACAGCAATTTATTACGATTTATATGAATTTACCCCAAATTGGAAGCAACGTTATCAGCCAAAGCCCCCGCAGAAAGTGCGGCAGAAGCCGGGTCAAACGCAGAGATGATAATGTTAACTCCGGCAATTGTAGTGGAAAGGGCGAGTTGAAGGTAATTAAGAAGCATGGCAGAGGACACGTTATCTGGGAGGTGTAACCGACAATCGCGAAGCATATTGACGGACAGGGCAAGGCCTCCTGATACCACCTGCATACGTATGAAAATACATCTCTTTTTAAACGTAGGACTGGATGATTCATCATGAAAAATCATCAAAATCAGCAGATTTTTAATCATTTCTCGACTCTGGGAATTTATTTTAAAATTCTAGACGATAAATTTGTAGAGCAAGGAGTTGCCAATTTGATAAAAATATACACTCCAGATTTTGACACTTTTTGAAGGAGGAGATCTCAAGTTTAAGAAACCTTCAGAAAAATTGTAACTCGTCGAAACTGGCTAAAAAAACTCACCGCCATTCTACTAATCAACTCACTGACTAAAAATTTGTCCTCCAGAATTTTAAAATAAATTCCCAGAGCCAAGACAGAAATTATTAAAAATGTATTAATTTTGCCGATGAGTCACCAAGCCCTACGTTAAGAACCATTTCAGTCAATAAATTGCTGCATACTTTTCTCAAAAAGCTGAATCCAATAACACAATGAATTAAAAATAATATGATTTTCAATAAAAAATATGGCGATGCAATCAAGTTCAAGTCAATCAAAGTGACTCACCTGCAACACGATCGAGATGGAAATTAGAGTGACCATTAGCGTGTAAAAGGGATGGCGTTCCTTCCCCACTTGGAGGACGTACTTCAACTGGGACGCATTAGCCGTTAACAGAGCAATGTCAAGCATTCCCTGGGCGATCGTCTTCTTTGTCGCGTATCTGTTCACATTCATGGTGGTCGGATATCGACTAGATTTCTGAATAGTTCAGGAAATATTCATAAGTAGATATTTCTTCAAAATTAGAATTTTGAAATAAAATTCTTAACGTGAAAGACAAATACCTCGTCCGACGACACCTCCGTCATGGGCAACACTTCCGTCATGTCGTAAACAAAGTGTGACACAAAAAAAAGACGCGATTACTAGGAGATAGTTGTCACAACAGGAGAAAGTAAAGTGAAAAGCGGACACTGGCACCTTTCCCGAACGAGTAATGAGAAACCAGGAGAAAGCAACAGAACAATAGGACGTCAACCTTTGGATAGATGGATTTGTTGTGTACGGTTTCTTTCTATATGTACATATAAACGGATATCGATATCGTGTCAAACTATGTGTATAAATTTGGCTAGGCACTTTTCTGTCACGCTATATGCCAAACAAACGACACATTTTGGCATGCGAGAAATGGAAATAATTGAGACTCGGCAAAAACTTGGTGTGTATTTTTTTGCAGATTAGTTTAATCGATACTTGGTTCCAAACCCTTTCGCACTTTGTGACACAGCAAACGTTCACTTTCAAGTAAGGAGAACGAGTTTATGAATCATCTCCAAGCAAAAAAAATGTGTGCATGTATGACACTAAACGTCTCCTGAGGAATCTGCGAAAAAGACAAGTTGCGAATATGTGTGGCTTCTGGTCTGCAAGTTTGCTATTTTTAGCGAAACACAAAATAAGTCTGGTTACAGGGGAGAAGAATCGTGGCTTGTGTATCTACCTCCACTCTCTGTTGGGTTATGCGTTCGAATAAAATATAGTCATTATTTTATTAAGCAAAACCAAGGGATTTTTTGGGATGTGGTTTGGTTTCACTTGACGTATTAACTTGACGAAATGAAACATTGAAATTGTTGAGAGACCAGACCACGAACGAACTGAGGCTTTGTTTTATGAACTATTTTCTGACTGGTTGAGTGAATAGCGTATTATAAATCTCAACTGGATGGATACATACGGACAGATGTGTATACATATATTTTACATGAGCATGTTTAACAATGGGGCATTTTTTTGGTATGATACGATGCCAACGGACACATGGATGGGAGTGGGTGTGTAATCGTAATCATCACTTGGCAGCTGGCCTATGTAGAGCCTTACATGCATAAATGCACAGCACAACTTCCTCCGGAAATAGTAGTGGAGATTTTCATTATTAACATGCAAAGAAAAATACTAACTAGAATGCATTTTAAGCAGCGATAAGGTGCGAGAATTAGGGTTCACTATTCAATTTAAGTACCTGCAAATTGATTCTATTGATTTATCTATTTGAATTTGAGATAAAACAAAGTAAAACCCGAGTAAAACCCGTTAAAACCCGGGTAAAACCCGTTAAAACTCGACTAAAATCCCTTTAACATAGTAAAACCCGCTGGGGTTGGGATTTATTCCAATACGACCCAGTAAAACCCAGTAAAACCCAGTAAAACCCAATAAAACCTGAGGTCAGAATACCCTGGCGAAAATCTGATAACACGAAATATTATTTATCATCCACACTTTCTGTCTCATAATATTGGACAGAAAGACATATTATCAAATATTATGTCTCAACTTATGATAAAAATGAGTTCAGCATGGCCAAAAGTGTTTTGCAATGCATAACCATTTTTTCGCTGCAAGCATGCTGACACGTTATTTTTAGTCCACTTGTTTCATTTCAGATCAAGATCATGACCATCATTGTTTTGCATTAAGTAGGTTGCAATGTCAGTGTCTCAAATGTCGCAAGTTCATTAAATACGATATGCATGCATGTCATATTAAGACTAGACCGCATAGATTTTTATTTCGTCAAACCATATATAAAATGAATGTAAACTACTTAGCCATTTAAATAATAATTATACTATAATTTAAATTTAACACTTATCATCACACAGCTTATCATTGTTGTACAAACAAAGCCAAAACGGCCAAAAACTGTAAAATTGAGACGGGGCTACGTGAGACTCGCATTTGAAGAAACCTCACAAGTCGTGCGTTCAAACGAATCGTCACACTTTTGACTTTCACTCTGCTGTTTGCTCCTCAACGTTTCAAGTAAAACTTAATTTAATTAAAATTTCCTAAAATTTGAAATTAAGAAATTTTCAAATCCAAACTTTGTTTTATACTTGTTCTGCTCTGTCCAGTAGTTTAGGATTTCTTTTGACAACGAGTGACACTTTTGTTGTGAAACTAAGAAATTTAAAAGTTTAGAATCTAAAGTTTTTTTAGATACAAAACTCGAGTAATTAATTAATTAGTGAGCAAAGCTCGATAAGCAATATGCCGCGTTACAATAATGACGGTCGAAGTAATAAATTCGTCCACATGTTGGGGTCGTCGGAAGGAAGGAAGAAATTTGGTAAGGAAATTAGAAATTCTAATTTAGAATAGAATGGTGAATCGTAGTTTAATTTAATTTAATTGGTACTTTACAGATCAAGATGACCGAAACAAGTTCAAATTTACCCTTAACAAGGGTGGGATTCAGAGAAAGAATCGTGGTGGGGGTGCCTTCGCACGTCTTGATGCCACTGGGGATACCGTTATGGACCCGTCGGAGCCAAGTAGTAGTCGGTCTGGGCATGTTCATTTTGAGTGAGATAAGAGTTCGATTTTTTTCGTCCTTATAAATATTTTGAAAAGGTATAATAAAGCATTTTCCATAATTTGTAGAGGTGCACCTCGAGGGAAGAAGTTTGGTGGGAATAATAAGCAATGGAGAAAGCAAAATCAACAAGGGAAAAACAATGCTCATATATTTGGTCCTTTATGGCATAAAATTCTGGTTAGTGAGTTGTAAAACTTGATAAGTTAATTAATTGAAGCATTGAGTTGATTATTGATTAAGTTGATTTTTGAACTTATTATAATTGTGTTATTTGTGTTTTCCACAGATATTAAATGGAAAGGCGTATGCGAAAGAATTTGTTCTACCAGCACTTGGACAACGATGCCGGATTCCATTTGTTCCGATTTGTGTAAGAATTATGATAAGCCAAGACGGTGACATGTCATACTTTGTTGTTTTATAAATTTACTTTGTTGTTTTATAAATTTTGTGCTTTTTTTAACAGTATTCAGTGTACGGAGCCAATACTGCGTTTTATGTGGAAGGTCGCTCAATGGCGGAAGCCCTAGCGGAATGTAGCGGACAAATAATGTCATCTGATGGACAAACTATTGTAATAATTATTTAAAAAAATATGCACAACACGAATTTTTACAGTTTTTTAAGGAATTGTTCCGTATATATGTTCCAGATCGCTATGAGAGTCACCCCATCAGGTGCCCCACCCACCGCACACATCGATGAAGCTTGCGAAGCGAGGATTAAAACCGTCCTAGATCTGAGATATAATAGCGCTATGCACACTCTAAATCTGGAGAACTTTTACATGAGTCCGGAATTTGTGAACGACTACTTTCTCCCCTTATATCGACCAAGTGTTGTCCAGAAACTTACAGAGTTACTTCAACCACATCTTGATTCAATTGTCGGATTGGATTTGTCAAATAATAAACTGCCCGCGTTGGATGGCTTGAGTAAAATTATTAACAAATCTACAGCGCTAAAGGCACTCAACTTGAGAGGAAATAAGGTAGTCGAATGTTCATCATTTCCGATTTACAGATAACTCAACTTGATTATCGTTTTTTTAGATTCGCGAAATGCAGTCATTAGATCGGATATCTGCTCCATCAATTATTGAACTGATCTTGGAAGGAAATCCAGTTTGTGATAATACTGAAGACAAGGAAGCGTTTATCAGGTCCAGGGGTTGACACAGTATTTATAAACATTAATTATGCGGGTGGCCCACTTTTACGGATGAATGAGCCTGTCCCCGGTGCAAGTACAGGTCACATTTCATTGCAGGGATAAATGCAACGAAATCTTTTCAACTGGTTTGGACTGCAAAAAAGCGCATTATTCATGCGATGGGGATGTATTTGATTTATTACTTTTAATTGTTTCAACATGAAATGTCAAACACCAAAATTTATTTTCTTGGTAGAATCTCGAACGTTATTCCAACATCAAATCGGCAGAAGGCATGACGGAGAGCTTTTGAAGTGTTGTCTAATTTCTTGAGAACCTTTTTAAATTTTTAAAATGAAAAAGTACGGAACTCAGGGTTGGCTCGAGATTGTAAAAAAATGTTTGGATTTTGGTTCAGCCGTCATTATAGTTAGTTCATGCAAATCAAGATCTAAACATGGGCAACGAATACCTTTAGATCGCCATATTATCTGAACTCTCAAGTTTTGTTACTGGTTTGTCACACCTTCGAACCTGTGAGCGACGACTGTGACATGAAAATGTCTCTTTTTTATGAGAATATCTATTTCTCAACTACAAAAAAATCGACGAACATGCCAATTTGAAGACTCTGCAGTTATTTATTTAAAATTCCTGCTTTTGGAATTCTTTAATGAAAAAGATTTGGTATAATGACCAACACCGACGACTACGCTCTTCTCTTGAAAGCCTTCTATTTTAAAACTATTGGGTATTGGATGACCAAAACTAATTTGGTCATATACTTCGAAATTACCCAACTAGTTGAATATTCTTCTGATCAACATTGGCCTACGATAAAAACATGTAGAGAAACTAGTCTACGACAGCGACGAAGTAACGACGCCGTAACGGATTTGAGTTGTGAAGCGTGTTGGTGTATCGAGAAGGGTTAATTTCTTGCCTTTGTTTAGATAAGATTCAAATTATTTATACACAATTAGCTGTACCAGGGTCGACTCAATAATACGTCTCAGTCCTGAAAAGGAAGGGCAAATTTTGAATTCTGTAAGTAAAAATGTAGAATAACGACTTGAATAGTTCGAATAGAATTAGACTGCACGGATAAAATTCAAAAACCATGTCATTTGCTCGTTTTGGAGTTGGACAACTTTCACAATTCTGCCAGGATATAAATTTTGATTCTTAAAAAAATAACGAGGCTAAAATCAATTCAGATTCGAACATGTCCAAACCATGGAATTGAATTTCTGAGCATGCATTTGCAGTAAATTTGGCAGGATTGGGATAAATCTTCTTCCCTCGCTTGTTCTGCTTTTCTGTGCTATTGCAGTTGCCTTCACCATACGCCGTTTCTTATCTCAATTCCAGCTCCGTTAGAAAACGATTTCCCAAGGTTATAAAATTGGTATGATGTTGTTCTTAATTCGTAATTTTTATGCATTGAATTCGGCAATATTTCAAATGATTTGATTAATTTTGCAGGACGGAAATGACCTTGCGCCTCCTCTCTCCTTTGATGTTCATGAACCAAGTAAGATGCCGGAAATTCAAGGATCCTCTTTCTGCAATGAGCAAGCAAAGTCTGTCGTACTACGATTTTGGGAACTTTATGTTTCTATATTTGACTCGGACGATCGTCAACCACTGTTAAATGCGTACCACGACACTGCGAGTATGTCAATGATGTCGTCGTATTCCCAATCGGGTCACGTTTCGCAAGTTGAATCCTCAAAAAAGTGAGAAAATAATATAGTAGATTGAAATATATTGTAGATTTTTATAATTATCAAATTTTCATTTTCCAACGTTTAGATTAAGCTACTATCTCTCAGACAGCAGAAATTTCATAAGACAGACTGACAAAACGAAGAGATTTAAGCTACTTCACCAAGGAAAACTGGATATTGTGTCTTTTCTAACGAAATTCCCAAAGACGAAACATGATACGAATTCATACCTCATAGATATGCCTGTTGCAGTGGTAATTTGTTAAATTTTATAAAGTTTCTGTTACAATATTCATTCAAAATCTTACAATTTTCTTATTTTTTCAGGAAAATTTTATCCTGTTTAATGTGACTGGAATATTTAAAGAACGTGACGAAAGAAATACACCGTTCAGATATTTTTGTCGGACGTTCACTCTCGTTCCACAAAATTCTGGTTTCGTAATCATCAATGAAATGATTTACGTTACGAATCCGACATCCGAGCAAATCAAGGTAGTTCTCTCTTTAAAAAAAATTTAAAATCCGAAAGTTTCTGGATAACTTAACATTTTTATATAATTTTCTTTTTAGCACGCATTCCGCCAACCAGCCCCTACTCCAAGTCCGAGTCCAATTCCACAAGTACCAGGACCTGCTATCCTTTCGGATGATGAGCGTCGCCAGATGCTTGTGTCATTTTCAGCACAGTCTGGAATGAATGATGAATGGTCCAGGAAGTACGTGCATACTTTTACACGAAACCATCAACATTTTTCCAATAAAAATGCAAATTATGTATGTATTTATTACAGATGCCTCGAAGAAAACGGATGGGACTTCAACAAGAGCGCCGTTATTTTCACTCAGCTTAAAGAACAGAACAAAGTTCCCCCAGAGGCTTTTATAAAATAGCAACTCATCAATTAATTAGTTATATATTTATGTACACTGGGTTATACTGTCCGATTTTTAAATACAATTTGTTATCTGACAGTATTATATATTATATAATCAATAATGTTTTTGATTAGAGATAAAAAAAATAACGAATAAATACAATAAGAACATTTTTTATTTAAAAAGAGACGATTTCCTTGTATTTATAAATATTTATTTACATATCTTTTAAATACTTTTGATGCTCAAAAGCCACAAATTTCACTTCTCCAGGAATATAGCGAAAGTTTTTCGATAGTTCCGTATCCAATCCGGGGGACTCGATGGTTTCCAATTTTGCTGGCGAATTTAGACTTTTTCTCACCACGACGGCCGTTCCACAAACGCGACATGCCCTCGTAATCACGGATCTCACATTCATGCAGCAAGTTACATCGATCCTAAAACTCTTTAAGACTCCACCCCCGGGCAAGATTACCATTTGTATTTCCACCTGAAAATAATTAGTTAGAGATTATTCGAAATTTTGAATTTTCAAAAAAAAGTGCCTGTGGTTTGGTCGCCTTTTTCACGACGGCAACTCCGATTTCTTCTTCGCCCACAAAAATGCGGAATCGATGCCCTTCGAAGACGGCTTGCGGTGCAAATCCGAATCCTTCAGGGTAGGAATCGCTCCAAAAGTAGTTTTCATTATTGTTCTTGCTGGTAGAGTCGAAGGTGAGTCGTTTCCCGTAACCTCTCCCGATCGAGAGCAAGTTGAGGGGTTTGCCCCCAAAGAGTGGCGTTTTGGATTGGGCTGGTCGTACGATGTAGTGAAATCCGGGAAGGATTCGCTTGTCGACGTAGGTTCCTAAATTAGTGGGGTATTTGTAGTCATTTGATGTCAATTAACAATGAGATGGTGTGCAAAGTTATGAAGAACCAGGGGTTTTACCTTGAAAACCCCAAATACCCCAGTAAAACAGAGTAAAACCCAATAATACCCGAGTAAAACCCAATAAAACCGTGTAATACCCAGTAAAACCCGAGTAAAACCGAGTAAAACCCAATAAAACCGAGTAATACCCGTATAACATAGTAAAACCCGATGGGTTTTATTAATTTGTGGCCTAATAAAACCCGGGGTTGGAATACCCTGAGATGCAAAATCCAACACTCTGATTTAATTGAAATTTGGAAGTTCAAGTCAATACAACCAACGCTTCTTGAGGCAATTTGTGCGATGGCTAGAATTTGTCAAAATCCTTGAGGGGAAAGTTCAAAATTGGTCAATTTTTATCACAGACAGGGAGAGAATAGAAATGGAATTTACCAGCCTGATAAAATTGCCCATTTTAGTTGCCCATTGCCCTTTGACCTAAAATATTTTGATCAATTCTAACCGTCGCACAAACTGCCTCAAGAAACGTTGGTTGTGTTGATTTGACCGTAATAATTCCAAATTTCAACTAAATCGTAGTGTTGCATTTACACCATTGCACTGTAATAATTTCATAAGTGGTTCTACCTATAACAGGAAATTCGTGATTAAGCAGCCCAGTAATCGTGTAGGTCACAGGAACGTCTTGGAGTGTGGCGCCAGAAACGGTGATCCTCCGCGAGTGGAAATCCACACCTGGCATCAGCGTCAAACCAGACTTCTTTGATTGTCGTTGGCTCATCCGCTTGCAGTTCATGATACGAACCAAAGTCGCAGCCCCGGTGCGGGTCGCTTTGGATGAAATTGCAATTCCGGAAATGACATCCTCCGACACGGCGCCCTCCAGTGATTCGATCTAAAAAAATAAACGGTACACACTGTTGAAACATATGTACATATTTGCATATAGAATCTCTTTGTCCATGCATCAGTGACCGCGGAAGCCCTGGGGACATCTGGGGACATTGCTATTGTGGGATAGGGGAGGGATGGGTTTATATAAGATGGGAAGATGATGGGGACATCGAATAACCGTGGGGACATTGTCCCTCTGTCCGCGGCCACTGTCTAAAATACAATTCCTAGTTCATGCACTAAAAGATTTACCTTGCATCTCAACTTGGTCACGACCCATTTCTCAATCGTCCCATTTTCTGGCCAAATCAAGTGAGATTGTTCCACTTGTGGTTCCTGCAAATATTTAATTAGCATAATATTGCGATTAAAAATATATTTGCATAAAACTTCCCAATATTATTCATGATGCCTCTTGTACTACAGATTGCGACATATTTATAACTAACACAACAACAAGATGCTACTCGTCGCATGTAAGATGGTCGCATTGATCAAGGGTAAATTAAATGTTAAGATTGATACTCTCTGGAATTGCATATTGCTCAATAAGTATTGCTTGATCTCGACTTCAATATTTAATTATCACTCCAAGTCAAATGCAGTTTAATTGAGATTAACTAATTCCGTTGAGATTGATGGCTGACAAGCATTCAAGAAGATGACTCAATTCAACTGACCTCGTTGCTGATAACTTCACAGTTTCCTATTTTCGTGTGGTGAGCGTCGTATAAAGTGAATTTGTCCCCGGGGGAGACGACCTCTAGCTCAAAGCCGTATCCTTCAGGTCTTGAATCACTCCAAAAGAAATTACTGTGCAAAAAATTGGACAAAATATTTTGGATTGTGTTTTGCTTTTCTACATATTTAATCATTAACTCGATAACTCATCATCAAAATTGTCAAAATCAACACATTTTTAATCATTTCTAGGGGCTGGGAATTTATTCCAAAATTTGTAGTTGAATGGAGGTGAGTTTTTTAAGGTCAACCAGTTCCAATTTTTCTGAAGGCTTCTTAAACTTGAGACCTCTTCCTTCAAAAAGTGTCGAAATCTGGAGTGTATATTTTTTCAAAATTGGGAACGACTTTCTCTAAAAATTCGTCGTCCAGAATTTTAAAATAAATTCCCAGAGCTGAGAAATGGTTAAAAATGTGCTAATAATTCTGACAATTTTGCCGATAAAACATCGAGTCCTACATTAAATAGTATACTTGAATTATGTATGCACTTAAGTAGCTGTACTACTTACTCGTTAACATTTTTCTGACCATCGTCCGCCTTGAAAGTGATACGTTTCCCGTACCCTTGGCCAACTGAGACGAGTTGCAGGGCACGTCCGCTAAAGAGGTGCTTCGAAGTATTCAGGGGTCTAACTCTGCAATCAAAAGAGGAAACATTTGCTTAAAAATCGTCCCCCAAAAAATAAGACTCTCGCCAAAAAACCAACCTGTAACAAAAGCCCGGAATTATCCTCGGATGTACCACCAGCCCCACAACAGGAAACTCATGAGGTCGCAAGTTTTCCACTTTATACACGATCGGAACATCGTCACTGATGACGGTCGTGGTCCGTTTCGACGTCTGCAAGGGACGCTTCAGTGACAAGAGTTGGAGTGGTGTCAAGGGTTTGACAGGTGCAGTGACAGGGGCAGGTGATGGAGGCATTTTGATACAAAAAGTTATGAAATTTTATTAAAAAATGTAAATAAATATGTGGATTTTGACAATTAAACTGGGTCGAGAGGAAATACTGAGGGTAAACTTGTTAATTATGTAATAAGAAAAAATGAAAGATCTCGTTAATAAAGGTCAAAAACGTGTCCAGAATAATGTAAAACGTGCTCTTGACTCGAATTGCCAATGCCAAATGAAGCCTCGGCAGCTTAGAAGAATCAGGTTAAATGTGGACCTATGTACATAAGAATAAATAGATTTTTATTAGAGGGTATACTGTAATGTGGACAAACTTAAATATGTACGAGTACGTACATAACATGACGCGTTTGGCCATTCTTCGAAGAAATTGTCAAGCAATGTATTTGGCATAACATTCAATAAATGTCGCTCTAAAAGATTGAACGACCTGAATGAATGTGACTTGAGGCACCATTCTATATATTTACATATATAAAGCATTTCTCAGAATTAAACTGTACCTTGACCAGCCAGAATAAACTAGTCTAAACCAAGTCCTTCTCCTTACTAGTCCTTCCTTAGTTGCATGCTGATGTTATTGGAATGGACAATTTTACCAATACTGACTGCATACATACATTACGAAAATGAAAATGGAATTGCATTAGCAAAGCAATTACTCCAGTACACTGCGCTACGCAAGATGTAATCCAATTTCATGAGATCAGAAAGTTTCATCTTCTCATTTGTGGAGAATTGGAGATACATAAATGAATGGAAAGTTTTGCGGAATGTCTGATTTATCAGTGCACTTCCATTAAAAATGTCTGGTATCTAGTACATAATTGTGTACGTGAAGATTTGTTTGGTCTAATGATGTATTTAGAATACAGATACTTTCTTTATGGTTGGTCTTGGTATTGTGCAGCTATAAATGTTTTATTCGACTAGTAACATCCGCCTTTATTTATTTGAGAGTCTAATGTCCAACTGAATAACACACAATTGAGCTGCTCAGCTTAATAATTGGATCTCTGGTAATTAAACTTGATGCATGCAATTAGCCATATATGCATTTTAATCAATGAGAAGTATGCAATTAGTCTAGTACTGAATTCCAAAGCTTTATAGGGAATCTGAAGAGAAAGGCTTGCGTCATCATCGCAAATAGAATAAAATAAAAGACCTAAAAGTATATCGTTCAGATTGAAGCCATCAATCAATCAATACCTAGAAAACAACCGTCACTTGTGATAACCTTATTATTTTCAATAACAATTTGCACCCATCATCATCGTCCTCGAAGAATAAGGATGTACATAAAGACACGTATTTACAAATAATGACATAATCCAGAATGAAATACATAATACGTATAAAATAAATATAAATATGAGACGACTTTACACATATTATGTAAAGTCGTCTCATATTTCTCACTGCCCTTTACGAGCTTAAAATGCACATATTTTAGGTCCATTTCATAAATATGTGTAGTATCAAAGGTACTAAAAAATTTAGCCAATTAGCAATATGTAAATTGAATTACTTAAAGTTAAACATGTGCAAATTATGCATGTGCAATTTTAGCGAATCGCGTGGGAATGATGAGAATTCCAGTCTGCTCTACTCTGAAGGATCGATTTGTCGTCGAGTGGAGAAAGTGCGTGCACACCTACTTTCTCCAGATTTCGCTTCGTTGCAGGAAAAGTCAGCCTGCTTTCTCTCACTACACTTTTTGCCCATTTTTTACATCTCCAGAAAATATGGGTGAATAATTATAATACAGCAAATTAAAATAATTATAGCAAGTTTCACTGTATGAATCGAAATTCGAATTTCGAATCGTCAATACCCATTTAAATATTTTATTGTGCATGTTCAATTACTGAACTTTTGTTCAATTTTTTTAAATACCAAACGTTAGACTAGGCCAGAGGCCAGAGTAAATTTCAAGTCATTATATTTTTTAATTGTGTTAAATTTTAATATTTGTTTATTTATACCGTTTTGTTTATTTTATTTTAATTACTAATTTTTACAGCTGTTTATTATTACCCCCGGAACGGGAGTAAATTTCTGAGATGAATTCCCTCGGCCTTAACATTATTTTGAGAATGGGTTGTCTCTGTTCGAAACAAAGCGTTCGGATAAATGGGAAGACGTACTACATCCGAGACAGATTGGGCGAAGGGTAAATAAGTAAACGGAAATTAACATCGTATTATCTAATTTGTGAGGTGGCAATGTGGAAATTTATTTATTTACATATTTTTGTAAATATTGTAGAGGCTTCAGCGTCGTGGAGCTTGTCGAAGACGCCAGAACGCATGAAATGTTTGCCCTGAAACGGATTCCTTGTCACAACGCGGAAGACCAGAAGGTCGCCATGCTTGAGGTGGAGAGTCATAAATGTATCCAACATCCGGGCGTGATGGAATTACTGGATTATGATCTCAAGTCTAAAGTAGACCCTTTGGAGGATCTATCAAGTGAGCTGTTGATTCTGATGCCGTATTATCAGGTAATAAATTAAGTGATTAAGTAGTAAAATAATGTGACAATTTTAACTGCATGAAAGTATTTTTGTTAGAGAGGAACGCTGTTTGGGGAACTAAGTCGACGGGAAGTTCGAAAGCTTTATTTTGCGGAGAAAGAGGTGCTAAGGATTTTTCGGTGCATTTGCGAAGCTGTGGAAGCATTTCACACTTTACAGCCTGACCCCTTGGCGCATAGGGATTTAAAAACGGCAAATATATTGTTGGATGAAAACTTTAATCCAGTTCTAATGGATTTAGGTGGGTACTAGATAATTTGCACATTATAAAAGCACTGTTAAATTCGCATTTGTTTGACAGGGTCTACCACAAAGGCCAGAGTGGACGTTAAAGAACACACCGAAGCAAAACAGTTGGAAGAGCTTGCTGCTGAAAGGTCATCAATGCCGTACCGGGCACCAGAACTGTTTCACGTGTCTTCTAACTTGTCTATTGACGAACGGTCGGATGTTTGGGTAATTAAGCAAAGATCGCTTTAATATGGTTTGAAAATACTGGTGGGGTGGTACTAATTATAAATTTTCTTTACATGCATACAGTCCTTGGGATGCATTCTCTTTGCTCTCTGCTTTTTTAAATCGCCCTACGATATTGTGTATGAACGACACGACTCCGTGGCGTTGGCTGTGGTCAGCGGTAGAATAGACATTCCGCCAGACAGCCCATTTTCTGAGGTAGCATCGAAACAAGTTAATTTTGATACAATAATACAAGTCTCAAAATCATTTTATATATATTGTATATAGGAATTGCATAACTTGATCAAATACATACTCGTCGTGGATCACAAAGAACGCCCATTCATTCAAGACGTACTCACACGGCTGAGGGAACTGGAAATGAAAAACCAAGGCTGTGTCTAATCAGTCCAACCTCTTACGACTACGTACAAATTAATACAGAATTGACGACTATGCATAGACGAAAAGTGATGATTTGAAAGCAAACATATCAATTGACAATGCCTATTATAACTTTGTATGTGTAATATTTACGTATTATGTATGCAATAAGTAAATAACATTCCAGAAAATGTAGAACAATAGAATTAATTAACCGGTTGTGTAAGTGAAAGTAGTCAGTCACCGTGTAAAAATATTTATTTAATTGCTTTAACATTTAACATTATTTAAATACTCTTTAGTGCAGTATCAACAACGGAAGATTGTTGTCTAACGGCTTCTTCAATAAATCGATATACTTTTTGACAACCTTTTACCCCCTCTTCTACCACATCTTTTAGATACATACTTGGCATTAAATTGGCCTGTTCTAAAACAATAATTTGATTATTTTTAGCCGTGATTGCAATAGTTAGCTCCGGACTGGAACCCCGTTCTTGAGCATTTATATCAATCATGGGCAACGAGTTGGTAATGGTGGCAGTGCAGGAAACGACATAATCTCGAATTGGTATTCGGGCGTCAGCCAAGGCCAAGGTGAGGGCGTTAATGCAGGCAGAATAGCTACTCCCATCGTCCTGAATTAACTCGATGTAAGCGTCCAGCACCGTTCCGGCCGTGAGGGCGTCCGTCACAATTATATTTTCCAACAGCTCCTTTAAATTTGTTGACACTTCGATCGACTTACGGTCAGATTTTGTCGACGTTTTCCTCTCATTTGAACTGAAGCAGGCCGAACTGTATTCACAGTTTATGTTGACTTTGTCCGCATTGTGTGATTTCTTTTGAGTAGATCGGACCTATATTTAAATAATACATAATAATGCACATTACATTGGTGTACTTATATTACTAACTTATTTTAAAATACGCATGTTTCTTGATACCTCGTGAGGTCCATAAATTGCAGCTGCAATCAGAATAAGATTAGATCAGATCAGACCTGACGATTACTGCAACCCCCTCGAATGAGGGGGAGTGATTTATCAACAAATAAAATACACTTACCCACCACTTTAGTATTTCCAATACTAAAAGCCGCACTTCCACTCGCCCTCGTGTCCCGGAAAACGCTCATTTCACAACAAACGTTTCGCAACTCGTTCGGCGTACGTCCATCCGGTCTTATCTGATGTTCCCAAAGATCATCCAAATGTGTACGATAAGCCATTTCTCGTCAGTCTCTTACCAGTCTGTAATTAATAAGCAATACGGAGAAAAGTTAAAAACTACTTCAATTCAATTAATTAAAGTTGTTTAGGTTAAATAAAATTAAAGAAGAATAGAAGCTTTCACTTTCAGATTAGGACCCTTCGAACTACTAAAAGCGAGCTTTTCTCCTTCAATTTTATCCTCACGCACACATTTTTTTCACAATTAAAGTCTTTAATTTAAAGTTGTTTACCTTTTTATTATGAAAACGTGCTCTTCTTCTTCAGCTCTCAGTCGGTCTCATATCATCATCATCATCGGAATCCTCGGACGCGCGCGCTGCTGGCCGCACTAATTTGAAGGGACAATGATAGATGGCCGCGCGTCATACAGCCAGCAGATGAACCCAAACAATACGTCTGTGAAGCTGTACATGGGTTTGAGTGCACTGCTGCCGCCCACCGTCCAGCTTCCTACCGCCAACCGCCGCCTCTCTTCCTACCGCCAACCGCCGCCTCCCTTCCTACCGCCTACCCGCAGATGCCACTTCCAAAAAACCTTGTACATCGACTTCTCTAACCCTTCGCCGTACCATAATACCCCAAAATGTTAATTTTACTCTAAAATACTCAAGAAATCCCGAAAACTAACTAACAAACTAACAAAATAATCCGCATAGATTCCTACAGCGGGATTTCAATCCACCGCCTCCATGCTTGTATATATTACTGACCACACCCCCTGGCATCAATTACTGCGGACCCGCACCCGCCAGATCCCTCTGGTCAAAATTACCAAACCGGTAAAAGTCATGACTTGGACTTTTTGCTAATTTTGACTTTGTCGCCGTTTCCTACAGCGGGATTTCAAACTACCGCCTCCATGCTTGCATATGTTATTGACCGCATCCCCGGTCATCATTTACTGCGGACCCGCACCCGCCAGATCCCTCTGGTCAAAATATCCAAGCCGGTAAAAGTCATAACTTGGAGTTTTTGCTAATTTTGGGTTTGTCGCCGTTTCCTACAGCGGGATTTCAGACTACCGCCTCCATGCTTGCATGTATTACCGACCACACCCCTGGTCATCTTTTGGTATGGTCCCGCACCCTCCAGATGCATCGGATCCATATAAATAAACTCAGAGTTACTTTTGTCTTCTTCCTTAGTTTTACTTTGATTCTCAATAATGAACATGTAGTATAGATTCGTATAACTTAAATTTATAAGCTTATCAAGTTAGTCAAATGGCGAGATGTTGGAAAGCTCTTTTCTTGCTTGGTGAAGTGGTGTTTTCAAGACATCAGAGTAAATTAGCTCCAGTGTTTTGGGAAGCAGAACGGTTGTTACTTGTAAAATGTCCTGAAATAAGAATATATAGTAAGAATACATAATACATAATTTCTTTAAATGTAAATTGTGAAATAATCATTGTCAAGATACTTCAAATCCTAGAGCAGAGATGTTTTTAAGCTTTTGGATATCGGAGGAAACTGTGGAACATATCTTAGAGCAAGATTTTGTGGTAAATGGATGTGATACCACCATTTGCTGCAAATTTCCAGAAAAGTTTGGCTTTCGTTCCACCCACATCTGCGTAAATAATGTATTAGAATATTACTATATCAGGTTCTAGTTAAATAGCTGGGAAAATTTAGCGACCTTTTGTCGAGCACATTTGTAGCCGCCGACAAATTCATCCCGATTGGCCACGTAAAGTTCCATTATGTCTTCTTTAATGTTGGAGTAAGCCATCATGAGTGAATCCTCAGTAAGATTCTCAACGATTCTGTACAATAATTACAATTAAATTCATCGTCCATATTATTATGTATTTGCAAGTTACTTATATCGCTGATATTGTTTCTCCTGGGTGACAAATTCTTCACCCAAAACTTGCTTCCGCAGCGATTGCTTGGCTAAGAATATAAGAGATTTTTATTGTTATAACTGTTATAAGAAATTTGGTAATAAATGTTTGCAAAAATTCAGTTAGGCTAATCAGACCAGAATTCCCTTGCTGATCCGTCAGAATGTCCGAGACTATTTTCCTGAACTTTGACTCCAGGTTAGCTGTGGTAGTCTCCTCTTCTTCCGCGGATGTTTTATTACGCCTTTGCCTATTTTTCCCGAATTTGTATAGGAATAAATTAGTATTTAGACTAGAATAAAACATCTTTCAGTCGGGCATTTTTGTAGAATACGCTATCAAACGGTTATTAAAGTTCGTTTAAATATTAAATACTACATTACCGAGTCTCCAAACATCCATCCATAGTTCGTGCTACATTATTTTGATTGTTCAGAGTAAGAACTTGTTGAAGGGGTTGAGAAGACCTGTCTCTCCCAATCTTTTGAACCCTTGCATTCTCTCTTGCCTTTTCCTCGTCAAGCTTGGTAAGCTCAGTCCTATTATGTAAATATCTATTTTTTCGTTCGCCTTTTTTTCTTTTGCTCCATGTCTCCTTGCATTCTTGAACTTCTTCTTGAATTAGTCCCTTTGGAATATCTCCACGTTCGATTTCGTCGTCATTTTGCAGCGTTTTTGTAACTAGCTTAGCTTCTTTGCTTGCTGGTTTCTTTGGTAGATTGTCGAATACAAATTTTTTGTTTTTACCATTTGTAATTTCAAAGCGATGCCGAACAAAGTCGGCGACATTTTCCGGTTCCACGATGAGATTTTGCTTTAATAGCCGAAACTCTGATTCACATGATCCATTCGTTGCCCGGACAAAGTTGGCGTTCTTGGTTTGCTGCACAACTCCACGTGCGAAAATTCCAACGTATGGGGCGTATGTCTTTTCAAACACGTTCAGCACAGTAGGATTGTAAAATGGGTTCAACTCTGCATCCTAATTCACGTGTTTTTCTTCAATTCTTCTTATTTTCTGAAAAGTGTGGTAGAATGGCGACTTCTCACGTAATAACCTACTTGCGTTTACTTCTTCCTCGTCTGGTCCTGCATAGTCATCCACTATAACGTCCCCATCCACCCATTCTTCAAGAGAAATTGACTTGATTCGCGCGAGATTGTGTTGGACATCTTCGTGGGACATCTTCTCCTTCCCAAATAGGGTACATATATCCTTCATGGCGATTTCCACGTCGTTTAGCGTTGACGCCTCTTGTAATTTGGCTAACCCTCGCACGCTCGCGTCCACGATCTCATTTCGAAATTTATGTCCAACGGGTTTCTTGCGAACATTGTCAAGAAATGACTTTGTCAAATGAGATGCACACAATTGTATGCACGCCGTATCTCCCGCAAACGTGTCCTCGTTTTTGAGGACGGCGTAACTTTTCTTCAAATATTCTTCTAGTTTCATTGTGTTATATCCCTCAGACACAGCATGAAGCATGGCGAAATTAAAGTCGGTACATATTACATCAGGGGCACTCTTCGTCTGATATGGGCGTAATTTTTTCACACCTCGCTTGATGCTAGTAAGAGGACCCGCAATATCATTGGATTGACCTCGCATTAAAACACTGTCAGCCACAATGAAGCTTCCCTGCTTCGTTTGCGCCACAATAGTGTACAATAACAATGAGTTCCTTTTGTTCCTGTGAGTTTTTTCAGCAGGATCATTGCTAGGATATAGGGCATCTCGTGGGAGGGGCTTTAAAATACCTCCTGTCGCATCAATTCCCACAATAACATATTCTCGTGAAATTGTGTCCGTAAATAATTTTATTGATTGCTGGTCGAAAAGATCCAGCCTAAAAAGTTTTGCATCCAAGTTAAAATCTTGGATGTAACCACAAATTGTGGCGTTGGCGTTGTGGCTTGTCTGGTAGTGATTTTTCAACAACATTAGAAGCCAGTCTGACTTTTCCTTTGGACTCTGATTTCACAGTTCGTAGAGCGTCTGCACTGGGAGGAACGCTTTTATGTAAAAGCTCGAGCCCTTTCACATGGCTCAAGTCTGTGAGAAATATCTTTGCTGCCGATGTAGTTGATAATTGGTTTGATAGTTTTTCTCGTTCGATCCCCGTGATTGGCCTTGACGTCCTTTTTCCTTGGACGAGGGTGAAAACTCCGAAAGATTCCAAGGTAGTTTCCAAGGCCTCTCCCTGGATTGGTTTGCATGGGAAAGTTACTTGAAATTTGATTCCACATGAGCAGTATCCTTCCTGTCGAGCGAATGGCTGATCTTTTTTCCTTTCCGAATAATAATAGGGCTCCCGCCTATTCTTAAAACGGCAAAGGATGCCAGCTTCCCGAAGTTTCTGCGAAATAACGTCCCCACGAATCTTGTTTTCTACAAATTTTGAGGTTTTGTAGTCAAAAAATTTGGAAGCTTCGTTTGGGGAAAATATAACTGTCATTTTTTTAGGCGGAATATAATTCAGTTCTTCCTGAGAAATGCCAAGGACAGTACAAACTGTGTCCACATCGAGTTGTACATCAGCTAAAGGTGCGTGAACTCGTACGGTTTCATTTTCGTCGGCTGACCATGTCTGGTGATCGAACTGGTGTGAGGTTTCTTGTGCGTCTTCCTCGTTATTTTGCATATCCGCCTCGGAACCTCCATTTGCATCATTCTCAGGTCCGTCGTGTTTTTCGGTATATGTGTCATCATCAAACTTCTGTACGTCGTCGTTGCCGTCATTTTGATCTCCGTTTTCAGAATCCAGGTCGTCGTTCCCATCTTTTTCAATACTGTCATTTTTATCAGTTTCTGCTGCATCCCGACATTCCAGACAATACCACTCATTGGACTCTTTGTAGTCGCAATGATTTTTTCCGACTCCGTCCTTTTGGTAATGATACCACTTACCACATCCATCACATTCTACCGCTGGCAAGTGGTCGTCCCCACGAACTCCGCAGTTGCACCAGCTTTCTTTTACGCTTCTTGTCTTTCGTGGCACGTAGTATTCTGCTGTTGGATAGCGCTTCGAAGGCTTTGGGCTTCTTCTGGTTAATCTCCTTGCCGTGCCATGTTCTGGATGAAAGGGTCTATGAACCACGGGGCTCTTATTTAATACTATACGGGCGTGCTCTGCTTGGACGTCCTGGAGACCCTCAGCTTGTGCGCCAAAGCTTTCTTCAGGTAGGTCTTTGTGGGCGTGTTCTGTTTGAACAGGTTCGGTTTGGGTTACGAGGATTTGCTCATCTTGGGCGACGCCGACATGCTCCAGTAGCGCGGTTGTGATAAGTTGTACTAGATCAACTTGTATGTTCTCTGTGTGAGCGTGGGGGGCGTCATCAGCTTGGCGTTGCTCAATTCCAAGTTCGCTAACGAGGTCGGCTTGGTTTACGAAGATTTGTCCATCGTGAGCGATGGGTTCGTCTTCAAGAACGACGACGTGGACAAATTCTACTTGGTCAGCTTGTGTGTCCTCGGTTTGGGCGTGGGGGACGTCTTCAGCTTGTGTCTCCTCAGTTTGGGCGTGGGGGGCGTTTTCAGCTTGTGTGTCCTCGGTTTGGGCGTGGGGGACGTCTTCAGCTTGTGTCTCCTCAGTTTGGGCGTGGGGGGCGTTTTCAGCTTGTGTGTCCTCGGTTTGGGCGTGGGGGACGTCTTCAGCTTGTGTCTCCTCAGTTTGGGCGTGGGGGGCGTTTTCAGCTTGTGTGTCCTGGGTTTGGGCGTGGGGGTCATAGGTGGTTGCATATAATGGGACATGCTCGGACACAATTTCTTGTGCCGCTCGACGTCTTTTCGGAGGGTTCGTCTCTTCACGAAACTCTGCCATTTTGAGGAAAAATCCTCGACAGAGTTCGTGTGGCACCCTTTCTTCTCGCAGAAACGCCGTCCAAAACTCTTTTTCGCAGAAGGATACCGTATTATTATGAGCTTTGTTCATGTCTGCTTTGGAAAATTTCATCTTGGACGACTTGTAGGAAACGGCAACAAAGTCGAAACTAGCAAAAAGTCCAATTATGACTTTTACCGGCTTGGTAATTTTGACCAGAGGGATTTGGCGGGTGCGGGTCCGCAGTAAATGATGACCGGGGATGCGGTCGATAACATATGTGAGCATGGAGGCGGTAGTTTGAAATCCCGCTGTAGGAAACTGCGACAAACCCAAAATTAGCAAAAACTCCAAGTAATGACTTTTACCGGCTTGGTAATTTTGACCAGTACTATCTGGCGGGTGCGGGTCCGCATTAAGTGATGACCGGGGGTGTGGTCGGTAATATATGTGAGCATGGAGGCGGTAGTTTGAAATCCCGCTCTAGGAACCTATGCGGACTATTTTATTAGTTTGTTAGTTAGTTTTCTGGATTTCTTGAGTATTTTAGAGTAAAATTAACAATTTGGGGTATTATAGTACGGCGAAGGGTTAGAGAAGTCGATGTACAAGGTTTTTTGGAAGTGGCATCTGCGGGTAGGAAGAGAGGCGGCGGTTGGCGGTAGGAAGCTGGACGGTGGGCGGCAGCAGTGCACTCAAACCCAGGTACAGCTTCACAGACGTCCAAACAATGTTGTTCCTCCGCTTCCTTCCTTCCTTCTCGCTCGCACGCTAAAAAAACGCTCTGCTGCTATATGACTATGCACTATTAATCCCCTAAAGGCCACACCCACACAAACCGATATTTTCAGAAATTTTGAAATCCAGTCAAAAAAATAAAATCCAATTTTATATTTTATCCTAGATTTACGCTTTGTTTACGTCCTGTGTGGGTGCGCTTTTCTGCCAATGTCAGGATTTAGTCGCAGTCGTCCGTGATCAGCAGCTCTCTCATTGGCGTGTATATTATATTCCTCTGCTATTCCTGCTTCATCACGTCCTCGTCAAAGGTTCGCGTTTTATTTTTCTCCTTTTTCGAAAAAATTAATTGTAATTAGTTAATTGGTGTGATTTAATTGATGATGCAGTGGACAGGATAGTAGACTTAGAGGAAGAGTGGTGGCCAGGGACGTGGACACCCCTTCAGTCCTTCTCCATGGGACTCCGAAAGGATTTCTGCCCCTCCAACTCTTTCTAACCTTCGGCAGCCAAAATTGTCCTGCGTAAGTTAATTAATACTTTAATTGGTGGATAAGCTACTTATCGAAGGTGGTGATGGGTCATGTTTGTTGTGGTGGAAAAGGTTGAAATGAAAGGGAGCGTGTTTGGGTTAAAGATTTTGTAATTAATAACAAAATCCGTTCATTCACCGTTTTTATGGGCTTTAGTATAAGACTGAGGACAATAGAAGGAGAATTAATTTGTGTTATATTTGCATTAATATGGGAGAAAGTAAGAACAATGAGGCTTTTGGGATTTTCCTTTTACATTAAAGAAAGCCAATTTAGTACAATTGGTAATAAAAACGGAGTTTATTATTGGTAAAATTTGAAATTTATATAAGCCTGTTGGAGCGTGGATTTTATATGTAAATTAGATACAATTTATTTGTTTATTAAAATCCAAACGTAAATGAATCGTGGATTGAATTAGTTATAATTTTTATTGTGAATCTTTTTTCTTTTTGTTATTTTCAGTCCAAAAATCTTCGGATGCACGTCGCGGTCCATCTTTCTTCAGCTGGTCGAGGTTGTCGCCCAATCAGTCTCCGAAGAAAGACCCGCTCGTCATCTCCGAAGAAGATAAAGCAACTTACATCTCAACCAACATCTGAGGAGCAGTGAACGTCGGTCATCGTTAAAAACGTCACCACCATTACGATGCCTTGGACCGCAACTAATTAAACCACCAACCACGACCTAATCTTCTAACAAACGGCTACAACAACTTCTCCTCGTCGATCATCATCCACTACACATTGAACATACTATTGAAACGAAATTAGAAGCTAAGAATAATAACCTTGAACCTCCCCCATCCATCACCACAGATTTTAAACGGCATACATAGATACAGAACGACGCTATAGGGGAGAGTAACATTCAACGATCAACTTACACCCACCGTATTAATTTAATTATAATAATAATTAATTAATTAGCTAGGTTATATCTCTACATACAGCATTACTTCCATCCGTGGTTGGAAGTGAAACGGGTTACAAAATCAGATAGGTAAACAAAGAAGTAAGAATATTAATAATTAGCTTTTATTTAAGTCCTTTAGTTGCAAGCTAACAAGAAGTTCCGTAATATTTCATGGAACACAAATTACAAGAAACGGACAACTTTATTAACTTTCAACGTTCCGGCTTCTTGTCCCGTTTCAGCCCTTTTGTTGCTTACGCCATTTTTCGCAAACGTTACTTGTTCAAGATCATCCATTGTTGAGTTATTATTATCATTATTATTATAATTTCTTGCTCCTGTCATTATTTCGGTCCGACTTTTGAGTTTTTGTTCAGAAACAACCCAAATTGGTCAAAGTATTGGAACCCTTTTCCGTATCATTCGTTCAGTTTGTCCAGTCGAGTATATAGTTCAGAGACAAGGGGAGTTAATTAATTGGTTTAAACTTTCCAGGATATATAATAAGCACACATACAAAAAAAAGTTAGTTTCCTTCTTTGATCCTTTCCTGTCCAAATACCTTTCAACCTTTTTTAGGTACTAGGTTACATTGGGTAGGATTAGTAGGAAACGAACGAACTATTTAAGTACTCATTCACATACATACACTCGAACGTGGAATTAAACCTTCTGAACTAACTAATGTACCCAAACTGGAAAAGGTTCTTTTCTCATCAATATCTGGGTCCCTCGACGGAAGCTGTGAATATATATGGTAAAGAATATCTAATTTTTATCAGCTTGCCAGCAAGCAATATTATTGAATACTTATTGCATACATAGTTAAATATTGTGTGCTGGTGACTCAGCCAGTGTTTTTATCAGTAATTGAGTTGTATTTATTTATACATTTTTGCAGTATGAAAGGATGAGAGTGGAATCCTGTGGTCCCCTTTTTGCGCAATCCGCAGACACGAACATCAATTTGGGAGACATATTCTTTTCTTCCAATCATCGCCTCTCCGAACCTATTGCTATTATCAATCCAAAGAAAAATTTGCTGGTAGGAGAGAACGAGGAAGAAGAAGATTTATTAAAACTTGACAACTTGAGAGTGACGTCGACGAACCGACTCCATCCAATTGAACATCCACTTCCTCCAGTTGGCTTTTTCCTTACTGACGAAGAATGGTCACTGATCGACAAACAACCTGATTTAGGTATTTTCAATAAAAATAAGCTGTTTGAATTTGATAATGATTTTATGTTTTAATATTAAATTAGAATCTGGAGAGGCAGAGAAAATGAGTGACCACCTTCCCATGAAACCCTATTCTCCGCTGTCAGATACCTGTGCAAATTTTAATAATCTGGGCAAACAACAATTACTGATGCCGAACTGCTACAATAACCCTCAACCTTTTGGATCTCCTTCGTCAACAGTGACGACCAATGAGGACGATGATTCCAACAATAACAACGTCATTCTCCCAAAGTCGTCCTCGTCGTCGTCATTTTCTCAGTTAGAAGGCCCCGAACTATGTACCAATACTAACTATGTACAGGTAAACCATATTACAAAATAATAATTTAACTTTAATTATTTAGGAAGTCGTTCGCGTTTATGTTATGCTTAATTTTATTTTAATTGCAGGATGATGATGTGCAAGAGTGTAAAGAATATGATCCAATCTTTGTGCGTCCATTATCTCCTGACGAATACGATGACACCATGCCCTTCAATCCCAATCCTACTTCTGTGCAGTGCTCCTCATTCTTTCCTTCTTACAACACTAGTACACTCGCCGAAGAGGATGAGCAGTACAATCAAAATTTCGAAATTTCATGGAACATTGGCGGTTCCTCCGTCGCAATTGGAGAAGTGTATGTTATCGAGTCACACTACCCACCCATTTCTTCCGTTTCCACTGAACATGGTCACACTCATGTGCAACAGAGTCCTCATTCGTGCCACCATCCAAACTGTGAACAGCAACAAGAATTCTTTGTACCAAGTGACAATTTGTTGAATGACGGAGAATGTACCCATGATTACTTTGAAGATTGGCAGTCTCAATCCATTTTCTTGTCGACGGAAGTTGACAAGGCCAAGTTGAAATGGAACCAGAACCAGAATGGGGGTAACAGTAAGCCCCCTGCTTTTGGGGGAAACCAATGCAGCGAATCATTTCAACAACAACATCATCATCAGGCATCCATAGGTGGACGGAAAGACGAAATGAGTTCATTCTTGTCAAAGTTCGACGACAAAGTTGCTGCTATTTGGGGAGGTGGTGGTCACATTGAGGCCCAAGCTTTCCCTTCTTACGCCACCGGAGGATACAACATATCCGCCGAGTGTAAACCAGTTAGTTGTAATAATAACGTGTACCCATGGGCCAGCCCTTCCGTCACAGCAGAGGAGCAGATTGGCTCACATTATTACGACATTCAAAATCAGATCGACCAGCAAGAACGTCAGCTAGCAACGCTAAACAACTTTGGCGATGATGATAATGACGATGACGATGGCAGCTCTTCATTTCAAGGATATGACCCACAACAGCAAATGTTGAGCTTCTCATATCACGACGCTTCTATCCATAAACCCATATGTTTTACTCACCCCTTTGACCTTGTAGTCGACCCAGACGGGATAATCTATCCCAACGGAAGAAACTCGGTTATTGACTCGATGATAAAACATTTTGGATTTCCACCACAGCCACCGACTGCAACAGAAGAAGATTCTAACACTATTCACTCCCACGAAATAGTTGACGACGATCCCGAATCATCTTCTTATTGTGGTGCTGCTGCTGCCGCTGAAGAAAACGACACTAGTTTGAGACAACTGAATCATTCAGAGTTTTCTGGTTTCAAACCGTATATACCAGGAGTAAATGGAAAGTCTTCGTCAGTTCCAGGGTTGAATGGTAGTGGTGGCCCCGTCGTGAAAGATCCTGCAGACGCGGCAGAGATTAGCGCCGTGCAGGAATTTTTTGGCAGTTTGGATTTGGAGGGTGGCGACAATGTGGGGGATTTTGACCTGGAAGTTCACGAATTGCTCAAAGCGAAACCCAAAACATTTTATGAGCAACACTTTCCCCCGGCCAACTTACTCTACAGCTGGACCACGCACTTCACACCGATTGATGTCATCGAGCAAATTAGTAACTACAAGTATTCTTCCCCTCCTGGCATCCTTCCTCCTGGTCATGAAAATAACCCTAACCTTCCGGAGTATTACACGCTGTTTGCTGGAGCTGTAAGTTAAATCACTAAAATCATATATTTAATAAACAGCAAAGTTTTCAATGTCCTTTATATTATCCGTTCACAGGAGAAGGAATACAACCTCTTTCATCGCCCTGCAAAGACATTGTTCCCCATTCGGTTTAAACTCTGTCCTCAACCAGAGAAGGCTGTTCAAACCGAATCTAAGGACTTGCTACCTTCAGGAAATGAAGATACCACTACCATCCAACAACACGAATCACACCGACCTCTCACCGGTTTTGATTGGGGAAGTTACGGCTACAATGAAGATCTCCTAAGTATTTCTAGTGGATCCCGAACCCCCTTTGAATTTAAGCCCAACAGCACATTTCTCGATACTGAAAATAACAACAACAACGATGTAGTTCAAGCAACGGATTGGTTCCTGGTGAGTAAATTAAAATTGCAAATGCAAAAAAATAGTGGCCAATTGTGTGCTGCAATTGACCGGGTGTGTCGTCCGACCTTGTCAAGGGGAGTGCTAACTTTCTCTCCTTTCATACAACACGGGGTAAATTGAGGCATGCCAAGAATATATACTACCCAGATTTTGATACCAGTTCCACAAACTCGTTGCAATTACGCCATAACTTTTCTCGATTTGTACAAGTTGTGCAACTCCCTTGACAAACAAAATCAATTAATCTTTATAGTCGTTTGAGATTTATGCATTAATATTTTCATTTTTTTTTAATTACAGGACGATTCCAATTATGGTAACAAATTTAATAATGGCTACAATGGATATGCAGTTGGATTTCAACCTGCCACTCAATCTACATTCGATCAATCTGATTATTGCTGCGATTCAGGGATTGGAATTGATGCTTCTTCTAGAGCTGGATTTTATGAAGACGTTTATTCCGGCGAATATGGCGAAGGGGAATATGATTTTTGTAGTGGGGGTGATGGTGCTGTCGGGTTTAATGAAGGGGCAGGTGCAGGAGTCGTTTTACAACCGTATTCTACTATGAATAATGATGTTGATTATGGGCAATTTCAAACATTCTCATACAACACGTGGAGCACGTCGACTACTTCTGGAAAGGCTGGAAAGAGTAGTCGCCGACGGTAATTAAAGACGGATTTAAGTTAGTAAAATGAAAGTTAATATGGTTAAAACTGAGTTTCTTTTCCTCTGTTTTAGAACAAAGGGGAAACCGTGTAAATACTTTTTGGTGGACGGCTCATGCAAGCGAGGATTAAATTGTAAATTTTCCCATGACTTGACGACATGTCGTTACTGGGCGGAAGGATCGTGTCACAAGGGTGATGCATGTCCTTACATGCATTGTTTCTTTGAGAGGTAAATAACACAAATTGGCTTATGCGTAATTAATAACCGACATTACAAAAAGGGGATTACATAAAATTTGCTCATTCATAATCAGGAACAACTTTAACTACCAAGACGAGAAACGCAGGCAGGAGAACCGATATCATTTACAATCGGAAAATGATTTTCCTGCTCTGGACGGATCATTTGGATGTAGTACGGTAAGTTAATATAAAATAACTGCCTTACTTTAAGTTTTATATTAATATTATTTGATGTCTTTACAGTTGTCTAGTCGTGAACAAACGTCAATTATTAATAATCCACAACAACAAGCGGACTCTGGCAGTTCCGCAGTGGAATGCCACCTCATGCTGGCTGATCCTGCTGGCTCAATGTATGATAACTTTGGATATGGTTTACCACCCTCAGCCGCCGAAAGTCACGGATTTTTTATGCCGATGGAACAACCACAACAACAACGGGTCGTCAAAAAGGTACCTCCCCCTCCAGGAAAGAACGAATTGAAAAGGAGTGGAAGTAATAATCATAATCATGGCCGACAAATCGGAAAACTTCAGACGGAACAGCAAGGCAGCAGCAGCAGCAGCAGCAGTTACAATTGGCCCAGCAACAGACACGGAAATAATAAAGGAAGCAACAATTCAAATAATAATAACTGGATTTCATCTATGATAAGTGTGAAAGAGAAGAGAAAGAAGAAAAAGCAACAAAAACAAGAAAGTATGGTTTGAACGGAATTCTTTGCCCATTTTTAGGAAGAAGAAAAAGATTTAGGTTTTTGGCTAATAATGTTATGTTTCAATGTATGTATGTGTGTGTCCGTAGTAGCAAAGTTAAATAGGGACTTAAAGTGGTGTTTCAACTAAGAAAAGATGCAAGTTGATATTTCAAGTATTCCTTATTGGAATTATTGGTAGATAAGATGATGAATTGGACTGGTAAACCTGATGTATGTAACGTACATAAGAATACTATTGTTCTTTTTGAAATGGATGTTAGTTTTGCGAAAGGGATTCTTATCGTTAAGGCCACACTTCAACTGTCGGTAAAAAAAAGGATTACTATCCAAATTGTTACCCATTTCTGACAGAAAAATCTTTCCAAATGAATTACATTAATTGGCTGGCCACCAATACAAAATTGTAAAGTAAAGTTTATTCATTTATCCATTCGTCCCTTTAAATGTTCTAATATTTAGACACCAATATTTGGCGAAAATAGATTGGCAAAAAATTTCAGAGAAAATGGTTATATTATTAATACCCTTAATTTAGGTCACTTAAAAAATACAGAATCAGAAGGAAAAAACATTAAACAGGAAACTAAAAGTATCTGATGTTAAACAGTGAGTAAGTTGTGTACACAGTACTATATTATATTAATAAGTGCAGTGAAGTTACTTTCCTATTAATCTCGCGTGATTTTATGAAAGTTTAAAGAATATATCCGTATAATTGGCTACTAATTGTTCTCACGGAGTGAGAGCCTCATTTTTAAATTTGAAACTAATTCGGCCATTAAAAACTAACTTCAATAGCCTTAGTCATTTGTTATTCTATTAATATGTAAACTCATGAAAAGAAAACTCAAATTATTACCCTTTGTTGATTCGATTTTGTATTCGGTTGTAAAATTGAATTGTTTAAAGAGATGATAAATTTGTAATTTTTGTGGTATCGTTACACACATTCAATTGTCAAGTGTAATGAGAGAAGAATTTTTAAGAAACGCGGAAACCTCTCAAATGTGTGGTATATGGGTCATCCCATCAATGAAACATTCGTAAATTGGTTTAAAAAAATATTAATTATGTGCAGAAGTATGATGGGATCGTCTATTGAAGTCGATGGACGGAAACAATAAACATGCTGACGACAAAATAAGTCGACCTGCTAATGTGTGATCAACCACGAAAAAGTAAATATGAGAAGAATGAATAAATAATTGGATCGACATGAAGAATCTGACAGCAAGACTTGAGTCATTATTAACGACAAACACAAGAACAGACAAAAATATATAACTGTTTAATGAATGTCAGAATGAAATGTCAGAAAGGAATTGAAAATAAAAACAAAAAATGTCAGTCTTGCAAAAAAAATTGGTATCTAAACTGATTTATTCGTCATTTATAGTTTGTAGCTCTCTCATGCAGTCTCATTTAATAGGCTAATCTCAATTGGTTCACGCACAGCCAAGCAGTACGTCGGTTTATTAGAAATTTACGAATTATAGGAATTTCCTTAGTCAGCTAGATAACCATCCATTAAAATCTGATGTGAAATAATCACGTAGTCTATAATCACGTAATCATGCAAATTTAAATAATCTTGGACATTGGAATCAATCCCCACATTTAATTCTGCGATAAAAATTAGGCATTTTATTACCATTTTGCGTGAAATTCCGTTAAACATATACATTCGGTATTATCATGCGAATTTAAAAACTATTTTCAAGAATCTGCTTGATAAACCAGAAGGCGTTTACTTTACATTACAATGCACAAACACTTACACAATAAAAAGGTATTAAAAATTAGGCAGCAGAGTCAAACGCTAAAAGTTATACAAAAAAAGGTCTTAATTTTTTCACTACACAGATTTTGATCGGGATATTAATAATTTAAGAAATTTTGATAGGTTTTTCATTCCAGTGTTTTATATATTCATCACAAGTCTATTAGACGATATATGTACATGTAAAGACGTCGTTGGATCTGTAATGTTTCATTTTTGATTATATCATTGCTTCTACTCATAATATTTCTAAAATGTAGACGGTATTGAATTCCTTCGATTTTAAAATTTCCATATATATGTATCACTCCAGATAATGTTTCGTTTTGTTAATTTAGGAAATTTAAATAACTTAAAGGATGTGGACAATAGATTTTCTGGTTTTCTCTCATAGACTCTGCATGGCTGGTTTAGCTCACTCACACTGCTTTGATTCTCGATAAGTTATCGACGATCGATAACTGGTATTTATATTTTGTTGCAGCAGCTCAACCAATATTTATATGTACATTTGTATCTACTGGTTCGAAGATTATTTTTTCTATTACTACTGGTTTGACTGATACATCAGCATGATTAGGTAAAAATACACAAAAGATGACAAGATGGAACATGAATACAAGTACACAATGGTAATTAAAAAACTTGGATACAAACAAACGTACAACCGTTTCAAAAATAGTTTAGGACTAAAAATTTGGCGTATGTGTAAGGTTATTGCCTTTGTAATAATGATTATCATCATTATACGTTTCTCTCAGACGACAAGTTCCTGGAAACGTTGAATTCCTATCTACCGAACTCAGGATTCTCTTAAAACTCCTCAGAGCTATTTATAATTAAGTATTAAAGAATACAAATAATTACAATAATTATTGTTAATCTTTAGCTTTCTGGCGTAAAGGCAGATGTGACAAGACCATTTTGCATAATTATGTATGTATAATGATAAAAGTATCATGAAGAATTATTAAAATTTAGTTTTTTAGCTACGTCTCGTCGCCTCTTTCGCAGCAACTATCAGGGGTGTGAGGCTTGTCAAAGGTTTCGCTTTTTGTAGGAATCGATGTCTTAATAATTCTGAGGCAGTTTGTCGGACGTCTGTAAGATTAAAGTAACAATAATAGAATTACTATTTAGCATGGAGAAGGAAGGTTAAATTGGTCCAATCTTCAAAAGAACGGATAATTATGTACTTACCAACGTCTACTTCTAAACAACAATCTAAAAATTCTTGAAATTCGATACTTAATTTGTCTCTGTCTTTTATTTCGGGTTTTCCATTTGTTGCTATCAGGTAGAGAGCCTGATAAAAGTACAAAATTCAACAATGGGATATTTGTTTACTGAATTATGTATAAACAATAATAAACATATCAAAAATGGATACCTTTATTGGATTTTCATTGAGGTATGGTGGTTCTCCATCCACCATTTCGATGGCCATGATTCCTAGAGACCAAACGTCAACTTTTGGCCCGTACTGTTTTCTCGTCACGACCTAAAATACATACATATTTTTTTATGACGCTCATGAAAGTTATTCATATGACGCTCAGTAAATATAACGTACTTCTGGTGCCATCCAATATCTAAAAGAAATATTAGCATTAACTAAATTATGTTAAAAACCAATTGTATTTTTCAAACAAGAATAAATACTTACGGTGTTCCAACCATAGTTGTACGCTTGTTCTGTTCAGGACTAATTTGTGCACAAAAACCAAAATCGGCTGTAAAAAACAAAATAATTAGTCATATACGTGATATCAACTACACACGATACTGTAGGAATTACTATACTTACTAAGCTTGACAGAACCGTCCATTCCTAATAAAATATTGTCGCTTTTAATGTCCCTGTGGATCACATGATTTATGTGCAAAAACTCTAAAGCTTGCAAAACTTCTCGGCACACTGCAGCTATTTGTCCCTCATCCATGCAAGTTTCTGAAAGGCAAAAAATAGTTGCATGAATTTGTCCATTGTTTAATCAGATTGAGGAATTAGTCACAGAAATTAACTTTTGCATAAGCTTACCCGTTACAACGTCAGTCAGACTTCCGCCAGGGAGATATTCCATTATAACCTGTAGTAATTATCAAGAACGTGTTTATTTATGTGCAAGGATTTTTCATGGTACTTATAGCAAGTGACACGAGGCATACCCAAAGCTCATCCACTACTAAATGAGAATCTAAATAATTTACAACGTTGCGATGTTTATTTTGGCGCATCACTAGAATTTCGTTAATTATCAGTTCTTTCTTGGGTTCTGAAAAAAAATCACAAATTGCCGTTTTTAATTTTCATTCTCCTTTTAGTCTGACATTAGAGTGGAATTATTGTCACTTACGTTGCTTCAAGTTCATCGTCTTAATTGCCACTTCCTGTGCGGTGGATGCTTCTAAGGGTTACAATATTCCAAAAAGATTAGAATCTAACATATCTCGAAGAATGTTAAGCATAATTTTATCAAAATTACATTACCTAAGGCAGTATACACAGTGCCAGAAGCACCTTGGCCGATTTTTTCTAATCTAGTGTACTTTTTGTTGGGGTCTCCGATACTGACAATGCCACGTAATTTGGCATAAATTTCTTCATCACTCATCTTCTTTCTCTTTTGCCGTTCTGCTCGCTCAGTGGGCATTGGAGGTACCTGCGTGGTAGGTGGGGGAGGATCTCCAACCGGAAGTGGTTGTTGACTCGTGGTGGGAGAAATGTGTCGAACCGGCGAAACAACTGCGGTGTTACAATTTTTATCCACAAAGCTGCCATTGAGAGCTCCGAACGGGGGCTCTTGATCTTCTATAGGTTTTGTGTAAATTGATTTGGTTCTTTCTGGTCTTGCTGCCACTGGAGGTGGGGGTGGAGTGTAGTGGTGAATGGGACTAGAGTGCGTGCTATGTTTTTGGGGACTACATAAAATTGGAACATGGCTGTTTGGTGCACTTGAGGAGTGTTCATGGTGATGATGGTGGTGATGATGATTATCAGTATCTTTCCCGGAAGGCGTTTCAGGCGTCGTAGGTGGCGAACTGGAGGGATGACTTCCGGAAGTGGGGGTTCGACTGCTGTTACATTCTGGACAAGAAAATAAGCATATTTGAAACTTTGTCACATTGTCTTTTGTGAAAAAAAACAAGACAATTGCTCTCATACCACTATTAACTTTTGCGGCCGTCATATACTTCGATTCCTGTTGCTTATTGGCTTTAGCGTCAAACCATTTTAAAACATCCAGGACAGCTAAAATGAAGAATCGAAAACGAATGATTAAGATCTTATTTTTACGATAATATTTTAAAATCAAATGAAAGATGAAACCTTGAGGATTGTTCTTTTGTTCTTGCTTGGAGATGTTCGAACTGCTCAAGAGAGCTTTCCACTCATTCGGCATGCCCTAAAATGTAAATATAAAATGCAATTAATAAAATCATAATTAATATTAAAATAATTGGCATTTTAACTGTTTTAGTGCTACACATTGTGCTGATTGTGTTATTAATACCAAAAAATAAATAACTACATATTATTATTAGACCATCTTCCCACATCTTATTTATCATACAATAAATATATGTACGACGAGGACCATGATTAAACAGAAAGTGTCACGCCATTCAGAATCAGAAGAAACACCAACGTGAACTGACTTACTTTCAATGGCTGCATTATGATATCATTCAATCAATGAGAAAGCATGTTAAAGAAAAATGCCGAATGGTGGTATTAGGTCATGAATTTCTCGGCAATGTCACAGTTTCTTGAAAAATTTTGATAAAACATTTACCGTAAATTCTCCCGTGATCGGATCGAATCCAACGTGAACCGTGTGTTCGAAGTTGGTTGGGTATGAAATGTTAAGCTTCTCCATTCCTGACTCGATTTTATTTTTGGTTTGTTTAATTAGATTTTTGGCTTTCGAGCTAGCTTTCTTCTTCTCGTTTTCAGGCTCTTTCGGTAAAGGCTTGTACTCCACCGGAACAAGTGATGGATCAGGACTGCGAAATAATTACACAAATTGAAGGCACAAATCGCAAGTTTAAAAAATGGTGTCAGTACCGATTGCTAGTTAGTCTAACTGGTGGTGCCGGTGGTTTATCTTCGTCATCCATTGACATCATGGTTTCGAAATTGTTGCAATATTAAATCTCAATCAGAGTAGAGTCGCGTCGAAATCTGCAACAAGACAAACAATTTTAAAGTTTATTACGCGTCATTATTGAAAATTTCAATTTGAAATGTGGAACAGAACTCGAGCAGTTCCGTGTTCTGAGCACAGAATTGCTCTTTAAACCGAAATTTATTTTATTTTTAATTTATAACCAACATATGATTTATAGTTCACCCACCTTTGTTTGATTCTGCTTAATCAAAACTACGAGCCAAATATAACCCTGTGTAAAGAAATCTGGTATTAATCACAGTTCCCAAACATGATGAATTACTCGCAGAGGAACTGCTCTCCAGATATTAAAATTACTCACAATTGCACTCGGAACGCAGAGCACTCATTCTTCTTTTTTATAACAACCACCATTAAATCCACAGAATTTTACACCATTTATGCTTCCACATATCTATCTATCCTGTCACACTCTCAAAAAGCGAAGAACAGAACTGCTTGTGAAAGTATTACTCATTCTTTATCAATTTACGACTCATACTACCCTCCAACTAAAACCATTGCAATGGCAAAACCATACCAATATGTTGCGCTTAAATGGATCCGTTCACTTCATCATCGTCATAATAACGCTGCTCTGTTAACTAAAAACTATATACAACAAACAACAATCTGACTGGGCTGATGTCAGATCTTGAATGAAAAAAATGAATGAATTAACTCCCATCAGCGTGTGCACCTAAAAGCTAAGTTTCAGTTCTCTCCACTCCACAACGCGTTGGGTTAGTTGAGAGCACACAAGCTCTTAACAACTTCACCATGTAGGATAGATATTATTGTCAAGTCTTTTTAGTTTTCATCCCAACATGAAATCCAATCCAACCTACTATATAAGAAGGAAGTAATATCATGAAGAAGAACTGAGAATCCAATCTACGAATCCATACTATACTCTGGCTGACTGAGAGGCCTGTAATAAGATGAGTAGTCATGTGTATAGTGGGTTATGTACATTAGATGCAGTTCAGTTCAATGCAATGCAGTCCGAGAACGAACCGAAGAACAAATCCAATAAGTTGACGTCACTTTTCTCGGTGTTTATCACATGGAGGGAGCCGCCAGGCTTCGGGTACATGCAACTCCTTTCTTTCTTTCTTGGATGTGGAAGTAGTAGTTGGGCTTTCTCTTTTCTCCTAGTCATCACAGCTTTCTCTTCCAAAAAAAGCATGAAAAGTCCGAACGATGTGTCATTTTTTGTGATTGCATGCACACAGAATATCTGCATGCAAAGTTTGGTCCAGTTTAGCTTGTACATTTTTTCTCTCTCTCTGAAATATGAAAGAATTAAACTTTATTAAAAATTAGGCAACTTTATAAAATCCTTTCCGGGCATTCTTTCGACTAACAAACTAGTAATACTTATGTAAATTTCTGCCAGTTTCTGTATAGCACCAATTCTAATTCCTGAATAGTACCAATCATCACATTACATTTCAAATAATAACAATACTGTCATATAATACTGAACTGATTTCATACTACATATATTTCCACTAATTAGTAATATGATTCTCTTGTTCATCACTGGCTGACAACTCCCCCCACCAATTTTGTATGTCGCCAACTCTTCTTCCAAAGTGTGAACTCTGTAGTTCTGCTTTTTTGACGCCTCCAGGTCCAACCCCTAGGGAAAATTTGGACTGTTGTTCATCCCAAACCATGCCTTCTCCGGCGACTGATTGTCCTTGACCATCTTTGGCAACCTGGAAAACAAGATGAGATCAATTAGTGATTTACTAAGTGTTCTCAATGTGAAACGCTCGCTTCAAATGGTAACACGCAGCTGTGCATTGCACAATTTTTACAGTGAATATTACTAGTCACTTTCTCTAGATAACTACAATTTATAAAATCGTCAGGCGTTTCAAAAGAGAGTAACTTGTTGATTATTAATAAATTCAAGAACGTCAACTAACTAAGAATGAGAGTCGTTTCGTATCACTTCCAGAGCTGACGCTGTCAGATCGCGAAGACGACGACACATGAGACAGTGGTTCGTCCAGAGATCGTCCAAGTTTTTGCTTTAATGCGGATTTCGGTTCAGGCCCGAGAGAACCAGTTGTAGAAGTAATGGATGGTTGATGAAAAGGTGCATGGGGGTGGATGGCTCCAATGTGGCCTTGGTGATCTTGATAGGACGCTGGTGAGGTTACGGAGGAACCAGACTGGGCAACCAGACCAGGACTTATTTGTCCTTGGCTGGGTGTGGCAGCATTGGAGACCATGGGTGATTGTCCAACTCCAAAAGTTAGTGGAGGTTCGGGTTGTTCATTAATTAGAGTTGTTTGCTGTTCAGTCGCTGCTGCAAATCCTTTGATGAGATTCTGATGTTGGTTCTACATTAATAATACCGATCAACTCGATTCCAATTTTGATAAAGAAAATCATTTTTTAACTTACTGCCCGAATTCGTTTGAGACATCCTTCCAACCACGATCGTATAGTTTGTTTTGCGACCTCTTCTTCAATTATATACTCCAATTCTTCTCGAGCCAGCAGTTCTTCTAATTGCAAAGATTTTCTTATGTCTACAGATCTGTAGGAAAGCATGTTCAGTACATCATGGAATGTGACATCTTCGCCATTATGTAGTCTTTCGACTTCATAACACATGTGCTTAAATAACAATTTATCCTTTAGCAGATCCACTTGAAGTCTACCACGGAGGAGTCGAAGGATAAATTTTACCTACAAACAAATAGAAAAATATTATAATTAACCCATATGAACTATCTATTGTATAATTTTACGCTAACCCTTCTAACTGGAATTAATCCTCTTTGATGAATGTCGACCACGTTCCACGTATTCTGAAAATTGCGGATGTCAGCGTCTGAAATTTTCAATTTAAAAATTTAGCGAAGCTCCCCAAGTAGAATTTTACGTAAAATGTGCGTAATTTTTAGGATGTGCTTAAAACGCAACACAATTTTATGCATTATTAGGAAGTATTACATAAGTATTGCACGCATATTTGTTTTACGTTAGTTTTGTTTACAGAATATGCTACCAAACCACACACGTTTTATGTGTTACATATTTCATCAGCTCCACGCCAAATTTTTCTTAATTTTAAAATGACTGGAAAAAGGCTAAAAACCAAAATGTAGGCGAAGCTCCACGCCAAATTTTTGTTAATTTAAAATGAGATTTTTTATTTCTTATTCTTAATGATACAATTTTTTGTAATTCTGCGTACAAGTCTCCGTCTACATTTAATTGTCTGCGTCCTGCTCATTGCTTTGTGATTTAATCATTTCGAGATGTACAGGTAGAGTTAGATGGTTTTGAAGTTGATTCGAGTGTAAAGTGAGAAAATTACAAGGGAAACAGAAATACCACTTCAGAATCATCCCCTCGGTGTGTAGTCGTGTCTTTAGATGGAGTGCCCAAAGATCCGTTCTGTTTGTCGAATACAGACATTTGGGACAAGGAAAACGAGCTGATGGGTCGAATTTTGCTTTTTTCTTTGCACACATTGCCCTATGTGCTTCAAACTGGCCAACATCCGGAGTCTCGGCTGGACAATCAGGACATTTTTGCATTCGAGTTGAAAAATGGCCTCTACAAAGAACTGCATGCCTTGCCATCCATGTATCTTGTGTGCACCTGAACCCACAATTTTTCGGACAACGGAAGGGCTTTTCTTTGGTATGAACACGAATATGTTTCTCCATAACACTGTACTTTTTAGTCATGTAGTCGCAGTATGGACACACTCGTAATTTTTCTAATTTTATAATATCTTCTAAATCTGGCAAAATAACTGCGATTTTTGGCGACTTAACTAAGCTTTGCAAATGTGTGGAAATATACCGAATCTCACATTTTAAATTAATGTGGTCACTGAGATTCATGACATTTTCATTGTACATAGGTTCAACCATATGATGCAGTTCGTGCATTTTCTGAGAAACTATGATATAATCCAGTCTAGACTTTGAAATGCCTTGAAATCTTGTAAACACATTGTCCGGCCATAATTTCCCGCAAACATCCATGAAACCTAGTTTCATAAATATTTTTTTGCATTTCTCGAATATTACGCATCTCCCATCATTTGGATGCATCTTTGGCGACAAACAAGTATTATGCTGCATCATGTTGAAGTCACCAACCAAGACAGCGTATTTGTCTTTAAGCTTTTCAGAAAATTGCTGTATAGTTGCCACCCATTTTAACCTTTCCTCATCACGTACATGATCATTACTATGATTGGAGGGAAAGTATACATTTAGAAAATAAATGGCATTATTCCCAAACAGTTCAGATTTGATACTAATCAACATAATTCGAAAAGGATCTTTTTTTGGGATGTCTGTGAAATTTTTCTCAAGGTCAATATGATTAACTTGCAGACCTGTTTTAAAAAAAACGCATAATCCGTAACACTGATATGTTGAATATTGGGCTACATGAGGCTGGTGGAAAATGCTATCAAACCCTTTCCTTTTAGCTAAAGCTCTAATAGCAGGTTCTTCAGTCGGGTTTAGCTTTGTCTCCTGAATGAACACTAAATCCGCCCCTTCCCAAAACGGCATCATATGGACAATTTTTGTCTCATCAATTCCGTTAGCGTTCCACGAATGATATTTGACAATAAAGTCATTTGCAGGAACTTGTATTTGAGACATTTCTTGTGACATTAAATTATTTATTTCAACCGCATAAAGCGGAAATTGATTTGAACCAAACAAAACAATTTATTAATTCACACCGCACAAAGCGGTGTGAATATTTTAGACCGCACAAAGCAGAATTTTATTTCATACCGCACAAAGCAGTTGAATCACGAAAGTATGGACTAGAATTAAACAATATATACACAAATAAATAAAAATAATCTGAAGCAAAACGTCGAATAGGAATGACAGTGGTAGAATCCTGAAAAACATAAAATATGATTAGCTATCATTATTATAACTACTTTATAGTCACACCTTTAGTTTCTATTGAGGGTATTCACTCGTACTTCGTAATCACAACATACATTGTTTAAAATTTTGCGAACGAAAAAACGATCTGTTAGAATTTGTTCGCAAATTAATATATATTATATTATTAAACTCATCCTTAACGTTGAGCAGATCGAGTGATTACCCTCTTAAGAGCTAACACGACACACCCTTTGAAGACCCCTGACAACCCCCTTTCAAACGTATTATTTATTATTAACATAAACATTGATAAACTATGAAATACACTTAGTTGGCTTGGGGAGTAGAGGAAAAACCCGATGTTGGTGGGTTGGGAAAACCTTTACTTGATCCGGATAGGCGTCCGAGATCACCATTCGGCCCCTTACATGATTTTTGTAAATAAAACGACCTATCATTTAAAATATAAAATAATTCTTCTAATCCTCGTTGACTGGGGACAGCTCCCATGATTGATGCCGCATTCCCGCGTTGAACTGCCAAACTAATCCGTTGAATGAGAAAAGTTGTCGACATTGGTCCAGTGACATCCTTCATCCTCCTCCCAACATCTTGGATGAACTTCAACCCTTCCGTCCCCCATACTCCTGATGTCTCGATAGCCACCGGAACAAAGATATAGTTTGTTTTAAGTTCAGAGTACAGTTTGTGTTTTTTGGTCTCGGCTAGTTTTGCTGCTGTGCCAGCATGTCTAAGTGTGTGAGAGAGATAAGAGGGGGCAAAAGTGTCTGTACATGTAAAGTCCCATATTAGTGAGCGTCCCTGTTTGTAAGGTATTAGTGTTAGACCATCCGGTCTTTTTCCATCTGTCCTACAACACCCTAATGGTTCCCTAATGCTTGGTATGTCTGCAGAAATTAAGGCTCTCTTTATAATGTCATTGGCTTGCGTATGTCTAGAGTGCCTGCCAGCACTTTTTTTACATGAAAGACCATGTAAGCCTAGTTCATCTACTTGTGCGCCGCAAACACATTTATGAGGGAAACATAAATTTAACCCTAACCTCAAACCTATTGCAATCCTGAAGGAATTATCGTCTAAAAGTGTGCCTAAATTCCTCGATGGTAAAGCTTGCAACCATGCACCTGATTCTTTTGACCTTGATGCCAAAATCCTAGCAGTATTTATTGGGGTGGTGGATGATTCCAGGATACGTGAAGATACGTAATTGAAAATTGGACTTTCCCAGGATGATTGAAAAGAAGTAATTGTACTGCGAGGTAGTTCTTCACAACTAATTGACTTCCACAAGTCCTGCGCCTCGGTCACAAGTGAATCGGACAAAGCAGTGACATACGAGGGCAAAATTAAAGAAACCAAGTCAGTGGTGGCAAATGAAGATGCAAGGAAACATGGAGTTGCTAATGTTTTAGATTGTCTAATTCCTAAACCACCTAATTTAATTGGTAATGCAATTTCTTCTAAAGACAAAGGATTAATTTGGCAATTTGTAATTTGTTCTAAGGCATTATGGAGCAATGAATCAAACTCCTCTAGCAAATGTGGAGATTTAAAAATAGGGGCTGCCCTTAGTAGATAAACTAATCGTGGAATAGCTAGTGAATGTTTCAAGAGATAATACGCAATATGGCTTGGAATGGAATGCAATCGACCAGCCATGTTAGTAAAAGCGTGAATCTTTTTGCGGAAAACATGTTCAATAGATTCAAGAGTCAAAGGTGCACCTAAAAGTTCAGCATTTTCCTGAGTCATACATGAAATACCTGGTGCAACTGATTGGAAAGATTCTAGTATACATTGCGTGTTAGTTTGTGGACCTAAAACTGAAACCTCACATTTATCAAAGTTCAATTCTAAACCTACTTCATTTGCACATGAGATAATATGTTGAAAATCGTCTAACACTGTAGTAGGATTGCCACCTAATGTACCATCATCTAAGTACCACATATTAAATTCTGACCCTAAATTTGAAATGACTGGATGCAAGGTTAAACAGAAAAGTGGTGGACCTAACGGATCTCCTTGTTGAACACCTCTACATGAATCAATTAAAGGAGAATTCCACACAAGACTGGATGAGAATCTATAGCACTGATTAATATAAGGATACAAAGTTGGTACAAGTTCGTGAACGGATGAAAGCAATTTCCCTCTATCTACCATATTAAATGCATTCTTAAAATCGATTTTAAGGAAGGCTGTAGGTGATTGATGTGGAAAGGAAAAGAATCTACGGGCAGCGTGTGCTCCTGCTTCAGCACCATTTTTTACGTTGAAACCTACTTGGACTGGACTAAAATAATCCTGAAAGACATGATTCATGACCTTCACACAAATCTTTGAAACTATTCTACGATAAGTGCAACCTACCGCTATAGGTCTAATACCACCTGATTTCTTTTTAAGGGCCGTAAGACTTGCACCGTAAATGAAAGGACAAATATCTAAAGGAACTTTTCCTGCTAACATAAAATTGCAAAATTTTGTAAGAGATTCTAACAATTGAGTTCCTACGTCACCAGTATGTTGTGAAACTAGATCTTTCAGAATTTGTGGTCGTAATGCATCTAAACCCCCTGCTGAACCACTAGGAAATGAGAATATTGCTGAGATAACCTGCTCTGTTGTCGTAGTAAATGGTGGAATGTTAGGCTCATCTAAAACAGTAAAATTGTCTAAAGATTGTTGTGGGTGCTTTTCTACAAGTGTGTCCAAAGTCGCTGAAGAATTGGGAGCGACAACATCATCTGATGTTAAAAGCCGTATCGCGCCACGAATATTTCCTTCGGAAACTTTAGATATGACTTTTGGCCCTATGTCGTTGATTTTGCTACCTGACTTATCAAAGACTGAATTTTTGGATGAAAGTGAAATGAGATAGTCCTGATAAGTATTTTTATCTAAGGATTCAAAAATAGATAAATTATTTCTAATTTTGTTGTTAAGACTTTGACCATTCTTTATATTTGCCCTTGAATCACATTGTAATGTTACATATGGAAAAGTCAAAAGAAGGTGCCATGCCTCTGGTGTGTTTTCAGTTATGCATTTATCTATGGCTGACTTGATTGATTGTGCTACCGGAATTCTACAGGCCTTGGGGCATTGTTTGAGAGTTGGACAATTTTGCCTAAGAGAGGAAATAATAGATTTGAAATCAAAAACAGTTTCTGGAACTTGTTCTGATTTTAACTGGATCCCTACGTAATGATATTTCGAAGCGCCATGAAATTCTGTCCTAAGTCTTTTGGTCCTAATGTTTGAAAATGAATTTTTTATCAATTTCCCAATTTCTGCATCGTTTAAGGGTTTGAAAATGCCTAACGAGTCCTGTCTATACGCTTCATGTAACAGATTTTTCTCAATTATACCTCCTGGGACTATATTGTTATTTAGCCACTCTAATGTGAGAGATGTACATGTTGCTTTGCTAGATATAAAATTTGAAAGTGGTGTACTTAATGTAGAAATTGGTTGTGATGCACGTGGATTTGTACAGGGGCTTGACTGTATAATTTGACTATGTGTGCCTAGAGTAGACTGATTTGCAGGCGACGGTGTGTTTGAGTTTACTTGGGGGCCTATTTGTGTATGTATTTGGGGACAGTTTGCGCAGAACCAGTCATCTTCAGGAATGGCCTGCAAAAGAAGACAAGAGGTGTGATACCACAAAAGACATGCAGAACATTCTATCCACTCATCTGTTGCTGAAGATGATGGTCCTGGGCAGCCCGACACCGGACAGAAAAGGTCATCGGAAACGGGATTTAAACCCTCGGTGGTATGGGGGAGCGGTCGGGAGGATGTGGGAGGAGGACATTTTCTTGGTCCTGTCCTCTTCTTTTGCTTATTCCTCTTCTTTCTTGGTCCTGGATGTGGTCGTGATGAGGATGATGATGTAGGCGGCAATGGGGACGATGACGGCGGCAGCGGGGACGATGACGGCGGCAGCGGGGACGATGACGGCGGCAGCGGGGGTGATGACGATGATGGCGGGAGGGGAGGAAGTAGCGTCAAGTTTACATATTTCCATATATCTAGTGACTTGAAGAGCGGCATCGTGGTCTGACGACTTGTATCCAACAATACTGGCAATTTCCTTCCACGCTTAAAATATATAGACGGGGGCGGAATTCAAGAGTGAAAGTAGAGGGACTTCCAACGATAGATAAGTAGTATCTCCGGTGTAAGTTACCAAGTCAAGTTTTAAGTGCGGTGGTGATAGAAAAAGTGAGAACATGGATAAAGCTTTAAAAAATAGCAATCGTACCGGAGGAGTCGTCGACCAGCCGTCGTTTTTCGCCGTTTTTCGCGTCTTTTTTTGTTAGGAGTTCTGGATCCAGGTACGTTTGGCATCAGACAATTAAAAACTCAACAAATTAAAATTGTAACTAAATTTTGTTTTATTAAATTACAGATTGGCTTTGTCTTCAGAAGAAGGAGTCCTATACCGTATACATTTCTTGAAGGAGTTAAGAGAAGGTAAGAGTTTACAACGAAATCATTGATATTAGAATATTTCTATTTAAATTTAATAAAATCTAGATTAGCAAAGTTAAACTAAATTACGTTTTCGTTAATTTTCAGATGGATTATATCGAACTAAATTACAAGGGCCCCGCTGGGGGCCTTCGTCGTGCAGTCTTGGGCAATGATGGCAGGGGTCGAGGAGGAGGATCATTTAGAGGTGGTGACAATGGCCGTGGTCGCGGATTTGGAAGGAACCGAAACGGTGTCCACTCCAGAGGACGTGGTGGTGGTGGTTTTGGAAATGGACGTGGTAGTGGTGGTTTTGGACGTGGACGTGCGTCCTATACAAGTAAGATTAATTTAAATATTACGTGATTCCTACTCTTACTTTTATATTGCATTCATAGAGAAGCAAAAGTGCCGGAAATGCAAGGAGAGAGGGCATTATGGAGAGTAAGTGTTATTTTCTTTAATAGTCACGTTTATTTGAATGCTTTATGACACTCTATATTTAATTTATAGTGTCTGTCCATATACGGTTGAAGAAGCTGCCTCTAAAATTGCAGCGGCATTACAGAAACACGCAGACGCGGCTAACAACGCCTTACAGAAGAATGCAGCTGCTTCTGCTGCTTCAGCTGAATCATCATCATCTGTTCCAGTAGCCCATAAGCCACCATTTGCGGGCTGGAAACCAGGTTTCGTCATGCCGCCACCACCTACTAATGCTGCTATGGATCAGAACTAACGTAATTGTTTCTTTGGTCCCATTAATTGGTCTGGTCACTTGTAGGAAGATAGCACCAAAATTTATGTAATCTATTGTTGTACAACTTTGTACTTTCTCTCTTATTATTTGTAAAAAAAGTAGATATACATAATTACACTTTATAAATGTATTTAACTCAGTTCTTATTAATTTCTGTTAAAACTTCAATTAATTTAATCAAAATGTGTGATCCATTTATTCTAAATGTCGCAAAATATTTACGTAATTAATTAAACAGTAAATAAAATACTAAAAGAAACAAAATCAGAATTATGTAATTTATTTCATTATTTATACAAAAATCCAAAGCTATGTTACAACAATTTATTGATTTAGTACTTTTCCAAAAATTTATGAACCAACAATTGATAAAAAAAAATTTTCCAGTCATTCTATAAATTAAGAAAAATTTGGCGTGGAGCTTCGCCCAAAATTCGAGTTTCTTTCGAAATTTCAGTGGATATATTAATACCAAAGATAACCAGTCTTTAAAAATTACAAAAATGCATAAAAAAATTTCAAAAAACTTACAACTGAGTAGTGCATCCTCCTCATTTGAGTAAAACAGCGTAAAATTCTCCATAATAATGGCTGTAAGTAATAAAATGCATTAATATTCATCGTAAGGGTTGCGACAAAAAACAATTAAATACTGACCGACAAGTAGGTTCAAGACGATGTAAGTAATAATAACCTATACAAAATTATAGATGTGACTTTAGCACAAAATTTTGCATTAAATTTTACCCACTTACATAAAACGAGCAAAAGTACGCTAATGCTGCAGTCTTATTCCCACTGGAAAATAAAATACATAATGGTTCACTCATATTGGTAAAATTTCTTGTAATTATTAATCACTTACCAATCGGTTTGCCAGAAATTTTCACCCCTAGTGTTAAAATAATCAGAAATAAATAAGCATGTATTTAAATAATGACTAATTTCATAATTAAAAAATCTTACTGAGTGCAATATGGAGGCTAGAAAATAAAAAGTAAACCAACCTTAAATATAACTTGTAAATAATTACACCAAAAAAAACCTTTCATCTAACCTGGACCATACAATCATGCATGATTTTATTCCAATCTTCTCCCGTCACAATTCGAAACAACATTGCCACTCCTTTCGTTGCTGTTCCAAAGTTGGCATGTCTTGACAATCCTTCTCCATATTTCACCGTTCCAAAAAGTATAACGCCCGCAAAACCGTAGAACACGATCAACAGGAACATTCCCATTATAATAAAGAAACTTTTGTAGACGGACACTGCGATTTTAATAGTTTTGTTAAAATTGAAGAGCAAAGTTTTAATTTATTTATATTTATGCATTCTGGTCGTTACTAATAAATTCTTACCGACAACGGTTAACATTAGCATTTTCAAGGTAGCATGTTTTCCAGTACTGGAAGTGAAATAATTTATATAAAGATAAGCCAGCAAGTATGTAGAAGGAAGACTGGTACTTACATCGTAAAGAATCTCAGGATAATAACAGTATACCCAAATGTTACAGCAATATCCTACAAAAATATGTATGTACAATTAATTACTACTTTCGTTTAACTCTGTAAATATAATCAATCACACATGTTACTACTTACCCCTTGAAACATGTACCACAACGCAATCCATAAAACTCCCATCACTGTGACGAACAGGTCATATCTGTTCCTTCGAGATTGCCAGTATCCCAGCAGAGTAAAAGCGATCACTTTCATCAGCACTTCAAATACGAATATGCACGTCAGCATGGTTGAGATTGATGACAATGTCACAGTCGCACTTCCTTCTTTCTCCCACTAGGATGCAAAACAAATTAAATTATGTCGATTCAAATATCAGATTTTTTGTGCTAGATTCCATACCCGAATGCATAGTAATCCACTGTTGATCAGGACTGCCAACGCGATGAAGCGTTTAAACCAAATGTTTTGAGTAATATCATACGCAATGCATCTGACCGCATGACCATCCGGTCGAGGTGGAAGATGTAGAGGCTGAGCGATTTTCAAACGCTTTTTCAAGTCACACCAACGTCGTTGATCAACCGTTAGAAGGGCAGTTCCCTTGTTTTGTGAGTAGTTGGCAATCACGACACCGACAAATAGCGTGACGCCGATCATACAACCTGTGAGGAGAGAGTATTATTAGTGGTTATGGGAATGCTCGTAGTATAGTGTCGTAATTAAGGTCGGGAAGGCATAATTCGTCACAAACCCAAGAATACAAATACATGAATATAGATGAAGTGCATCTGTAAAATAATAAGCAATGTTAGCACCATTACAAAACCATGATGTTAATAATTTGTAGTAAAATTAAATTGGCCCACTCACTGGTTGAATAGATTTTCCTAAAACGTCCCTAATATCCAGCCAACCTTTGAAACTTAAGGTTTCAAATAAAGCGAGCATGGCGTTTCCTGTAAAGAAATATCACTCTTTATGTGGTATTAAGTATGTTTCAGTTATCTTAATAAAGTACGTTACCAATGTTGTCAAAATCAAACCGCCGTGGATTAGACCTTCATACGAAGACAAAATCGTTTAAAAATCGTCATTTAATGTATTAAAACCATTACTACGGAGGTAGAAATGTGAAATTACCAAACACGTGGGACGGTGAAAGCCGGATATCTTTCTCCCAAAGCAGGTTCCAGCCGCATTTTTGTGACGTAAATTCTTCTCTTGAAAACCCCAGTGCATAGTTCTCTTGAAGTAATATTTGGGTCATTGCATCTCGCCATCTTTCCCCCAAACATTTGGACGCCATAAGAAGCAAATACGAAAAGTAGAACGATGAGGAGAACTGGAAATTTTCAGAAAAAAATCGTAATTCTTCTCTCTGCCGTATTATGATGGTGTAGTTGATGGTTATAAAATAAATTATACAATAGACACTGACCGGATACGAGTAAAATTTCCTTGAATCCTCGACACAGTTCAAACACAACTTTTCGCATGTGAGGGACAAGGTTGTAAATGCGAAGTGGTCGAAGACACCGCAAAACCATGATGGCTTGAGCCCCTGATCCCTGCGGTACTTCGTTCGGGAGCCAAATTGCAAATACAAGGCTAACCTAAGATTCAAATAACACACAGTTATTATAACTGGACATAAATAGTGTTTTTATAAATTTCTTACAATATATATAAATAGATCCAATATTCCTGCCGCATCTAGTGTCAGAATTTAATAAAAATTTAGCATTTAAAAATAAAAATCATGAAAAGTTATTTACGTAAGTATGACAGAATGAGACAGGATTTATGTACCTTTCAATAATGCATTAGGAGTAAATACTAATCCGTCAGCAAGTATTTTCATTCCAAGTTCAATACTCATGAGTATCACGAATCCATATTCGGCTATTTGAAGCGATAACTGTTCAGTTACTCGGTACGTCGGATTTTCAAAAGCCATCGACATGCAGGACAACGTTGTAACCTATGAGCATTTAAAAATACTAGAATGTGAGACAAAATTGGAACATTAAAGAAAAACCTCAGATGTTAAAAGTATTGTTGAGCTTGACTTTTACTGAATTTTCTCGAGTAATCGGTTTACAGTTTCGGCAGTATATAAATAAATATGTTGTGGACATAAAATAATATTACCGTTATCATAATCCAATCAAGATAGGTAACCAGGCCCAACAAGTTGTGAAGTCGTTTGTACTTCAATTTTCTTTCTTGGCCGGTCATCGGATCGCGAGACTTTGGATCGTATCGAGCTGACACAATTGTTTGACAAATTCTGCGGAACCTACTTTCTCTCGGAACAGAAAACAAGGGTGTGTCGAATAAGGGATGATTTTCTCTAAGATCCATTTCACGTTGGTTTCTATATTTGATTAGAATAAGGTAAAATTTAAGAGCGTTCGATATCGTAAAGGTTGCAATTTGTTGTTACCGTCGCATTTCTGCTTGTTGCTTTTTCGCTTGAAGCAACTTAATATCAACGTCATGCGGACTTTTCAGCATTCTGCTAAGAGCTCCAGCTTGACCATTGCCGTCGAGAAAATGTTCATACGTTTGTTTCATTTTCAACGATCCAGATCTAATGCTTCTTCGGATGGATTTTCTTTGATCCAGTCTGTGCTTAAAATTCACGGTGGCCTGATTACCAATGCCTCCTCCTTTCCCTGGAATTGGAATAGGGCCAGAGTCTCCAAGTACCATTCGCTGGTTGTCCGAATCAGATACCAACGCAGTCACGAAATATCTAGGGGTGAAACAACAGAATGAAATTAAATCCATGTCTAATTTGTAATTAACAGGTACTCGTAACACTAGGAGTACTAGGACGAATTAATAAATAGTGTTACTTTTTCAATTGCTTGTTCATGCTCCGTTGTCTTAACGTTGGGGTCAATAATTTCAGAATCTTTTGTTTCCGATAGAGTAGAGGCTCGCTGTAAGAAGATAACAATTTTAAGGTAGGTCCTATAACATGAAAGGAGGCATTTTAACTCACCGTTCATCAGCACACCAATCAAGTTTATGATTGCCAAGAATTATGGGATTAATGTTATCCTCGATATCCACTTCACTAACAAACTGTCTCATGAAAGATTCCCTGACCTATTTTGGAATAATATACTTTTCAATTGCATACCGAAAAAAATAGCTGTATTTGTTATAACTCGGTGGTCCGGTCATTTAACTTACTTTTGGAAGAATGAAGTCTGAGGGAAGCTTATTGAGTCGTGCCATTTTAGGACTATCTGGAAACTTTTCAAACATTCTCAACCTCCAAGGAAGCCAGGAACCTAAACATAGTTTACAAATTATTGTATATTAATATTTAGACACACTATTTTCGGGTTAGTAGTTTATACCTTTAATTTCTGCAGATTGTTCTCTGAATTTCAACTGCTTTAGTTTTTTGATATCTATTCATGTGTGTGGAATTGTGTGTTTAAAAAATTATGGATAAGAATTAAAGTCATGATAATCCATGAGTTATACATATATATTATGCTATGACCAGTTACATACCTTCATCAAGTTGCAAGTTATCCAAAATTACAGCGACGAAGAGACTCAACACGATCAAAGTCACGAAAAGATGGTATAGTATAAAGTAAATGGCAACAATTGGAGCCTAAAAACATGGTAATAAATAATATGAGAAAAAATATTACATTTTAATTCACAAATAAATTGCAAACTTACCAAAGTATCCGAAGTCCGCACCATTGTCTCATCCATAACTTCTACCCACGCTTCTTGAGTAAGAATTTGAAACACTGAATATAAACAATAATATGTTAGAAAAATGCTCTGATAAGTAACTAACCCAAATATTAATAAATCGTGATATTTTACTCACTGGACATGAAGGCTTCAGGAAATGTTTCAAATTTTGTAAAATTTGTGTCAGTCAGAAAGCAGAAGAGTTGCATGGAAATACTGGACGTAATAATCAGCAAGCACATGGTAAAGATCACCAGTGACCCCAACTTTTTTCCAGGTCCAAAAATCTTGTGGACAAAATCTTCCAGCATCGGAGAAGCTTTAATTAGTCGAAAGACCCTTAAGACCTGAAGAAAAAATAGTGATGCATAAGATCCCATAATTATTTACGAACGAACAAAAAACGAATAAAAATATCAACCTGGAAATATGTCATTGGTGACAAATAAAAATTCGGGATGATGTGGATTGTTGTTCCAACCACTAGTAAAAGTTCAAACTTATGAATTGTTTGACGAAAGTAACCCTGAAAAATATTCATGTGCATTTTAATTAAGATTGATCTTCAAATGTAAATGAAAAATATTTGATTAATTTACTTTCGGACCCAAGCACCAAATTTTAAACATGGTTTCACAGTCGAAGAATATTGTAAATCTGTAATTTAAGAAACATGGCAAGTTTCATGTATATGTACATATTTTTTAACCTGATTTATGATTCTGAACTTTACCCAACTTCGATGTAGTAATACTTGTCCGTAATTGATTTTCTGTTCACATCTTCGTGGCTCTCGGTTTTAAAATACATTGTAGATGTAACAATTGCGTTTGCTAAAATTGCTCCCATCCCCAACAATCTGTAAATCCCATGAATCATCATGAGTGGAAATCAAGTAATTTTGGAGTTACCTTTACGCAGTAAATATTTTACCGGAAAACCGCAGACATTAGAATTACTTGAAACGGCCATGGGGCAATACCCTTCTGCTTATCTCCATCAATTTGAATCAATTTCCACCCATAGTCATCACCCGATAGAATTTTGGACGCTTGCTCCTCTGCTAATCTTCCAGTGGCTCGATTTCCCCACATTTGTTGAAATTGAACTCGAATTTCGTTAAATGTCTCTATTGATATATGCAAATTTTTTCGAATTAAATTTTTTATTACAATGAAGCATGATCAGAAAAATAAAATATGCATGAAATAGTTATTCAGAAACGGACCTGTTATGACTGCAATGAACACATTTTTTACCTGAAAAAATAATCGGTTTGATCATGTCAAATTTTAGAATAATCGGACAATGAGATTAAGTACCAGCCACGCCAAGAAGAAGATCATTGTCACAAAATATAATGGTGCACGCCATCCTGGTAAGACGAGACAAACCACGTTTTTAATGCATTAGTTTTTACCTTAAGATTAGTAGATATAAAGGATGCAATCTATTTTCTAAGAATTTTGACCCCCACCTGGTAAACTATCCATCGCACGATGCATAACGTAAACCCACCCCTCCTGAGATGACGCTTGGTACACGGTGAACAAACTTGTCGCTGAGAATACAAATGACAAAATATTTATGGACTAAACTTGTCGTAGATTCAAAGTTATGTTCATACCAAATTCATCGAACCCTTGAAATCCCTACAAATAAAATAAAATAAATTGCAATTAAAGCTAAAAATGCATTAAAATGCTCATAATTCATTGCATCCATAACGAATCCACATTTCTAAAATTCATGCACACCTGCTTGTATTTGGATATCTCTAAGCGAACGCATTGAAATCCACCCGGACATTGGTATCCGGATTCGTTATCCTTTGAACAATACGTGTCGGGGATGGCCAAATCATTTATGGTAAGATTTCTAAACAAAATTGGCAGAGTTATAATTCCATACAGATAATTATTGATTCAATTTAAGTTTTTTAGGGAATATGTACTTATACGTACCTGGGGTTTGTACCATTCAACACGCAATGATTTCGCAGTTCTCCGAAGAACTGAACACCAAGTAAACCATACAGACTCATGAAAAATACAAAGAACAACGTAACGTTGTATATTTGCTGAGACGACCGTTTGAAGATTTGATTGATTCTGGACTTTGGCATAGAAAATTTTAAGAAAACTCTGATAAATCGGATCATTATCAAGGGACGTGGTGCCCGTAAAATGGACAAATACGAGTAACTGTAAAAAAATAAAGCCTCATGAAAATTTACGCATGCATATATTAAATCAATACAGAACAGGGCTTACTGAGGAACCAATCCCATCATTTCAAACCTACAAGTTGTAAGCAAAACCATTATTTTCATTCCTACAATTTTGCACAAATGCAAATAATGCTGTGATAGCCTACATTTGAAGGACGAGTGAAGTCCACAAAAAGAAAACCATGATGCAATCAAATCGACACCAACGATCTCTGAAATATCCGTTTGGCTTCTTGAAAATTCCTCGAACATGCATCTTCACAATCATCTCGGCTATTATTCGGAGGAAAATATTTTAATTGGTATTCTTTTTTTAATTTGCTAAATTATGCATGTTAAGTTATCTTACCCGTGAAGAGAAAAGTGACCACCAAATCCGCCACGAAAGTAAAGATTAACAAGAATTTGTAGCTGTCGAATCTAAAAAGTTATAATGACGAAAATATTATTCAAGTATGCAACTCATAATACTAGTTAGGATTTAATTAAATAAAAGCAGCTAATTTATTCTTACGTTCTTGGCGTATTCATACAAACACTTATCTGAAATGATTAATCACAAAAGGATGTAAAATGCTTTTTTTACTGACCCTCTCTGTACAGATAAATAGTACCACTTACCAAAGAGACAAGGGCACACCCCCGAAGCAATCTTCTCACCCATTTCTAAGAAATCACAATCAACCAATCTTATTAAATGGTGCGCTTATTAAAATCATAAACAAATTAGTAAATATCATTCTAATTCTTACCCATTCGATGTCTGCGCTTTCATTCAACGTTTCATCGGGCCCATAGTCCGCCAAGATAGGCTCGGGTCGCAGACTTTGCTTTCTCCCGAGCATTTTGCCAAATTACTGACCGACTAAGCAGTCACTGGACTGGACTTCTGCTGGAACTGGATGATCACATCCTGTCAGTAGTAACTAACTAGGATTGCATACTATCCAACAAAAAGTTGTAATGCTGAAGAGAAATCGGAATGGCAGATGTTTCCGTAAAACAAAAAACTTAACGATGTTTACATTTCTTATGTTCTCAGCTCTTCTAGGACTGAATATCCAATTCCGTTCCAACTGCCACATCACAACCGACCGTTCACCGAGTTGTTATATAGCCCATTGCAAAAATTTGGTATACTTTTCTTCTATTTAGAGCAGGGCAAACAGGTAGTAGTAGGAGTGAGAGATGTAATTCTTCCTCCGATCCACGGAGATGCCCGGATTCGGGATTTTGCTCACTCAGAAAGAAAGTGGTGAAGATGCGCTGACCTAGTAGTAGCTCCGCAAATATGGCACTTTGTTCCTCCAGTAAAAACTCCAGCAAGAAATGAATCGATTCCTTGATGAGACGTTAAGAAATCGGTTCAGTTTCAATTCAAAAATTCCAATAATAAAAAGGTCAGAAACTTACAAATCGTGCCATTTTTGGACCAAATTGATGAAAGCAGAATGAAGGCTTCGTCCGAAAGATGACAAAAAGTGGGAGTGCGAGTGGTCGAAGATCCGATGCCACACACGGCTTGAAAAATTGATAACCGTTGAGCACCGTTGAAACCATGTTTTTCTTGAATTTTGACAAAATTTGCAACTTTTTTGGCGTGAAAGTTGCACTTTTGGGAAAATTGAGACCCGATTTGCGTTCACAGGATGAGCAGGATGCGGAATTTTACGAACGCAACGCACGATGATGAGGGTGGAGGCGCTTTTGAGTTGTTGAGAATCTGTCAGACAAAAACAGTCGTCACTTTTTTACATGTCGTGTAATTATCAACTGCGTTTTGGTAAGTCATCTCTGATTTAATTAAGTAGATGGAAATGATAATCACTAATTGTTGTCGGGCTGAGGTTGGTTATGAAAATTTGAACGAAAATTGGCGATTTTTGACAGCTTCTATGAAAGTTTGAAGTGAAATATCGATTTAGTTAATGTTTAGTTTAAATTGGTTGGTGTTTGCATTGAGTCAGGGTTGGTTGGGTTAGAGAGGAGGATTTATTGGGAGGTGGATAATAAAATTAATGGTTTAATTAAGTGATTACGGGGGAGGGCGATTGTAGTGTTGGAATTTTTGTCGGTTTGTCGGGAGTTTTGTAATTGAAATCTGAGAGTTTTTATAGTGTAGATGTTTCTTGGTTAAGTTTTTTAAGAATTAACGAGCAATTTTGTATATTTTGCCGTAGGTATTCGGTAATTAGAGCTGGACAATTTTTTGTCGCAATATATGATAAAAACCTGTTGAATCATGGCTGCTGAAATTAAGCCAGGTAAGAAAATATTTTGATATGTCGTTTTCTGGGTTAAGATAATTAATTTCAATGTTGTCTGTTCTAGGAGTCAAGTTCGCAACGACGAAAAAGCCCGTATTAGTTGGAAAAGTTGAAGGGTGAGATTGATTTCGTTAACTACTGGATCATATCGTAAAGGATTTCCAAGGTCAAAGTTTAATATGTTACATTTCATTCTAGATTTACCGACGACTTAAACGATGCCGTATTAATTCCTAATGAAGATGGCGTAATTACTGCTGGAGATGACAAGTTAGTGTTTAATTAAAACAGTTTATTATACTGTAAATATGTTACATGGTCGTTTAATTAACGTTTCTAGAACTGTACAAGTATGGCTTAAACGAGATTCGGGTCAATACTGGCCAAGGTTAGCTAATTGAATTAATTACTACTTGTCCATTCAAGGATGGTTTGACTTATTTATATTTTTCCATTGATTTTCCTCAGTATTTGTCAATATGTTCCATCCCAAGCGACTTGCATCTATGTCTGCTTCACGTCCCCCGAGTCGCGACTCGTCTTCATTGGGTTGGACAACGGCACTGTGATGGAGTTTAATCTTGCTCCAGATTGCAACAAGTTGGAGCATAAAAGAGATTATTTGTCGCATGTGGGACGAGTGACGGGCGTTTACTGTGAGAAGGGTCGAGTTTTAAGTGTTTCAAGAGATAAAACGTTCCAGTGGGCTGATGTTAGAAAGGGGGAGGTTGTCGCGTCTCATACTTTCGTTGCTTGGTGTACTGCATTACAGTAAGTCACGATTTTTTAGTAGTTGTGGTTAAAGAATTATTTAAAAATTAAGCAGTATTTTTAATTAATTCTATTTGTGCATGCAGATTTGATTCCCTCACGGACCACGCATTTGTTGGGGACTACAGTGGACAGATAACGATGTTGAAGTGCTCTGGGGCCAATAATTTATCATTGGTCACCACATTTAAAGGACATTCAGGGTCGATTAGATCCCTTCTTTGGAATCCGCATACGTCATACTTGTTTTCTGGTTCCTTCGATCAAAAGTAAGGCACTTGGTCTTAACGACAGAAGATATAAAAAACGTAGTACACATTTTACTCATATTTATAATACTTTCAAACTTTAATACTTTTTTTAGTATTTGTCTGTGGGATATTGCTGGAAAGAAAGGAACAGTATATGAACTTCAAGGTCACAAGTGAGTTTGAAATAAATATACTACTTATTGTTAGCCGTAGGAATTTTTACTAATTAGTTATAATTTCCCGTCTTTCTTTGTAGGGGAAAAGTGACCGGTTTGGCGTACCTTAACAGATCAAAGCAGTTAATCTCTGGCGGTGAAGATTCTGTGCTGGTGGCTTGGAACATACAAGCCGAGCGACTTCAGACCCCAGATTGGAAGGAATCAGATTTTTGTGAGATTTGCAAGAAACCATTTTTCTGGAATCTCCGGTGATTATTAATTTTTAAAAGATTGTAAATAACCCCCCACAAACTAACTTATAATATTAATTTAATTCAGAGCCATGATGGAAAATAAGACAATTGGACAGCGGCAGCATCATTGCAGAGCATGTGGCAAAGCGGCGTGTGACAAGTGTTCCAGTCGGAAAACCCCCTTGCCAAAAATGGGATTTGAATTCGAGGTTAGAGTTTGCGACCCCTGTTTCTCGGTCATCACGCAACAAGAGTAAGTCGTTTTTTTCTTCTTCTGAACCGTATAATAATATATTAAAATAAATTAAATATGCATAAATTGTTTGGTTATTTGCAGCCGAGAATCACTTGCTTCTTTCCATGAAGCCAAACATTCTGTGGTTACTGTGCATTTGGATGAAACTCGTTCCCTTCTCGTTACTGTTGGAAGTGACCGTTTAATCAAAATCTGGGATATTTCAGCCCTCAATCAAATCACTCCAACGAACTAACTCCACCCGAGAATAAGTGACATGCCCATAAACACATACATAATTTTGCGAATGTATCAAACTCGAAGAATGACTGAATTTTGACTGTTATTATTATACTGATGATAAAATAATTCATGTTTGTAATTATACCGTAAGGAAAGTCTCATGCAGCATTTTGCAAAATATGACTAAAAATGTAGTATTGAACCACCACCATAACTGTGTCTTTGTTGTCCAGCATCATTACTTATTACTTCTCTACTGATTTTGTCGTTCTATATAATTCTAATTTTTAAAGAGCCATGTATTTTGGGATTCGGTTATGCTTTAAGCAGTAGTGTCAATCTTGTTACAGCACAATTTATTTAGTCAATCGCCGCCACTTTTACTGTTAACATTTATCAAATCCTAATCTAATCTAAGCGTATACTAACTAAACTAATAATAGAATAAATTTAATAAAAATCTACTGTCTGGTTTATAAAAGAGTGACGATTATTTCATAACGATTTCCGGGAAGTCAAGTTATATTTTATGAGTCATCCAGCCAGTTGAGTTCAAACTCCATGAGAAGAATTAAAGTCGACCGGTTGTGTCGTAGTTATCGTGGGAATTTAGCCCTTTGGTAAATAGAATTATGTGCAGGATAAGTATAGCATCTAATCATTTAAGTGCATGCAATGTTTACTTTTCTTCTCCAAAGTCGTATTTGCTTAATTAGCCGTGAATGAGTCATCCAGCCAGACAAGGAGCTATTTTGTTACAACAGTAGTAATTAACAATCAGCGGCCGCGGAAACTGTGGGGACATTAACATCGTAGGATTGGGGGTATATCAGATGGGCAGATGATGCGGACATCGAATAACCGTGGGGACATTGTCCCTCTGTCCGCAGCCACTGTTTGTATGCAATGATATCAATCTACGTCACGTGTACCTAAAATTCTAGTCTGTTTCCCGTGAAAGACAGAAAAATTCTAAATAAATAAATTGATACTGGCCTTTCGTTCCAAGAATAAACGTAGAAAAAGGGAAAGTGTTCTTACGGAATGTATAGGACAAGGACTTTTAAAATGGATTAAGATATTTTTGGGTTATCCAAACAAACTATGATTACTCACTTGGCCATGTAAGATTCATGGAAATGTGGCAGTTTACATTGGACCGACTATTTTAAGTTTTTCATCATAAATTTCTGACTTGATATCACACGCGGATGTGGAAAGAAAACAAACAACGGCCCGACGCATACTTAATACCATTTTAGTTGGTAATAGTCTATGCATAATAAACATGGTGTGAAGGATACATTTTTACAGTGGCCGCGGAAGCTGTAGGGACATCTGGGGGCATTAACATTGTAGGATAAGGGAGGGAGGGGTTTGTATAAAATGGATAGATGATGGGGACCTTGTCCCTCTGTCCCCACCCTTCCGCGGCCACTGCATTTCTATGCACGTAATGCTGATTGGTTTGGTTACACGTCTACTCGTTAGTCTCCAGACTATTTTTGGGATTTTATGACACCTTTCAGAGTATCACGGACATCTCTTTTATTTTATTGTACATCTACCCATGGGTTGTGACCTTCCTTCCACTCCACCATCCAATTTACGTACGTATGAAATGAAACAACAACAGGTAATTTTCCCTCCCACGAAGGTCAAGTGTTCCGTCATAATGTCGTAAAATAATCTGGCCGTGTGTTTCACGAAATTAGTTTGGTTTAGTGTCCATCTTTACGAAAAGTAGAAATTTTCCTTGATGAAAATAAATGATATGAAATGCATGATTTCAAACATGACTCATTTGTCACTCTGCATATTGCATGCAATCCACCTGTCATACTATAAATCCAACAATACCATTTCTGTACATACATCCACCAAGTTAGGAAATAAGATGGGAACTAAAAACCAACCCTTTCCTAATACTGACTCACCACCCCCGTCGTTTTTTACGAATACTGCCTACGGTCGATTCACCTGGCTTGCTTTCTATGCACTTGAGGATCATTCATTTTATAGTTTCAACGGAAGCTCTCATGTCACAGGTAGAGAGGGTCGAATTTCAGCATGTTACTACAACATTTATTTAAACCATGTCCGTCCGTCCACCAGTCAGCCTCTAGTACGAAGATGCAGTATAAGGGCTCTTAACTTGGTATATGGTATCCATCCCAGCTATGAAACCACCTGCCCAAAAAAGTTGGTTACCTGTAAAACGACCAGACCACCTTCTCCCCCCACAAAATCGCGTAGTATACACCATTCTATTCTATTCTGAAATGCAATACAAAGCCTTCGAAGGTAAACGAGACGTTGACTCCTTCCATCTAAAGCTGAAGGATACCTGTTAAACCTATTTGGTAAAGTGTAGCCAAAAATGCGTTACATTGCATGCATTGCATCAAGTTATATCATTGTTGTTTCGCCCTCGTCGTCGTCTTCTTAAGGGGTGTGTGCAGCCAACCATTCGTATCGCCGGACGGCCAACTTCCCTTTGGCTCGGCTATATGTTGCTGTTCATTGTAATTGAAATTTCAAAGGTGTAGTGGACTTGATCTGTAAAATGTATGTGATGCATTCTCCCTCCTCTCGTATGTAGCACTTTTTGCCATACCTTACCTCAGCCCTAGGAGGACCTATGTATGTAGCAAATAGTTGGATATCTTTACAGGCAGTCTACCTGTTTAATAATAAAATATACACGAGAAACGCATCTTGCTTGTCTCGTTAGTCGTAGTAACAGGTGCATTTGCGACGATTGGTGAGAGAGATGGAGTGAATTTTAATAAATAAAACACGAAAAGAGATTTGTCAAAGTGTGTGTGAACTATTTTAATATTCATGCACCACTTTGAAGTAGTGTGACGCAAGAAAAGAAGTAGTAGTGGATTCCTTATTATTTAACAATTTCGGGCATATTTTGGCCTGAAAAGTGACACGAACGGATATCATTTTGTGTCCATTTCGACCAGATTTTAGGACTCGTTTCCAATAAAAGTGCGTGAATTTGGGGAGTGAATTGTTCCAAAATTTGCTGAAAACTAAATTGTGACCATTGTGAAAATATTCCAAAAATAAGAAATTCAATATTGGGAGTGAATTGTTCTAAAATTTAGCGAAATTATACGGAAATATTCCAATAATAGCAAATTCAATATCCCATTAATCCTGTAATATTATGTGAACTGCCAATTACCGTGTTATCATCATCTTCCGTGTGAACTTATCTACCCTGACCGGACGATATTCCCATGATATAAGATACCTACCTACACAAGTATTTTACTTTATCGTCCCTCTGACACAAATAAATTTGTTTTCGTCGTTCCTTCTCTTCCCATCACATCAATCAGTCGGATTGTCAATTCTTTATTGTATGGAAATTAGATTGGATGGGACGACGAAGATGAGTTTCTTCTCCTGTAATCAAAGAAAATAAATGAGCTTGTTCATTTATCGTGCAAGTGGAAGTGTACACGGGAACAAACTATGTATCAACATGATACAAAATTGATTTTATGAAGCGACCGCAATAATTCTAGGATTGATTGGTACTTATCATTCATCATCTAATCTGAGAAGAAGTGTAATTATTGCCAGAAATAAATCTAGGCATCTTACTTATCTAAATATCTCTATCGTTCATTAATACATCAAGAGGACAAACCTTGGCCAACTTCGTTTAAGATATGTTAATGAAGCCATTAGAAATATCAATTACTTTAGACTGTTTCAGTGTAAACGCTGTTATCATCGTCACGTATCTGCTGCAAATAACTGACTGAAGTTAGATATATTTTAACATTGTTTTATTAACGCATTGGTGGAAATTTAACCGTTGATCCTGTAACAAATTGAGAGAGATACGGATGACGACAAGGTGAGACTTTGTAAAAATATGTACCATTGTCCTTTCGCCATACATATATCGTTATTATTATTGCTATTATTGCATCACATGACACTGCAAAAATGAGAGAATTACTACATATGTATGTATGCAACACACTAATTAATTGTCTTTTGTGCATATTAAATGGGATAGAAGAAACCTTCAATTTAGATTCAGTGTCATTGGATAACATTTTCATGTAAATTCTGCATATGTACATTTCATGAGACAATATTGTGTTCGTACAAAATGTGTCGATTTACACCCAAGTTGTGTTGTTCTTAACGGCTTCCTTAAACTAGGGCCAAAAAGTATAAAGCCAAAGTCAAGAACATTTACTTTAATACTTTTGCTTCGAATTGATCATTCTTCACGTGTGAAATATGTGCTTGTTAGAGAACAGTGGCCGCGGAAGATGTGGGGACATCTGGGGACATTAACATTGTAGGATGGGGGAGGGAGGGGTTTATATAAGATGGGGAGATGATGGGGACATCGAATTACCGAAGGGACATTGTCCCCACCCTTCCGCCGCCACTGGAAATATGTACTTATTAGAGAAGAACGCACAAAAAATCGAGGTTGTAGCACCGACCAGAGTGCTAAATAAATATTTACAAGAATCGCAAAATTTACTCGCAATTAAATTTTAATAACAATACGATGATGTACAATTCCTTGATGAGCAACGATTCATCTGTTGAACTAGTATTCTACGTAACTGGATTCAACTTTATTGGATGGATTATCCTGTTGAGCTGCATTTCTCGTTATGCAATTGCTTATACGAGTTCATCAACGTTTGACTTTGTTGATCTCTGCAAATAAAAAATGCACATGACTAAGCGGGTGTATGGGATTTATTTTTTTGCACACGGGCAAGATTGACATCACATATCGTTCGAAATCTGGACTTATCCAGTATCAATACTTGAAAATACAATGGCAATAATATTACCACACCTCAATGCCGAATGAGAATTTGTATGCGTTGAGACAGTATTGGCACAGGGTCATTAATTATTGTTCTAAATTCGTGATTTCGTGATCATCAATAATTTATAGGAAACTTGGTCTGAAATCAAATTAGAGATTCATTAATTTCTTTGAATAATATTGTTTTAGCAAAGTTTCCACTAAATGTAGGTAGGTACTCAAGTTTGAGGTGCCCTTCTAAACAGAACAGTGGCCGCGGAAGCTGTGGGGACATGTGGGGACGTTCACATTGTAGGATAGGGGAGGGAGGGGTTTATATAAGATGGGGAGATGATGCGGACATCGAACAACTGTGGGGACATTGTCCCTCTGTCCCCTTAAGCTTCCGAGGCCACTGTTAATAAGAACAGACCAATAATAGCAATATAATAATATTTATTTGGAATGTAGCTCGTTTATAACCTTGTACCACGGATTAAATAGTGTTACTATTTAAAAGTAAGTAAGTACTCATAAATGCTACTTATGTATTAGGCGTAAACATCATTTTTCACTCAACCTCAACCATCAAATCAAAGATCCGATCAACCTGCTTATCTTTCTCTCTCTCCATTTAGATTTTAAGACCTATTTATTTAGCTCACTTGCTCCATCATCTCAGAGAATTTGAAAACATTGAAATGCATTCTACACTTGACTGAAACATTCAATTCGCTCTGTTTGAAATGAAATCGAAACATTTCATAAGTAATAATATTTCATGAAAAGCTACTACTCAACTGCAAAAAAAAAATTGATGGTGCAAGGCATCATGGTCACTTGTTTTGTTTTGTTTTATTTTATTTTATTCCATTCAAGAAAGAAGAGATTGAAAATCTCTGCTAAATGGGAGGACTGTCGGTAAGATGAAATATAAAAGCTGCCCTAAATTCAATATCACACACACACAATCAGCAATCCCAGTACGTTCTTATCCTCAATAAAATTCGAGAAGCAACAACTTACTTACCTCTTCTTATAAGTTCAAATATCTAAATATATTATAGGCATTCATCCAGTTCATCCATTATATTCTTTATTTCTATTCAACATTCACACAATAACAACTGACAAATACATAAATGCCACAGAATATAATAGCACCTGCTACCAAAACAAGACACCAATACCCATCCAATGCTATTACTACTTGCTCCAAATACGAGAGAATTGCAATGTTATCAGGCTTGTTTGTAGAATAAAAATAAAAATAGCCAAGCTTTTCAGCCCGCAAATTGCAAGGCAAATGCCGAAAGTCGAGACAGGTTTTGCATGCATTTTTATTCATGGTATAGAAGTACTGGTGCGAAATTTATGCAGAGATTTTGTTAGCTGAGTGAATTTCGTGGTCTAGAAATGGAGAAAAGTGGTGGCGTTGTTCCATTGACATGATGACAAATGGACGCGTTTATTTTATCACTTGAAGAAGGAAAAGTAGACCCACTTTACTTTACTTTACCTTTGAGGAAGATGCAATTCAAAACTTTTTCTTGTTACATGCATGCATTCTTATTTATTTAAAAGCGTCGCTACTGTTTCTTCTTAAAGTTAGTAGAGGTAAAAAGGTGCAGTGGCCGCGGAAGCATGGGGACAGACAGAGGGACAATGTCCCCAGCAATGTTATGTATGCAGCGTGGTTTACAAAATTTCTTAATTTCTCAAAAGAAACGTTAAAACTAAAGTTTTTTTCAAATTTTTCAAAATTAAGGGGAGATTATGTACATACAGTGGCTGCGGAAGGGTACCGGGACAGAGGGACAATGTCCCCACGGTTGTTCAATGTCCGCATCATCTCCCCATCTAATATAAACCCCTCCCTCCCCCCTATCCTACAATCTTAATGTCCCCACAACTTCCGCGGCCACTTTAAAGATGTAGTTTATTTTGTGTATGTAGCTTGAGGCGGCATGTATGTAGGCGACAATAAAATGGCTTTCATCTCATCTCATAACCATTTCATTATTATTGTCCTGATGGGAATGTCGCCACTTTTCATCAGAAAAGGAAATTATGCCCAGAGTCCAAGGGCAACAGTCTCGTCGTTCAATTGGATTCGTATTGGATCAAAAAGATAAACCGTAACGATCTTTTAGAGGAGAAACTTTGTCTCCAATTATGTACAATTTCGAATACAGCTTTAAGCGCAACTAATTTGAATGCGAAAGGTCCTTCAATCTAAACCTGTCTGCTTATTTTTACTCCCATATTTTGAGTCACTTTCACCTCCAAAATATTTGTTGGATATTATCGACCAACCCCCTTTTCTACTTAATAAATCCCTTCCAACGACTCATCATCCTCGTTTATTTACGAGACCAGACCAGACCACGCATAATGACATAGATAGATCAAAAAGCTTCCAAAATTGGAGTGAGATTAAGAGTCGAGACGAAACACCCACTTGATCCGTGTATGTGCATTCCTCCGCTAGATAGATATTTATTCGTTCTTGATTGGACTCGTAACTGCGCTTGATTTTTATTGAGAGCAAAAAAAAATGCAGCTAACAAGTTGCAGTTGGTTAAAAATCTTGAAACTATATTAGGAAATATTTTGGCGAGTCGTAGGTGTCTTTTGCGTAGCTGATTTATTTAGAAAGTGCACCCACCAAGCATTTTTGCAGTGACCCATGCGCCAAGCATTTTTGTGGTGATGCACCCCAAAAAGTTTCATGGTTCATCAGCAGCGACCACAGATTTGGAGTATACTTACTTAGATACACAGACGGATAGGCCTGCATGTACAAATGTGGAGGCTGTCATGTTCATAGTTATTAAGATTGCAATACTCAAAATGCATAAAAAGTTCCAGTCACCCTCCAGTCGCTGTATATTACTTGGCGAACGTAGTCTAGATACAGTGACTGGAGGGTGACTGGAACTTTTTAAGCATTTTGAGCTGCAGGTCTATCCGTGTGGGCTAACTTATAACATAATAGACCTGGTGCGCTTGGCAGCGACTTAAGCAATTTATATTTTTTTAATAAATAAAACTTAAATAAAACTTAGCTAAAAAATCGTAAGCCCAGGGATAACAATGGATGTCTCGGAGCGTATATGGTCTCCGATTTTGAGCCAATTAGTTTCAATCGATGACAAATTTAATTAGTATGAAATTTGCGAAAGACGCGATCTCCCAATGGGCACGTTTTGCAGAGATATTTGCATCCGAAGAGGAGTAAACGCACAGTAAATTTGGAAAGTGTAAAATTTGTCGACTTTAAAACAAGTTTACTTCTCTTTGGGTGCGAATATCCCTGAATTTGTTTCCAAATTTCCTATTAATTAAATTGTTGATCGATTGACACTAGTTTGGTCAAAATCGGAGAGCATATACGGATAGTGCATAAGTAGAAAATTTAATTGATGTCGAATACTTGAGAATTGCGCAACTGATAATTTATCTTTAATTAATGCCGACTTAGAAGCTTTACTGTCAGTCAGTTAAAATTAGAATTTTTAACAAATTACACACCCTTATCGCTATAAATAATCTTCGTAGATTGCATTTCGTGCAATATTTCATATCAAAGAATTTATCCGAAAGGAATGCACTAATTGAAACAGCATTACGCAATATCAATAAACGAATTATTGCAAGTTAGTGCATTTATAAATAGTAAATGGATGGATGGATTCTGTGAATAATAACGTAATGGAATCTTGGTATAATAACCATAAAATTAGCTGCAGATAAATTGCCCGGTTTTCCCAGTGAGTTTCGCTAATTGAAAGTCATTTAACTCTTTCCTAAGTATTTGACCGATATCGATAAAGTTACTCACACTTTTATGAATGCATCCAGTGGCCGCGGAAGCGGTGGGGACATTAGCATAATGAAATAGGGGTCATCAACATGGGGAATATATCATTTTTTTAATTTCGGGAGGGGGGGCAATGTCCCCCTGTCCCCTCGTTTCCGCCGCCACTGTCCTTACTCCTCCTGAAACTGCTTCAATTTAGCTTAACCGAAACGAAATAAGTACGTATTTCATCCAGTTTGATCCAGTTTTG